CGAGCGACCAAGCGGAGCTTAAGCTAATTATCCTCCGGAACGCCGTAGCGTCGTTTTTGCCTGCCCGTGTGATTTTTACTGTGCCACAAAAAGAGCGAGCTAGATCTGAGCCTGTACGCGTTCGCCTTGGCACGTAAAACATTTCGTACTGCCATGCAGTCTTATATGTAGTTTGCGATTTGGACAACGGCAATAGTCACGCCGGCGAAAATCCGTCGCAGCTTAAAAGCTATTCAATATTGCATCACTCGCTTGGCTCTTGTTCGCCGATATGCCAAGAAAAAGCGTCTCGGGTATCGATAAGGACTCGTTGAAAGTCACTCGAGTCAATACAAGTGACGATTTCAAGGCTCGAACTCGGACAGTCTATCAACGCGAAAGTAGAAGAAGTCGTCGAAAAAAGTACGACCGTGGCAACTCGAATCGATAAAGTGCCGTCTTGAAACGTTGGCTCGGCTTTTGTTCTTGTATAAGATTCGCGAGTTCTCTCCGTCGCTGTGCGAGTCGGATAATCGACCCTAATCATCTGCAATCATGCTCATTGTCACCACATCGTCAGAGCTTATGTATACAGATATATATCGTACGATCGTGCACATAAAGACTCGTTTGCAGCAATATGTCACGTATTGATAATGACGGTAGACGTATACGAGGAGAAGAGGTGATTCAAGGAATTGATTTTCTAACGCGAGCCAGTCTGCAGAAGTCAACGATGGCTCGGAGTGATGCAGAAAAAAAGTCGCTCTCTCGGAAGGAAAAGAAGGAAAAAAGTGAGTAGCGAATAGGCCGTGCGCGTTCGGGATAGATTGACCAATTGCGCGAGATATCGCAGCGGCGGCAGAGCAGGAATGCGTTATGAAACTGGAAATCCCAGACGCAACTTCTGATCGCAAACACCAACGGCGCGGAGCATTTGCCACATGTTTGCGGGGCTAGACGTTTATATAGTAATCCTATGACATGTATACACAGCCAGCCGAACACGTGCTGCAGTGTAAACTATTCGTATATCTAAGCACGAGGTTGCAACAAGCCGCTATACTCGCTGCGGAATATGTAGTAGTGGGCTGCACTAGATTCAGACCTCAAAGCGAAAGTGCCTGAGTCTCCGCGTCCGCGCGTGCGTGCGCGCCGTATATATAACTTTTATGACAATCTCAATATCATGAATTATTCGCCCGTGGACTTTGCTTCCTACGAATCATTGTGTTCGCGCTTCTGACCAAAGTTCTTGCGCGATCTTGGCCGCTCGCTTACGTAAGCCGAGGACGGAACCTTTATATTTTATAGCTCCGAGTTATATCGCGGGTCGCGCGACGTTAGAGCACATGCCACATTTTAATCCGTGAATATAAAGATATACGCGCGTAACGAATGTGTGCAGGTGTAGGCAAGCCGATCGATAACCTTTTACCTATATATTCGCGTACCTACATGAGCGCAATCTGCATACTCAAGTGCATTCAAGTACAAACGCCTGCTGTACATTGGTGTACGTCGTTATGCGAGACTCGTCGATACCAAAATCGTATCGGGGCTCAAAACTATAACTTGGAAAAACAAAAACAAAATATGACAAAAATAAATGTAGAGCTCGAACGAAAGCGATCCTTCTGTCGTAGACAAACATTTCGAACGCACAGCTGCGTTGCGTCACATTGCACGTTATTATTTTCACAACAAAAACATATCGAAAAACGATTTTTTTCCGAATACCCAGCGGACCTTCTTTATCCGTCCACCGAAACTGCTCCTATAGTAGCCCCGTAGACGCCGAGCATTTTCATCGACTTAATCTTTCAAGCTTTGAAAAGCTTGTGAGAGCAGATCGGGTAAGATTTATGTTGCTCGAGGGAAGAAGTGATTTACTAAGACTTCTAGCTCGCTATTTTTTTTTTTATTCTCTCTGCTACAAGTTAATTGAATAAATATTGCTCGGCTTACGCAACTCAATTGCTTATTTTAATTAGAATATATTTCATTTATCGACAGGGTTATTGTCGATGACGGTTGTGTCGATTATTATCGTGTAAAAAATCGATCAATGCTCGATTTACTTATACAAATTTTTTATTATCAATCGCGAATATTTCGTAATCAAAAAGAAATAAAGAAAGCGAGTTCGATGACTCTGAAATCTTAATGTCAAGTGCTTAACAGCAAGAATCTAGTCGACACACATGTATACAAGTACGTATTACGGTTGCGCATCTGTCGCCCGTCCTCTCGTATTCTCGAAAAAAGTGACTTCCATATAAAGTCTGCTGCAGCATCCATAAATAAACTCAACGAAGCAGCGATACTTGTCGAGTTGGTAACTCTATTTTTGAAAAACTTGCCGAAGTACATAGAAACTTCTTACAGTCGGGCAGCGCGACTGCAGCGTACAAAATTTTTCGGTTCCAGATATACCTCTCGAAACTTGATTGTTTTCTCGAGAGCATCGAAGGGCCACGCGGGTGCATCGGTGCTTTAAATTATCGAAACTCGGGCTTTGTTTTTGTACTGGCCTGGGTCTTTGCAGTCCTTTCACTCGTAAAGTTTTTCGTTTGCGCTCCGCGAGTACTTGAGTACATATATAGTTGGGTTGGTAGGTAGGTAGGTAGGTAGCTCGGTAGGTAGGTGGAGGAAAAGAAGAAGAACATGGACAGCGCTAAGGCGCTGGCGACGAGGACGAGGGCAGCCTCGGCGCACAGGAGAGTCCGTCGCGCCTTTTCCAGGATCTGGTTCTGAAACGGGTATAGGTGCAACGCGCGGGCACATACGCACACGGATACACACATACACTCGCGCGCGATATATATTGGTAAAAGAGAAAGAAAGAGACGGAAAGAGAAGCAAAGAGAGGCGAGAATAAGCGCGGCAGCATCGCATGATGCAGGACGCTCTCTGCATTCCAAGTCTCTCCTCTTTTTCTCGCGATCTCGGATCGGCTCTCCGCATGTGCTGCTGAGCACACATACACACACACGTGCATACATGGACGTATACTCGAACAGAAACGGGCGTACGGATCTCTGGTACATGCGCGAGCTCCTTGTTGTTTTCAGCCCGAATGGCGGCTAAAGCGTGTATCTGTATAAATGTATGTAAGTATATGCGCTATATATAATACGTGCCCCACGCGCCCACGCGCAGCAGCAGCAACAACGCCGGAGAGCGACGAGCGCGACAACATCGGAGAGCAGCTATATATATACACAACATACTCCGCGTATATCTGTATATCGAGCCATGGAAGCCGAGCGTGGAGTTTGGAGCAATGCGCGGGCGCAACCGGCACCGAGTCGCGCCAACACGAGCTTTGGCAACCTTGAAGCTTCCATTAATCTCTCGCGACTGATAATTCGCGACTATCGTAGAACGTTGTTGTTTTTTTTTCGCTACAATCGCGCATGCGAGTGCTCCTATTGTATGTGTACATGCGTGCACGGCAACCTACATTTTAAAACAAACTCGGCGCATCTTCAAAGTATAAAGCACGCCTGGGCAAATTGTCGCGCGAGCTGAATCTCGAGGCTGACTTATTTCATTCATGAAAGTATGCACAAATAAGAGATAGAGAGACGATACTTTTTGTGTCGAGCAATCATTGTCTTACGTGTACACAGAAACGACGAGCGTCGTTTATCGATCTTATCGCAGAAATGACGTATGCAACCGAATAGCATCACGGCCTGTGCTGTAAGCCAGCTGAATTGTGACGCGCACGCGACCTATACGTTATGACACAGCAAATAAGCAACTAAGCTCGCTTTACTCGATTTTTTGGCCATTATTGTTTCTCTCTTTGTGCGTGCCCGATTAAACGCAAATTTTCGATTCTGGACTCATGGATTAGCCAAAACAACATTTTGAACGGTTTGAAGACATTGATTTAGAAAAAAAGAAAAGAAATTCGTCAAAAAATAAAAAAAAATGATTAGATAAGATAGAGAAAGCGATTATGACAGTCTTTGTAAAGAAGACTGTCGTTATTAGTCATTGTGTCTTGAAAATAGCTCGCTCAAGAAGCCACAAACACATGTGACTATCAGTGATTCAGTTTCCATCGAGAATTATTGTTTTTTCAAAGAAATGTAGCACACCGAGAGAAATATCCGCATGGTAATTCTTGCTAAGGTAAAATTACATCAATCTCAGATACGATAGAAAACATCCGTAAAGAAAGTACTACTATACTGGCATACACACATTCTACGTTTGAAGATGCTCGAGAAACATGGTGATATCTTCAAATGTGGGCTTTAAAAACGATCACAACACATGGCCGCACTCGAGCTGTGTTACATGCTGTATACTGATAGAACGTACGAGGCAGGCAGATTGGATATTAGATAATAACAAAAAATGTACAAAGTCTAACTACCAAATGTAATGTACGGATGTGCGCGGCTAATAGTCGAGTAGTGTAAGCGTACACAGGCGCAGATGTGTGCATTATAATCGGGCAATCGAACGAACGACGACATACGCGACTCTCGAGGGTCGCTCCGACTGTCTGGCTGGTGAAATACTCGCACTCGTGCGTCTGAAAATGCTTCGGGTATAAAGTACTTGCACGTTGCGTCTATAATGTAGATGTATGTATGTGTATGTGTGCTACGTAGTAGTACGTGTCGTAGCGACTTGCACCCCTGTGCGGCGTGCGCCGAGCCGTAATACACGTCGCAAGTGCGGGGTAAGACCGCGCACAACAACAATAGTCGCGCGCGCACACACCGAGCCGACATGTATGCCTATTTCGAATATTATATGTGTACGGCAACGATCATCGGGGCAGCAACGTCTTTTTTTCTCAATGCCGCGCGCGCGCGCCAGAAGAGCTCGACATTCGACAATGCTCCTCGCTAAACACTCTACGGACAGTTGCGACAGTCGACAACACAGCAGATGCTAAGTGGCGCTTTTTTGTTAATTCACAATCGACCACCGGCTGATCCCGTGTTTATTTATTCCTATACGGAGTCGACGTTGAAGTCGCGCTCGATTCTTACCTCAAACAGTCGTCCTGAAGCCGCTTCAAATCGGCCATCTCGCACTCGAACTTGAACTTGGAGACCTCGCAGAGCAGGGCGTCCCGCTCGTTGATGACCTCGGCGAGCTCGCGCTGGAGCCGCTCGATCTCGACGTACTGACGCCCGATCAGCTGGTTTTTCTCCGAAATCACGGCTTCGACGTCGGCCTCGCCGTTGTCCAGGAGCAGCCCTTGGTCCTCGTTTTCCAGCCCCTCCGCTCTGCTCTGAGCCGCTAGCTGCTGTGCCTGAGACAGCAACGCTGGCGGCTGCTGCTGTTGTTGTTGTGGCTGCGGCTGCGGCTGCTGTGGTTGAATCGCGGCACTCATGATTCTTTTTTTCAAATATTATCAACGAACACACACAGATAAAGATTTCGAGAGCTGACTTTGATCTCGCTCTCTCACTGTCTCGCACAATTCACAAATAATAGCTCTCGTAAATATTTATTAAATACACTCATGCACCTATACGGTAAATTCGTCACTAAAAGGACAATTCGAGGCCAATGGAACGAATCGCTCGTGGAGTTTTAGAACCTGCAAATACCTCCAAGTCGACTGATTTACATAAAAAACGCGGGTACAGCTTATAAAACTTGCACTAAACATAAAGAACGAGTATTTTCGCGCGATTCACTGAGCCACTGCACTCTGCACACTGCGATACACAATCACCGAGGATAAAAATTGCAAAAACGAAATAGAACTCGATGTCGAGTATTGTCAAGTGTCGTCCTCGTTAACGAGCCGGCGACCGTTGAGCTGCATCTTGCATGGTTGGAACTCAGAGACACACGAACATGCAAAGGAGCAGCAGCCAAAATCGAGATTACGCGCGGCACGCGTCCTTCGAAAGCTTAGCAGCCTATATGAAACTTCTGTATTCGTGCTTTCTTCGCATTGACAATGCGTTCGTGCAGTTGCACCGGGCGACTGTTGGCGAGCTCGAGAGAATCTCGGAGTTTGGAACGAGAGAACACACGACGCACCGGGGGAGACCGGGAACGACGACGCCACGCCACCGCCGAGTGTAAACTGTTATATATACGATTGCCAATGCGGATTTAAAAAGTGGAGGGTCTCGTTCGATACGGAGCTGCTGTATTATACGGTATATAAATAGTCACGCAGTTGACGCGTACGGGTGGCTCTTTCGTAGGCGACTGCCGAAGTGCCGCCTAGCAAGTAGACATGTAGCCCCAGCATATACACACAGAGCGAGTGGAGGCAGACGCGCGCGCGACGCCTGTGCCGTATGCGAAATTGCGAATCGCGCGAGAGTAGAGGCCTCGAGTCGCTTCGGAGCAGTCGGCGGCAGTCGTATACGCGCCAGTCGGCTACTCGGGAGCACACATCGCTGATCTGCTCGCGTGTGTGTTGTGTATCATGTACATGCAGCAGCGCGCCAATTCGTTGACTGTATGTATATGTATTGCCGCCGCGACTCGCAATTTCGTTTCTCGAGCTCGAGTGCGACAAGGACGGGTTGCCGATGCTGCCGTCGGCAAAGTAGCGACTGACTACTACTGTGCGCAGCTCTCGCGCGTGCAAAAGCCCCACACAAATGCACACACACACGCGCACACATTCGTCGCGTACGTCAGTTCGACGTTATTACCGAACACGAGGACAAAGGCAGCTGACGGCGGCGCGCGAACTCGTTGCCTTGGTTACCAGCAGTGCTCGGCTGCTCTCGGCGCCTTCGAAACGTGCTCGAAGCGGCGCACTCGGCTGCAGTCGGCTCGGGCGCATATACATAAATGTAAGACGCCGAGCAGAGCCGTCTGCAGTGCAGCGGCCTCGAAATTCGAATCGCGCCAACCAAGCCGACGACTCACCATCTTATATATGATTCGCGCGCCGGCAAACATCTCTCTGTATGCTCCAACGGCTCGCGACGACGTTCCAATCCAGCGGCTCCGACTTAGCGCGAGAGTGACGCGAATTTCTCTCACTCGCCTCACTGGTGGCGCTGCAATTTTTACTGCCGTTTTATACTTGCATGCTCGCGCCTGTGTCGAATCGAACGAGCATCGCTACTTCACGATACCATCCCAACAGCTAATTAACAAATATTTTACCCTCGATGTCTGTCTTTGTACGAAAACTATAATGAAAATACACATAATTCAATCACGTGTAACCCAGCTTTTTCACCCCATTTATAATCTCATCTCTCTTCTTATTCGAGTTTACGTTGAATTTTATCGTAATACATTTAAACTAATTTCCGTTTATCACTTCACGTATTATCACGTAATGCTCTATCGTTAATAGTTTTCAAAGTGAACCTTTGGAATCTTATTTTTACTTGAAAAAAGTTTCACTCATTCCAAAAAAGCTCATACTCTTTACAGATCGACCTCCACTGCAAGATTTAATGGTAAGCGAATGGCTGACCTGTTTTTAAGCTTCAACGGATAAATTAGTGAAATGCTCATTTTTACTTCTCCCTATATATTCGCGTCGATAAAGCATCCACCCCAAGTGCGAGTAAAACATGTTTGTTTTTGTATAAAAGAGATCCAACTTATTTCCACACTAAAGTTGAAGTTATTTCAATGATAGCAATTAGTGTAAACGAATATACTGCTCTTAAAGCAATTTAATCAACAAAAATGTTCGTAATTTAATTGAAAGATTTACTTTTTATTAGTAAAAGGGATAAATTAGTGATAAAAATGTTTACTCGAATCCATTCCCTGGGTTTTAGAATGTTATTTTTAAGCCCCTACACTATTTTTTTTAATCTTATAGGTTTGTCAATAGATTGACTGAACCAATCAAAAGTGATTGCTCCATTCAATAGCCTTTTAACGATTTCAATTAATGTGCAAAATTGAAAACAATTGAAAATATGAAACGTGAGAATAATAGTGGCTAATTTTTTCGCGCTTGAAAGTAACCGGAATAAAGTGGGTAGAGGAGGTATCGCATGTTACAGCAGATATAATTTGAGCAATTTTGCTAGGAAAAATGTTACGTTGGTGTAAATGAAAGTCAAGAAGGATCCATTTCTGACCTAATTACGGTCTATAGCTTTCTTCTATTCCATACTCTCATTCTGTCAATCTGCATTTTCCTTATTCTTTCTTTTGTATTTCTGTACTATAGTGTGTGCTCGCGAGAGTGCGATCGCATGGGGCACATCACGCGAATCTTCTTGCATCGCGGCCAATGCGTGTTCGGTTTCGTCTTACTATGACTTTTTTTCTTCAATCTAAAAATCAATCTAAATCGAATGCAGATTCAACAAAGTACATTGAAACGACTCCTTTTGATAAAGTACCTTTTCAAAGACCAGCTTAAAAAAATTCAACTTTTAAATTTCTTGCCAGAAGGTGCGATTTCTTTGCTCGGTGCAGGAAGATGCAATTTTATCGCTATGTGTAGGAGAATTTTTCTCCATGTGGTATAAATAATCTTGTCACATGAACGGAAGAAAATATTCTTAAATTAGTTTCACTGTTTGAATATAAAGCAATCCATTTCATTTTTATTAAACGAATATTAAGGGGCGGTGTGAGTGTTTCTAACTGAAACATGTAGATATGAAGAAAACCACAAGTCTCAAGACCTTTATTTATTATTGAGCGTACACGGGAAAAAAATTAGAAGTTACCAAGCGTAATTTCAACTATCAATTTTTAAAACTTATTACGTAATTTTTACTGATGCAAATTAAAAGTAGATTTCTTACTACTCAGTTAGTATTTCATGGGTAATTAATTTCTCGGCAAATTTCTCTAGTCTCTCAAACTAAAAGACTTTTCAGTCGTTAGTAAAATGCACAAAAGAAGAGAATAGAACGGAAAATGGTCATAAAAAAACTGAACCTAAGCCAAATAATTAATTAAAATAATACAAGATTAAATTTGAAAATGTCTATAACTATAGACTTATTTATTAAATTCTTAGTATTGTTTGAAAGTTATAAAAATTGTAACGTAAATTTATAAAAAAAAGGTAATTTTCAAAGTGAAACTCCTATAGTTCTTTTCCATTAGCTGCATGTTAATGAGGTGCATGTTACGAAGGCATTTCTATATCTTTTATTTTTAACGTTAATGTTGAATATTCTGTTGCAGTTGTACTTTACTGCTTAATTGCAATTAAAACCCCGTTTCCCATTAATTGACAAATTGCTTCTTCTATATATTTTATAGATTCAGCAAAGCTGCTTTTCTAAAGTAAAGTAGATGAAAATTCATCGTAAAAACATGGTGCTCAACATATAATTTATTTTTGTGTCGTGATCCGTGTCAAAATTAAAATAATGTGCAACATTTATTGTCACAATCTATTTTGTTAAAAATCGGCTTTATCTTAAAACATTTTATGAAAATTAATGAATGGTGTACTTAATTTTTAGTAACAATAATTTTGTAATATTAAATGGATATCTATGTTTTTAAGCGTACCTATAAATGTTGTTCCGAAATTCAATATAGTTTCAGAAAATATTAAAGCAGATTTCCAAAAATATTTAGCTCTAAAAGTCACATCTAAAAATTATCACAGAGTTCCTTTTTAAAAGAAAAAAATTACAAAAAATAACGTTAAATCTTAAATTAATGAAGACGTATAAAAAAATGCAGTACTTACGTTTATAATACGAAGGTACTCGCTATTAACAATGAATAATTAGACATCAGCAAGTCAACTAGTGTATTTTATTGTTTTAAATCATTTTGAACAAATTAAAACGTAAAATTGGGCACATATTTTTTAAAACACTAAGTATTAGCAGAATGATGATACTCTGGACACAAAATTTTACGTGCAATGGTGTTTAACAACTCAAGATATTGGGTCAATTCGTCCTATAAATATACTTATATTTTAAAGGCGATAAATAATACTTGCACGCTATCTGCATACGCGAATTTAAACTATTATGCGCCAACGTCAGTCGGTAATGGAGTTTTCATGCATTTTATGTATGATAAAATTATAAATGAAATTAAAAAGTAAAGATTATGTCGAAGTCAGTAAGTTCGTCACACATTTTTAGTTCTTGCAGATGGTGATTTCTGTGAAAGTTTAAAAATTGACGATTCATTTCATTAGAATCATCAATGTTTGCTATTATCGATTGATTTCGAAGAACAAAAAATTTTAAAAATATTGACGCGCCTCGTGGCGCCTATCGGTTTCAATGATAGATTATAACAATTGAATGAATACATCCTGTGAAAAAATTTCCTAGACTATTCAGTCCCCTTCATCATAAAGTAACCGAGGAAAATTTCTCAGCAAATTGAGCATAAAGAGAAGATATGATAAATGTTCAAATAAAAAATTAGATTTTACGAACACTCGATTACGTAAATATGAAACAACGATATCATGACAATTGTACATACGAGGCTAATAATAGCTGAATATTAACACATGTGTCGCCATTGCCAATAAAATAATATTGTGCATCATGGAAATTAGAGTCAATGCGTCACGAAAGTTTTTCACTTATCAAACGATAACATAAGAGTTTGTAACGAATGCTGGAGAGATTTTTCATCAATTCTCAATCTAAAATTGACGTTTGTAGGAAATCAATCGAGATTCGAACTTTTTTGAAGATAGCAAAAGTTGTACTTTACATTTTTAGAATTTAAAAATTGTAATTTTTAACATGATTTTGATTAATTTAAACAAATAATAATTTTAATTTTGATTAACCACGACGATTTAATTTTTAGACTATTTTAATCAACATTTCACGCTTTGTCATCAGTGGGGCTAAACTAAAGAAAAGAGTCTCATTATTTAAAGTGCAAATGTTTTCAATGGCAATATGTCTCAATGACTTAAAATTACAAGCAACGTCCGCATGCAAAAGTCATTTTATTCTCTACTATTTTTACTCGTAATAGTTTTTCAGATTGTCCAATACATTTTGACAGATTGTAATTTGCATGATAAGTAGTGTGAAATGTAACTTTTATTAGACACGTGTTTTTTAATGTGAATTATAATAATCGCTTGAGCAAGTTAACTCGTAAAATAAAAAGAAGCAGTGATCTACATATTTCCGAGTTCATTATCTCGCCTGAATGTATATTGCGAGTTCTTTATCGCGCGGCGACATCTCGAAAAACGTTTAGTCAACGGTAATCGACAATATCATTAGCGAAATCACGCGAGTCTTTAGTAAAACACCAATCGCGTGCCGCGTTTGACATACACCTACAATGCATGGACCACGGCGCTACTCGTGATTCCATGAGTCGGCACGTGCGAGGGTGTGCGACGACTATTTTTGCGACAAATTTTTATCGCTTTGACATTTAACGACGAGATAAGATTTATCCTTCTTTACGTAGAATAATCATATAATACGTTTAAATTTGTTGCAAAACTTGAGTTCTTAGATTTTTGGGAATTTCAAATGAAAAAATGGATGATTCTAATTGATTTTAATTTTTAATATCATTGATTTATCAGCAGTTAAATAGAATTCATACTAAAAAATGGTAAGCAGGAAAACAAATTCGTGTTATGTAGTAACTCAAATAAAGAGTATAATTAACTTTTTCAACCGCAAGAATCATGCAAATTTCATAAGTTCACACTATTATTATTTATAAATGTTAAAACTACGCAGGAAAGTTTTAAGTTACATTGCAATGCATTTTTCATTGTTCTTACCTTGTAAATGAGCTTAATTTATTGAGGTAGCTAAGAGTGTTTCTATATTTTTATTGAATAAATAATGGAATTTTATCTAAACATGAATGAAATATGTGTGTTGTTACAAGAAAAAGAAAAGCTTTTAAAAATGTTCAAACATTATAAGCAGCACATGTTTTCTTTTCTCCTTGTTTTATAAAAGAAAGTCGAAAAGTTTGATAGGAGAATAATGTTCCGTTTTTATAAATTTGGAGGGAAATTGTGATTCATTTCGTTCTATATTCTCAATGTAAAACAATATAAGTTATTATTGAGATCGCTTAAAGCCCTCCTTTCAAATCGCCATAGAAGACAGATGCATATGAGCTGTCCAAGATTTTCCAGAATGGCTATTTAATATTATCTGTCATGCGTATTCATCGTCAACTCATCAAAGTCTCAATGTTGCAATATTCGTCGATAAGAGCTGCATCAGGGATTTGATAGATTTTTTCTTACCTAATTTTCGACGAAAGTTTGACTGAAAAATTTTAGTTCATGTACGTCATTTTTATATTCTATCGTATAAACGTAAATAAAATAAAAAATATAGCGTAAATGTCTCAGTTGTGGCCAATTATTGAAACGATGCTGCATGCTGTCCAATACGTAAATTCAATAATGCTTAGAAAATGATATGTGTTATATCATATGCAATTTAGAATATATAAATTGCACGTCATAACATTGATCCTTGATAACCCTGAAAATGATAAAGTAAATGTCAATGACGAAATTGAAAAGAAATGCATTAAAAAGTGATAGCTCGAAGTTAAAGCTTTGAAGTTATATTCAAAGCAATTAGAGCGGTGGTCGCAGCATTGCACAAAGTTTAACACTTACTGCTGATGAGGACATAATACGCCATCGCTGAAAGCCATTTCGTAACGGAGATCGTGCTGATTCGTATAATTGTGAACGTCATTTTTTACCATCTCATTGTTTAAGTTAATTTTGTATGCTCTTTCGATTAAACAAAATTCATTCGCGACATCGCGCAAAGTATCTCAGGGCAAAGCCCAACGCGCTCCTCGTTCCGGGATGCAAGCGCAAATCCGCAAGCGCATATCAGCCTTTCGACTGCGAAGTCTTAATTCACGGAGCTCGATCGTGCATCGATGCAAGCTCGCGCGTGTCCAAGAGATGATCGCCGTTACACGAGCATTACGCGCTCGATCCAACACACGGTAGCTAAAAAGCTTACGAACGTAAGATATGCGTGCGCGGTGCAACAATCGCTGCGACGGCGGGATTAGTCGTCGCACACGCGTTCCGGCACATGCGAGTCCGCAGCAGACTCGTTGCACACTTGGCTGCGATCATATAGCGTGTGCGGCTCTTGCACAAAGAGGGAGATACGTCGTCGTCGTCGTCGGTGCCTATTGCCACCCACACTCTTCTGCCCGGACTCCCTCCTACTCCCATCCTCCTCCTGCTGGCGCTGTCAAACTGCCTGGCATGCTACCGCCGAGTGCTACTCCAGTCCCAGTCAGTGCCAATAACATCGGTCATGTCCGAAAGCTATATAAGTGCCAAACTAGCCGGTACCTTCGCCACAGTCTCCGGTTGCGACTCCATCTGATTAAGCTGCGTGCGCGGACACGATCCTCTTCCAGTGTCTTCGTCGACCTTTGATTCCAGACAAAGAGGCCCGCGAGAGATACGTCCATTACAATGACCGAGATCAAGTTGGCCAAACGAATCGCTGCTGCTCGAGGGTGAATGTGAGCCGAATAATTGAGGAACAATTTGGTTGTGCTTTTCTGCGATCCATCATCTGTGACGTTAATACCAGGCGCTTGGCAGCATCTAATTTTAGGTAAATATAACTTTTTTAAGCTTTGCCAAATCATTTATTAAAAATGGATAAAATTTCAAGGCGCCTTAGTCCAATTATTCGAAGATTTTATCCACTTTTTCAACGAAATATTTAGAACAAATTTTTAATTTTTTAAACAAGATCAACGGATCCGATTTACGTAAAAATGATTATCAGATTGAAATGATATCTTCGTTTGACAAAAGAATAAATTGCATATGCAAACCCAAAACGGAATATGATAAAATGATTGAATAGATTAGCTACGAAATCAAACGGTTATGTCCATTGAAACGCGCGCTTGTATTTTGTATTATCTTTCACAAATCTCATTCTATATACTAGGTATCATTAGTGCGGGATGCAATATAACTAGCGATATAAAATGATGCTATTAAACTTGGAAAACACAGTTTTTTTTCCATCCTTATAAAAATGAAATATAAACACGATGTATAGAGTGTGCTGTGAAAAAACATCCTCTTAAACTTCATCAAACGAAATATTTTCATTATCTCTGTTCAAATAAAATATCGATCTACCTCATAACTTCCTATAGCAATTGTAGTTTTGATCGAACTCAAAATGTTAACTAACGGATAAAAAATGATACTGAAAATAATAGAATAAATTCATTCTAATAATAATTGTTCCAATAATAATTTTTACAGAAACAATCTGCAATCCGAAGGAGGAAGTTAATTATTCATCGAATATAATTTTATCTAGTGTCGATTGTTTGACATTTCAACGGAAGATTACACTTAAGAAATCTATGTCATTCTAATGTGATATAAGATTAATACACATTTATATAAATAAATACATTCAGTCTCGTCGAAAATATATCAAGTAATTGTGGAATCACAATAGAGATTCAAGATGGAAAAGTGTCTGATAATATTCATTATATTTACGGTGATTGGCTACTGCATGAGTGTTGAATTCAAAGTACCCGAGCATGAAGGTCAGTAATAGATTCATTTGTTTTATTCCTCTAATACTTATTCCGCATGTATTGTATTATTGTATAATATTACTTCGCTCATTTTCATCAAATTTTTTACGGCTACAGAAAATATCAAATAATGAATTTTTTCGATGAATAATGAATTGAAATGAAATATTTTTTACAAGTGAAAATCTAGCCCTCGCTTAAATGAAGTGCTGCATAAAATAATCCGTTGCTTATCATAATTCTCTCATTTTGAAATAAATAAAGTTTTTAGGTACGTTGACGATTTCCTTATCGTTGAACCCGAGAAATAATCCTCACTGCTATGATAAAGAAATTATATGATTATATTTTATATGAGTAAATAATCCGTAACCATTCAAAAAATTTTAAGCCATGTTTATTTATATTTATTTATGATTTAATCAATGGTATCGAAAAAGTGGCAAAAAATGAGTAAAGAAATTTTGCAGAAACATCGTTTTGGTTAAAGTCCGGACAAGATAATCTCAAACGTGTCTTACAAATGGAAAATAATAAAAATCGAGCGAAAAATATAATAGTCTTTATCGGCGATGGGATGGGATTGTCAACCATAACTTCGGGGCGCATTTTCAAGGGACAAATGAGAGGCAATTCTGGAGAAGAATTTAAATTGTCGTTCGAACAATTCCCCAGCACAGGATTTTCAAAGGTAAAACAATTTATTTTTTAACATTCTCGAATGACGCAACGACAATCGTATCCAGTTTCCTAATCTATCATCTCGCGTTGTCGCGTATAAATCTTTCAAAAAAGATTGCTTGCATAAACAACGTCTGCCTCCCAAGCGTTATTTAACCAAAAGCCAAAAGACCTTTTGTCGTTAAAAAAAATGTTGATGTACGTGATCAATGGGACGTATGGCCATCAGAGACCGCAATGGAAAATAATGCATTATTTATAACGCTGTTGCAGACGTACAACGTGGATCGACAAGTGCCCGATTCGGCGGGAACGGCCACTGCCATGTTTTCCGGTGTCAAAGCCCAGTACAAAATGTTGGGCCTCGACGGCAAAGCCAAGTGGAATACGTGCGACAAGACCGTCAACGAAAATAGCCGATTGACCACCATCGCCTCTTGGGCTCAGAACAGCGGCATGGACACGGGTAAGTGCACTCGTCGCTGCGACTACAAATTATTCTCGTCGGCTGTAGTGAATTATCGCTTTTTAGCGACACGTATCTTACCTAATGACCACCTGTACGCTGGATGCATGTTATGTATTTTACGCTTCTTCCTACCTAAATACGATGCCCAGAGTTATAAATGTGAACGCATACGGACTAAAATCATCGATCCTTTGTATCCTCGAGCCGGTGAGCATTTGTTAGCGGTTCTTGGCGGTTCTTGTCGGCTGCTGTACGGACATTTCTCGATCTTTATATAGAACGATCGTTGAGAAACTCTTCAATCATAGTGCATTGAGCAGAATTAAACTTTTTACTTGGATGCAAACTTGTGTGCCATGCAATTGCAAGACGAAAAATTTACTCGACGAGATCGTCCATTAGAATTTAATAATAAAACGTTTCCATACGTCACGAATGTCAATAGTTTTTGCTTCCAATGATAAAATGCCTTTCAAGGCTAACAATGCGCGTGAAAATCATTTGTTTGAGTCTCGCTTTCTTATCATAAAAACATAAGCGCGTTTATTTATTTATATATTTCTTTTGTGTCGATTCGTAACAGTTAATTCTCCAGCATTCTCGGTATCATTCCTCCTTGACTTTATTAGCAATTTTCTCTCGGTGCAATTTTCAGGTAAACTAGATGCACGAGTTTCGAGCACTGAAACTTTATCATTGATTGAGACATTGACGGTTTTAACAACGACGTTGTCACTTCAGGTGCATAAACTTGACTTTTCATAAATTTATTTTATTATTAGATAATCGCTCGATCGGAACATTAACTAACTGTGTCATTAACGTACTTTCGACGTATGGCTCGGGTTCAATGAATTTTCAATAAAAATATGAAATGAAATTATTTGAAGAAATAGTAGGAGAGGTAGGATATTTTTGCATAGAATCGCAGCAAGCTAAAAAGCTCGAAAGATATTGAAATGAGAAAGATCGCAAAGCGGTGTTATAACGAAACTGCTACTCCGCTTGATAGGGTATGCGTGCACTTTGCAATTGACAGCTGCGCAAGTTCCTCGTGATTGAGTCCGTATGATCAGCCCAGCTGGCGGGCTAATCGGTCAATTGATAATCAGGTACTCGTCGGGCCTTGGCAACGTTAATCGTTGCGTTAAACGATGTGTCGCCGTCGTCGTCGTTCATGCACTCCGCACGTATAGCGAGCGATCAACGTAATACGCAGTACCGTGATATATGCACGCGCTCCGCACAAGAAAGGACGATGCCGTTACGTTAGATAGAAAAAAACGTCGAGGTCGTCGTGCGCACTTCAAAGGTCTTTCTTTTTTGCTATACGCTAGCCGACATCGACACGGCCGAGTCGGTCGAAATTTCCTACCTTCGCCCGCGCTGTGCTCGACTAATCGATCGTTGGAAATTTACAATAATTTCCATTTTCGTCCGGCTCGAGAATTTCGCGAAATCGCACAAAGGAGCGCTCGCCGGATTAGTTCATGAGTTGACAATTTTTTTTTGTTTCTTTGGTAAACAATGAGACGTCATTTCCAATGCGTTTCTGCCGCTGTTTGTATACGCGTTGCGACAAGTGCGCGAGCTCAATGATATAATTCGGCGAATAATTCCTACTCTCTCGAACCGCATTACCGGTTTAGTATCATTGAACTCGATTTTCCGTCGCACGCGTGCACAATGTTTTCCCGAGATAATTTCAATAACAATTTCATTCGAATATTAATTGTATCGATTATTTGTGTTTCAAAAAATTAGGATTCGTCACTACGACCCGAGTAACGCACGCGACGCCCGGTGCCTTGTATGCCCACACAAACAACAGAGATTGGGAATGCGACACGTCCATTCCTCGCGTTTACAGAGATTGCATCAAAGACATCGCTCGGCAATTAGTGGAAGATGCCCCGGGCAACAAGTTCAAGGTGAGTTGATTTTTTCTCTTTTCCTAATCACTTCACTTCCTTGTAAATCAACTGATGCATTGACTCGTGCATTTTGTCGCTCGAGCCTGTAAATCCCCCTGCGGCACTGGCACAATACACTCACAGGCACAAGCTATGTATACACACACGAGTATCCGTGTATGTGTATCATAACGGCCTCTAATATTATGCTTGCGATGCTTGCGTACAGTAATTATTGCGTAACCGGCTGATCTCTAAAATCATGCGCGTGCGGTTGTTGAATCATTTTTCATATTATGTGTGTATACGATACCACCAAGCGTTCAGCATTTTCATATCGACTAAGTACACTCGTTATGGTATTTTCTACGTCATTGTTTTCAATTTTAAACTATTTTTGTTCACTTTGCTTATATACGTTTTCGAGATAAGCTTTGTACTGCGATATTCGTGGCAAATGCAAAGTTAATATTCACTTTTACTGAACGAAAGTTCCAAATTATCAATGAGGAAGTATTAAATCTAGTCGACTTGATAAAAAAATGGATCAAGCAAAGACCTTGACCTTGAAGCCTATATTTCCAGCAATTGCAAGCTGCTTTATGACTACTCATCTCGATTTAACATACCCTAACTGGAGCTCTCTTGAATTCCCCTCACTTTTCGTCATTTAGACATTATGCGCTTTTTCCTAATAATTTTACATGACATCGATTTAATTTGCACAGGTTATCATGGGCGGCGGCGCTGGTATGCTAGGATTCAACAGCCCTTATCCAGACAAGGAAGCGTGCCAGCGTAACGATGGTCGAAGACTGGCCCACTCGTGGCTTCTTGCTAATCCAGGCAGCAAACTTGTCACCAATACGGTGGATCTTTTTAACGTAGATCTAAATAATACGACCAAGTTGATGGGGATTTTCGCCGATGATCATCTTCCATACGCAGCCGTCAAACCCCCCTCGGTTCCTTCTCTCGCTAACATGACAGTTCAAGCCATCAAGATGTTAAAAAATAATAAACACGGTTTCTTTTTAATGGTAAGTCACAAGAGTATTTTTGACTCCATCTATGTTTGATACTTAAATATCAAGGGAAAGTTAACGGTTAACATAAAAAATATTTATCTTTGGGTATTTAATGAATTGTATAAAAAACTTTTTTATTCGATCTTTATATTATTCCATTATACTTAAAAATATGATGTTTTTGAGTTGTTGTAAAAGTTTGGTTTAAAAATTATCCGATACAGGTCGAGGGTGGTAAAATCGATTTGGCTCATCACAAAAATTATGCTCAATTGGCCGTCAGAGAAGTTGCGGAACTGGACGATGCCGTGATCGCTGCAATGCAAATGGTGAATCTCGACGAAACTTTGATTGTCGTGACTGCCGATCATTCGCACGCCTTCACCATGAACGGCTATCCGCAGCGCGGAAACGACATTCTGGGCCTGACTGAGTCATCTGGCAACAAGCAAAAATACGAGACCCTTAGCTATGCCAATGGTCCAGGCTACTTTTACCATAGGCTCAATGACAGTGACAAAATTTGGAGAGATCTTGAGAATGATACCAATAGGGATGATCCATTTTACGTCCACTTCTCACCCCGCTATTTGAAAGATGAAACTCACGGAGGTGAAGATGTTGGTGTCTATGCTATCGGTATGTAAAACTTTTACTTCTTGACATTTCATATGGATAATTTATTTAACCATATGAAGATGGAATGTTTTTTTAGTACTTCAATAACTATCTAAAACTCAAAACAAAGACAGAATTCTTTATTAGTTTCATAACAATCATTACATTTTGTGAAATTTAAACGACCTGTAATAAAAATAATTTTTCAAATTCTTTGTAAAATATTTTTAGATCTGCAGTTTTTAGATAAAATGTGATAGAAATTAAAAAAATATAGATAGTGGTAGATCAATACTGATATAAAGTAATTCGATGCATTGACGTAATTCTGTTTTTTATTTCAGGACCATATTCTCATTTATTCCGCAGCACTTTCGAGCAAAACTACATTGCTCATGTTTTAGCTTACGCAGCCTGTTTTAAAGATTGGCCGTCACACTGCGATCAAACCTATAATCGATACTTCTACCATATTTCACGTACCAACGATGCTGCGACGAGACATTTGACTTTACCTACTTTTATTATTTTTGTTTTAACTGTCTTCATAAATTCTTTATAATTACTTTATAAGTAGCTGAAAATGTCATTTCTTGTACACAAGATAACTATTTTACTAAAAAATACCTTTCTACACGGTACAGCAACTTTGAAAAATACGTTAGGAGCTACTCTACTGTATGAAATGGTATTTTTGAAAAATAGTTTCATAGATAAATTCATACGTATTAATTTATGTCCAGAAAATATAAAAAGGTACGCAGCTTTTGATAACCATACGAAATATTAATTTGTTATGATTTCAACTGGGGTGGATCTTTGTACTTTGAAGCACAAGCATATTCGACTATTTTTAAATAGGCTTATTTTTGAAATTGTAGCGCCTTTAAAAAAAGGAAGAAATTTTGTTCAATATTTTTGGCAAAAATCGTTTAAAACACCAAAGTTTAACTATTTTTCTTTAAACCTATTATGTTCAGCGTTTCAAAGTACTTAAAGAACATACGTTTAGCAAAACGTTTTAATTTATGAATGTTCTCTTAGTTATTTGAAACTTTCAAATTTATAAAATGTTATTGATTGATAAAATTTCAAATGCAACCTTCAGAGTTGAGATTTCAGAGCGATATTTAGCAGTAATATTGGTTTATGTTTTGTTAACAAACATTTTCCATAATTTTTTTTAACATTAAATGTCTATTTGAAATTGTATCGATCCTGAACAAGCTGTTGTACTTATAGATTGCATTATTTATAATAAATGATTCGTGCTTGAAAAAAACATTTTGATAGCATGTCGAGTTCACTGCTCATAACTGATCGAAAAATTCAAACGAATGTAATAGTTGAAGGTATTTCAATCTCGATTCAATTTTCATTCAATTTTATGTTCATCGAGTAGTATGATTAAATGTAATTCATAAGTTTGTAGAGTAAAATATACGAGTAAATCGTACTTTCGTAAATAACGTTGGTCAGCTTAGTCCTATTTGCTAGAACATTTTATATAAAGTCATTGAAGTATAAATATTGTTATCTTACGGAATTGTCATACCATAAACAGTATTTTTTATGCGTGTATAGTATCGAGATGAAAGAGAATCATTGGGAAAGATAATTTTAAATTTGTTTTACTTCTGTAAATAAATATAATGCGACGAATATTTATATTGTGTCTACATAATTGTATATCCTGCAAACTTGGATATTTTTCCATGTGACTATACTTTTAAGTGCATGTGTGGCATATTGACACAAAAATTAATTATATTTTCTCTACAAGAAAAAATAAAAATTTTAATTACTTCATGCATCACAGCGTTACGTGAAAAAATATTAGCGTTTGTTTCAAATTGTTTTCAAACTTTATTTGCAGGATTCGCACATCTTCGTTCAGTCTTGTTTGAATTGATCCCTTTTACCACACTTAAAAAATAATTTTTGTATATTAGAGGTGCTACATCATCACTGACGAAATTACGTTCCGGTTTTAGCGAGGCAAATGGATTGCGTCGAGGCTCACATTCCACTTGAGCCTCACGAATATCACGAATTCGCTGCAAATCTCGGGGCAATTCTACTTCGGTATAGGATGTAATTAGTATAGGTACCCCATAGTTACAAAATTTTTCTATCGTTAGAGGCCAAGTATCCTGCAAATAGTAAAATTTATTTAAAAATGAAATTTTTTTAAATAAAAATTATTCCAGAATATACCAACTTGATTTGCAAATCCTGTTGTTCGGTAAAGTCCAGGGTTAAATAAACAAATTAAATCCGGTTTGTCATTTTCAACCTGGTGATATAATTTCCCACAGTGAAAAATAATATCAATGGTTCGTCCTTTCGTACGACAACTAGTGCATAATTTGGGTTTTTGAAGAACATTAGCTATATCTGGAGGCACGTAAAATTCTGGACCACAAAATTCAAGCCTTAAATTTTTAATTCCCGGCATCAAGTGCATGAATAATTTTTCCCATACAGCCAAATTAGCACACTCAAATTGTAATTCCGCTCCAATAACATGAATTTTCAAAATTTTTCGGTTCTAAAAAAAGAGAGTTTATAATAAAAACATTTATTTGTAAAAATGTAGCTAATCTAATGAAAATGAAAATCATAAAAAATAATTTATTTCAAATAAGTTGATGAATTACCAAGTTTAGCTTCAGTTGTTTCCGTAAAACATAAAAAGCCGTCAAAGCTGGACTAGCAATTTGCGATAAAGCCGCATAAGTTGTGCAGTCAATTTTTTCGTAGTCGCAGCCGATGTCAAATATTTGCTTAATCAACTCGTCAAAACTATCTGGCAATTCGTGGTTTTCTTCAAATATATAATCCGGTATCTTGGGAGCAACAAATCCATTGTCTCTCTGAGTTCGTAAAATCGTTTGAAAGACTTTGTACTCCTGGCAATACAAATCATGCTGTTTCTTGTGAACAGGATCATCTTTGCAAAAAAATTCCATGAGGCACTTGTCGCACTGCTCCAAATTCTCGGACGCGTGACAAGCTCTGCACAGTTTTGGATAGAGCAAAATTTCCCGCTCCCAGAGTTCCATTCGTCGACCTAAGGCCGTTTGAACAATGTGCAACAATTCGATGCGAAAACTTCTGTATTCGTCGGCGTTTAAATTTTTGGCCAAGTCAAGTCCGTGATTGCGTCGGCAAATTTCGGTGACGACCGTGCACAATTGTTTATGAAATTTCACGTTCTGTTGGTGGTGCTCTAGAGAGCAGTAAACGACCATATTGCAGGAATCACACGGCACACTCGTTTCAGCGGTGCATGGCTTTGAGCAAAAGTAGCAAAGACTCGGGGCGAAGTAAGGCCGAGGGCGAAAATCCAGTTGCAATTCACATTCTTCGTCGTCGACCTCTTCGGCGTGATACGGGGATATGTTTAATCTTTCCGTTATCAAAAGTGGCTTACTTTCGGCTAATGATTTTTCTATTATTTCATCGTCGATGCGTGCGTTGTATTTCGAATTATTCGATTTGAAAGATTGTCCAGTTTTGTGCTTCCGCTTTGATTTTCGTCCCATTTTCAAATCCGTACCTGCAATTTAATTATTTGAGCTTGAATGAATGTTTTATTGATTTTAATTTTAGTACTGTAATAAATAATACACCAATCCACTTGGCATAAGTGGTATTGTAAAACTACCAATTGTTGTTTCATATAGGGCATGCCTGCTAGTGGCTGACTGTCTAAGAAATGATTACAAAGTACCTGGCCATTTTCTTGCATAAATTTATAAAGTAAAGTGATATTATCTTTTTCGACACAATAAATGCATTAATTTTATAATGAATCACTCCAATACGGTATTAAAATAATTTAAAAGTGAAACTAAAAGCTTCTAGGACTCGAATAAAAAATGATCGAATATTATAAAGAATGGTTCGGTAGGTACTACTGTAGCAAGTTTCCTCTATTACAATTTAGTCGATAATTTAATTCAAATGTTGATTCGTTGTATAGATGGAAGATGGCGTACCATCTCTCAGATTCTGGCGTTGGCGTCTGGCGGGGTTTGTTTTGTTGAGCGCGTAATAGTCGCGCAATAGTTAGAGTGCAAGCTAATGCAGTTGCGAATCGTCCGTTACGTTATTGTTTATCAACAAATAAAGTGTACACATCAAATCAGCATAGTAAATAATATCACCGAGTATAGAAAAAACATTATAGTTAAAGAATAAAGTGTGGATGGCAGTAAAGAAACCTTCGAAAGGAATGAATCGAAAGATTGGCTTCGGCATCTGTGCGCAGTCTGCTGCAGTTTGAATTTCAAAACATTGAGATCCGCCAACTGTTGGGTACTGACTGTAACTGACTTTCAGCTTACACGTAAAATCATAACTTCTTTAAATTGGTATGTACTTTAAATCTTGCAATAAGACTTGATAAATAAACACTCATACCAAATCATTAATTACTTCGTAAGAGTCAATAATAAAAATACAACAAAATGGAGCCAGAAGTTTTACAAAGTGTTTTGGAGGAATCCGGAATTCAAGTAGACATGAAAAATTTACAAAATCCTACAGAGGAATTTATGATATATTTAATCACAGAATACTTGAGTAAATATCATTTGGATGTAAATCAAATTGCAAAGGTAAATTTCATTTTTAATAATTTTCTATATTTACCAAATAATCACTATTCAATTTTGTAGCCTACATTGGAGCAACTTGAGTGTCTATTAAGTCCAGATTCTCCATGGGAGGTAATCAAAGTAATCAATTTATTTTCTGCTCTTTCATCATTTTGCAATGAAATATTTTTGGTTGATCTTTGTCTTACAGATATCACTAGTCCAGGTAAGTAATATTATATTAATATAATTCAAACTACTAGCTTTTTATCTAATAATCGAAATAAAATTTATAGGTCCTAAAAGAGCTCGAAGACAAATTAAGATTCTTTTCAACTTTTTTGCCTACTACAAAAATAAAATGGTTGAACATGAAACAAGCTTTGAAGAATTGGATAATCGTCAAAGAGAAATTGATGATATGATAGAAAATAAAAGTTTATCAATTGCTAAAATTGGAGCAACTATCGATGAAAGAGAGAGTAAGATTGAATATAAACAAATGGTAATTTTATTCTCAAATTATATCGTCATAAGTAAAATAGATTCAGATTGATTCTTAACAATCACTGTTTTCAGCTGCAAAAAGAAATAGAAAATCTTCAAAAACATATTGAAAATAACAATAAAAAAAAACAAGAGCTAGAAAATCAAGTGGGAGAAATCATGACCAGACATCAAGATAAACATAAACATTTTACTGATTTGAAAGCCAAAGCTATCCAGGTATTTTTAGTTGATTTTTTTAAATATATAATTAAGTATTAATTATATTCAACCTTACATTTAATATTTTGCAGCTTCATAAAATAACAGTTGAATTACAATCCAAAATTGTAAAATCTCCAGAAGAATATGCTAGCCGCTCAAGTGAACTAAAAAAAGTTATAGAAATGAAAAAAGAAGAACGACAGGAATTGAATGACTCTATTCAAAAAAAGAAATTACAAATAAAAAAAAATGAAAGTGCTCAGGAGTTGGTTAAAGATCTCAATGACAAGTTTCAGATTAATTCTAAAGACACTTACAAACAACTGAAGTAAATTGCTGTTTCTTGCAAAAATATTTAATGAACTACGCATTCATGAATCATTCATTTTTTACAGGGAAGCGACTGAAAACTTGAAATTAGTGGAGAAAAAATTGAATACATTAAACCATGACATTCAAAGATGGTCAAGTATTGAAAAACAAAATTCAACTGATCATTCAACAGACAATGACTATGAAAGTCATAAGCAATTGTTATTTGAATTAGATAATCAACTTTCTGATAAAGAGAGGTATGATAATATTATTCTTCTTATTTGTCTGATTCACTTCAATAAATTATGGTAAATTTTTTATTTTAATATAGAGAGTGTAGTTCTCAAAAAAAAATGTTAGAGCGTGTGAAGTTGGAGTTGAATGGAAAGAAATCAATTTTAGAACATGAATTATCAAATATTAAAGCAACCGAAAATGATGGCATTAAAAAGTTGAGAGAGTTTAAAAATTATTTCAGGAAAAAAATATTAGAGGTAAATGAACAAAATTGTATAGAACCAAAGTTTAACTTATACAATATTCATAAAACTAAATTAATTTCATTTATTTATTTTATTTGAAGGAGATGAATCTTCGAGAACAAATTATGGAAAAAGTATTTGGTAGTAATCATGAAAAATTATAGACAGTTTTTAAAGTTAAAATCATAGTAAAATATTCAATTTTCATGGAAAGTTGAATTCAAAGAGTATTACTGTAAATATGATATTGGCTTTGGTGTTAAAAGCTGTTTTTACTAATATTATTAATGAAGTAGATAATATAACTTTTATTTACGAATTGTAAAATTTTAATAATTTACGTGTATTATAAATTTAATTTATGTATTACGTGTCTTATATAATTTTTTTACCTTAACTCTTAGACTTTTTATTGTCTTTGTACTAAAAATTGTTCTATTCGTAGTATTAATTATTTTACAATAATTTACTTGAGCAGAAGCCGTTTCTATAAGATGGCTTCATTGTATTCGAAGTAATGGCGTTTGAATTTTCACTGAGATTGTTATATTTGAAACACAAGTTATGCAATCGCATGCAAACTATAGGTAAATGCATATAAATTGTTCGAACTGACGTAAATTTTTTTTTACCTCTCACTGTTTTTAAGCTCTCTTTTTAACAGAGATGATTAATCAAGTAGTCACATAAAATATTATTAAATATTTGCAGACACTGAAGTCTTTAGACGACAGTGGCAACAGTTTTGTCCCTCAAAATTCACAATTATTTCGATCGGTGTGTTTAGTGATACGCAGAGATCGAATACCAGCTTCGCTATCAGTTTATAGAGCTTTGCCGAGCTCGAGCTTTTTACGCGCAGCCCTCGAGCCCGCAGAAATGCTACTGGTCGTCGCGAGCTCGTCGCTCCTATACACGACCGGCATGCAGAAGTTGTAAAAGCAGTACAAGTCGGGGAGCATTTTGACATTAGAAGGCGCGGCACACACCACCGGTCTAAGCTCTGCCGCTGGCTTCGCATCGCATATGGGCACAATGCCATTGTCCGCAAGCGGAACGCGCCGCCGACAGACGCGTACTCTTATTTGAAGACGAGAACGCATTAGTCAAAGCTACGGAGCGCACCACTGGCCGCTGTACTCGCAAGCACTGCCAACGACCAAAGCTGTACTACTTTTGGATCGGCCCATCCGCCTGGTAACTGTACACGGACATCTTTTTAAAAATATTCAAACAAACTCGCTGCTGTCAATTATCTCATCTACTCTGCTTGAGAACACAAAACTGTCGATATAGCATCCGCTCTATGAATTTCAGTTTTTCTCCCCTTCCTATTATTAGATTTACTGAAAGAAAATGACACAATAACATGAACGATACTACCGTCACATATTTCGATTCATAATTAAATTCATTACTTGTTCATTCAAACAATCTCTGCACCGTATCAGAATGATAAGTTTCTTCGAAGAATAGGAGATTAAAGTGTAGAAATAAACGAAGAAAAACGTAAATTTAATTAAATAAAAGTTGAAGGTACTTACTACGTAAACTTAAATAGGCACTTTCTTACGCTCTAGATAATGTAAAAGCTCTGTAGGGCGCTCATGGAGACTTGGCGGATAAGGCAAATTGGAAATCTTTTGGCTTCGAGCCAATGAAGTGATCGATCAGAAAACATTATTAACAACATTGTTTATTGCTACAATAGAGTTAAGTATATGAAAAAAAAAAAGAATTTAAATTTAATCCACTAATAAATATCGAAGTGCATTTCAGTACGAAGCGATTTCGTCGATAACTTCTAAATGTAAAAAAAATATTAGTTCAAAAACCACAATGGTGAAGTGAAAAAGTGAACTCTCCGAGCCCAACATGATCGCATTCGGTTTGTAAATTTTAATCATTGTATTATCGGCGTGAAACTTGAATAAATTGCATGTGCACACCTATAAGTGTACGCCCGATGTTCCTACTTTGGACAAATCACTTAGCGCGCCCTCACCACTGCGCTGCAATTTATATAAGTCTGTGAACTCTGTCCAGTGAGTGCAACACTATATGCACGAGATATCTGTATGTCTGCACTGCCTACTGAACTGTATTGACTAAATGCAAAGTGCAATCCACTTTCATACTCGACTTACATACTGTGTACATTTATTCGTACCTAAAATAACTAAGAGATGTACACTTGATATTATGAATTGAGCTTGTATTTTAGCACGTACGTAATATGAATCAAATTTTCGTAAAGCGTTAGTATTAGTTGATCAAATAAAATATAAGTCTTTTTAACCGATCATTCGAAGAGCAGTTAAGCACGATATTTTAATACAAATAGTTGATTTGTTAAAGCTCTATTTCGTTTTACTGGCCAAGTTAAAGTTTCGAATCAAATTGGAATTTTTTTGAGAGCTTATAAGCTCAAGTTTTACTTAAGTAATGATTGAGAAAGGATTAATTTTTTATCGCGTATACATTTAAAAAATGTAATTGAAATTTTCCTACGATTCCTGGTTCAAAAGCTCGTTTTCAAGTTTGTTACTGAGCTTTCTCTATGATCAGAAAGCAATTTGAGTTTCATGTGCAAAAATTAACAGAAAACTATGATTATTTAAAATTTCGTGCATGAATTTTCTCATTTATAGTCCAATCTAATTATAATTTTAATCAATCATACTTGAACGGCTCCAGTCGTTGGTATCTCAAGAATCACTGACCGTCAGTGATCAATTCGAAAACACCGGTTGACACGTGTGTTGATTGAGGCAGCGGCGGCTGGTGGAAGCGAGAATGACAGATGTCAGTGAGTTATTTACCAAGTTCCGCTATTGAACCTCTTGTTTACATCGCCTTAGAAGATGTCAAAATTCCTTTATATTATACTATGATCATCGAGTGTCAATGAAATAGACATTCTGCAGACGTTCTGCACGTGCCCGGGTCTGTGTTCGTTGTATGTACGACAAATTTATGTGATAAAATTTCGCAGTTTTTGTACAAGTAACAACGACCTTTTGAAAATACCGGTATTTAGGCTCGCAAAATGATGTTTACCATCCGCGATTAAATGTGATTCATTTCGACCACTGAACGAAGACCAATGAAAGTTGAACGTGACTTTGCAAAACGCTTATAATGTGAATGATTTTATCATTATCACTTGCTGGCGTTTGTGGTAATGCTGTGGTCTACCTACTATTAAACTGATAATAATTCATATCTTGTTACTGTCATTCATACCTAATTCTATATAATTGGTTTACTACAATAGCAGACGTTTTTACAATTATTGTTTTGCTGAGTGGTAAAGGTACTGTCATCACGTAGTCTGTAAAAATAGGCTCTTCATCTCTTAAATTCTGTAAATTATAATAAAATTTATAACTATCTCAAATGCTATTTGTATTGAAATCCTTTCATAGGACTAAGACGTTCGCTAAATTCTGCATAAAGATAAATATGTCAACTGCTACAGAAGATATTTATTTACAAGCAGCCAAATTTTTGGTACCAAGTTTAAAAGTAAATAAGCATAAAGGACAAAATGGAAGGATTGGAATCATTGGAGGTTCTGTAGAGTATACTGGTGCTCCATTCTATGCAGGAATGAGTGCACTTAGAACAGGTGCTGATTTGGCCTACGTATTTTGCTGCAGAGAAGCAGCTACCGCTATCAAGTCTTATAGCCCAGAATTGATTGTTCAACCTTACTTGGACCTCGAGTGTCCTTTCGAATTGATTGAACCATGGTTGGATCGCTTGCATGTGGTTCTGATTGGTCCTGGTTTAGGCAGAGATTCACAAATTTTAAACGGGCCTGTAACTTCAATAATAAACTATTGTAAAATTAAATCAAAACCTTTGATCATAGATGCTGATGGCTTATATTTAGTTAGTGAGAATCCTGAATTGCTATCAAATTGCTCTAAAGTTATTCTTACTCCAAATGTTATGGAGTTCAGTAGATTAGTAAAAAAATTCTTGAACAAAACTATCGATCTAAGTGCAGATATTAAAGATGATCAAGTCAAGGAACTTGGTATGTTTTTATTATCAGGATGAGTAAATAAAATGTAATAATACATGATTATATTGTTGCAGCTGATAAAATTGGTCCAAATGCTATAGTACTTCTTAAGGGAAAATCTGATATTATCTCTTCAAATGCAGTAAGCATTCATTGCTCTGTGTCAGGGTCAGGTCGACGCTGTGGTGGACAAGGTGATTTGCTATCTGGATCTTTATCTGTATTAACTTGGTGGGCTCAGCAGAACAATGCTTCCTTGTCAAAGTTTTTAGGAGAAAATAATCTGACAACATTAAATGCAGATATGCTCGCTTGCTATGCAGCATCAAGACTTATTCGTGAAACCAATGCTTTTACTTTTACAGAGAATCACCGTGGAATGCTAGCAAGCGATATGCTCAATTGTTTATCAAATAACTTTTATAAAATTTTAGAAGTAGATTAAGAAATTTGATAATATCATCATGACAGGGATTATGTATATTTACATAAATATTGCAAGAAATAAGATTGACCAAATTTATTTTTAATTATTAAGCTGAATTGTTAACTATTTTAAGAAGAAATATTTAATAAAAATTTCTATGTACCTCTTGTTATAAAGGCCATTCTTTTTCATTGTTTTGATGATTAAAAAAAAAATTTAAGACTGCCTGAGGTAACAATAACTATTACATTTTTTACGACTGATAACATAGTGGGATGAAATAGGGAGCAAATTTAAATATGCCTCCTCAGTCCTGTCAGAGTCAGTATTTAGATTTCTACTTGCCCCCAGCAGATGGCTCTATTTTGACAGGCCGTTCGCCGCCACCTATGAGAATTGGGATCAACAGCGAAAATCGAGAACAGTTTGCAGTTTGCATTCTGCGATTTGCAACGTGTGCAACACATCCCGGCGAATTGGTGTATGAAAGTGCAACTCTCCTGGAGTTTTCCCTTCTTTTCATTTAACTCATTAAGTTAGGTAAATAACTTACAAAGATTCTTTGGAGAACAATTTTTAAGCGTCAAAATGCTTTGCCAAATCTAAGGAGTGCGATCAGTGGGCTTGCCGTTCTATCGATGATAATTTGTTTACAGGCATAAACATGGAACCGGTGGTTACTGAGCAGTTGAATAGCAGTAAACAGCGTTTAATGAGCGACTCCACGGAGCCCAAAGCTCATTTTGTTGCTCCTGTTGTTCCCCACAATGCTGATGGATGGGGTCCTTGTGAACTGCCAGACCAGTTCAAAGATATGCCATACCAACCTTTCTGCAAAAGTGATCGAATTGGCAAAGTAAGTCCTTCAAAGTATTTTTGTTGTAGATTTGGTTTCTTTCTTTTACATCCAGAATTCATTTTTATCTATTTATCCATAGATAGCTGACTGGACTATACCGGCTTGTCATGACAAGAAGTTTGGAAGTAAGTTTGTTGATATTTACTTTCTATTCAGTGATTTAAAAAATGGTCATATTCTATTCAGATTATTTAAAAGTTTTACTCAACTTGTAATAATATTTGTTTTTTTAGACAAATATGCCTCTCAATTTGGCGGTGGCAGTCAATATGCATATTATCATGAAGAAGATGAATCTACTTTCCATCTTGTTGACAATACTCGAGTACAAAAACCACCTTACCAACGAGGAAAGTTCAGACAAAACAGAGGAATGCGTGGCAGAGGCGGTAGTCGTGGTAGTGGTGTTGGTCAGATGACAGCCCTCAACAAACTCAAGCTTAGAGAAAAAGACCGTAAAGGGCAGAATAAACGCTGGGGTCGCCAGCAAGGTATTCGTGGCAAGACACGCGATGCATCAGTTACTGTAAAACCAGATTGGGTAACCATTGAAGAAATGGACTTCCCAAGATTGTCCAAGTTGACATTACCCGGTGTCAAAGATCCAGAAGATGTTGTCTGTTGTGGTGCCTTGGAGTACTATGACAAAAGCTATGACAGAGTCAATGTTAAGAACGAAAAACCTCTACAGAGAATCGATCGCATTTTCCATACCGTCACGACTACCGACGATCCGGTTATCCGCAAATTATCCAAAACTGAGGGCAATGTGTATGCGACCGACGCAATTTTGGCAACCATCATGTGCTGCACGCGTAGTAACTACTCTTGGGATATCGTTATCGAGAAAATTGGCAACAAACTTTTCTTCGACAAGCGCGATAATACCGAGTTCGATTTGTTGACTGTGAACGAAACCAGCGTTGAGCCACCGCAAGACGACGGAAACTCGCTCAACTCGCCGAGAAATCTGGCTCTCGAAGCCACATTCATCAATCACAATTTCTCGCAACAAGTATTGAAATCCGACACGAAGTACAAATTCGACGAGCCCAATCCGTTCGTGTCGGAGGAGGAGGAAGGCGAGGTGGCCAGCGTTGCCTACAGATACAGAAAGTGGGACCTGGGCAACGACATCACGCTGATCTGCCGCTGCGAGCACGACGCCGTGACCCAAGGCCCGAACAACGAGACGCAATTCCTGACGATCAAGGCCCTCAACGAGTGGGACTCGAAGTTGGCCAACGGCGTCGAGTGGCGTCGCAAGCTCGACACGCAGCGAGGCGCGGTCCTGGCCAATGAGCTGCGCAACAACGCCTGCAAACTGGCCAAGTGGACGGTCCAGGCTCTGCTCGCGGGCTCCGATCAGCTCAAGTTCGGATACGTGTCTCGCGCCAGTGTGCGCGACTCGAGCAAGCACGTCATCCTCGAGACGCAGCAGTACAAGCCCAACGAGTTCGCCAGTCAGATCAATCTGAACATGGACAACGCCTGGGGCATTCTGCGCTGCATCATCGACACCGTGATGAAGCAGAAGGACGGCAAGTACCTCATCATGAAGGACCCGAACAAGCCGATGATTCGCCTCTACGACATACCCGACAATACCTTCGAGAGCGAGGGCGACGAGGAGGACGACGAGGAGGAGGAAGTCAAGGACGCTTTCCAGAGTTGAACCAAAGCCGTAACGTGCATTTAGAACTGTCAAACATTTCCAATTATCATCTGTTTATGTTATTTGTATATTATTAATGGTGGCATTGATGATAAAAAAAATGGTCACAATAAACTTTCGCTTTTTTAAAAATTCTCCATTCTTACTGATTCAACGGTGAGTGCCTACATTTTTACAATAATACTTACTGATTCAAAATTCAGAGAATCTTATGTATTCAGCAGTGCATGAAAAAATTTCTCAAGAATTTATTTATTTATTTTTATAAATTATCACATTTCGACGCGGAGCCTCGAGAGTCGTTTTCTTCTACGGCAAAAATAATTCATATTTTTTCTGCATTCATGTGCGGCGAAAATTAATTTTTTATGCGAAATAATAAAAGTAAAATTTTAATATAAAATAAATTTAGAGCTTTTTTTCTGATCTGAAATAAATACAATGATCAATTTAATTTAGCTGAGATTAAAAACCAACTTGCTTAACTTTATAAACGTGTTGGAGAAATTGGCACAGCGAATCATTATTGAAAATAAATGAAATGCAGTCAGGAAAATAAAGCTTTACTCTCCACAAGCAAAATGTTTTGCCTCGGCTATATCAGACAAGCTCAAAGATACGGAAATCGAAAGATTAATTCAGCTTTGGTAAGTCCATGAACAGTGATTCGTATTAGGTTTCTACACAATTCATGATCTTGATTACTTTGTATGGGGGTAGTAAAAGAATCACCTTGCGATCGATAGCGGTACTTTGCCTATGAACTACATTGGTTTCGATGGCAAAATATGCGTCATTCTTCCCAATTAAGTTTAGAGATCGTGTGATAATAAGTAACGTGATACAAATTGAAGACTTACTTTTTATTAGGTCTTTATTTTTGAAGATTGTCCAAATTATCCGCGTTAACTAAAACTCGGTAAGAGGCGAAGATTTTTCAAATTCTTAATAAACGTTCTCTTTCCGATTTCATCTCGAAGGTATCAAATCAACTTTAGATAAATATGAAACACAAAAGTAACAATTTTTACGATCAAGTAATTCAGTATTTTGAATTTAGAGACTGAGTAATAAGTATACGACAAGTGACAAACTGATTAACCACAGTTATTCACACAAAATAAGACAATTATTCACAGAGTAAAAGTAAACATTATTTTTTTCAGATTCAATTGAGCAATGATATTAAAATTAGTGACATGATAAAAAGTGAAGATTTTTCTTATTTTGTGTAACCTTTGGGCATTGTCCCAATGCATAAATTTAACATATCAATTAAAATATTTTGTGTAAATATATAACTCTATAATAGTTTCTTGAATAAAAATAAAAAAGAAGCAAACAAATAGTCTCACAAATGAACTTCTGTGAAAATGTTCATTTATAATGATTTTGATTACATCTATGATAATATTTAATAAAAGTAAAGAATTGTAAATTATAAAAAACGCTTATGTTGAATTTTTATTTTTTGGAATGTAAATTGCTTCCAGCTGTTGAGCCACTTTGTCATATTCTGCTTCTTTTGCCAAGTATTCTGTTACAAAAGGATGTTTGGGATGCGAATCTTTCAATTGCATGAAGTATCGCTGAGAAGCCTCTTCTGGTTTTCCAAGATGAGCTAATACGACCATCATATTAACTAACGTATTTGGATTGTTACTGTCTTTTTCCAGTGCCTCTTGAAGTACTTCCTCAGCTTCTTCAAACTTATGTTGCAGAGCTAGAGAATTAGCTTTACCATTTAACAATAGTGTTGTTGGGGTATATTTATCAATTAATTCCTAAAACAGAAGTCAGTTATTGATTGGATGGATATAGAATAATGTATTTTCCTAGCTGCAATCATCTTACCTGGAAAATGTAAAATGCTTCTTGGAATTTATTACCTCCTAGAGTTAAGTTAACATGAGCAAGAGAAAGCTGTGTGAGAGTAGCATCTTCATCTTTCTCCTGCATTGCTTTGACTTCACTTTGAGCTAAATCAGATCTATTCATCTTTAGGTAAATTTGAACACTGAGTGCCATACACTCAATATTGTCAGATTTCCATAATACTCTCAAAGCATCATCAAAGTTTTCTTCTTGATAATAGATTAAAGCAGCAACTAATCTAAAACTGGCACCTTTTTCTGCTACATGATACTTATCTTTTTCTAACTGCTCAAGAATTGTTTCCCTTTTTTCTGGTGAGGCAAAGTACTGCGCCAATAATTTAAGAGGTTGAAGTTCCTTTGGGGAATTATCTTTGATTTCATTCAGTGCTATACTGTATTTCTTTTGTGCCAAAAATGATCTGAACACAAAAATGTCCCTTTCCACAGTGGCTTCTGGAGAAGAGAGCTAAAAAATAATATCATTGCTATAAATAAACATTCTATAATTGTCTCATACAAAAGTTACGAATTTATTTCATTATTAAAAATATTTCGATTGTTCATGAGAGTTGCATCATAGCAGGTGACGCATAGCATGTATACCGTTTTTCGATTCGAAAATTTTAAATTTAGTATCAAAACATTGATGCAGTAACCTATCAAAAGCCCAAACATGTCAAACTATTTTTATTCCAAAATCGTAAATACAACCCGAACTGACTTGGCAAAGTTTTCACTACTTCGTAAATTTCTCAAAAAGCCATAAACTTCATTAAAATATGTACACAATAGACAGCACGAAAGCCAGACACATCCTCTGTACAATACTTGTCACCATATATGGCTGAGCGAACGTCATGTTGATCCCGTACGTAGGCACACACTCATCACTTTGGGCATTTAAATTACCTTCAACTTTTGGGCCTCGTTGATGCATTGCTGGTAATTACCGATGTAGAAGTAATTCCGGACGTTAAACAATTCGTCAACCTCGTTTTGTTGCTGCTGACGTGCCATGTTTATCGCGCTACTGTGTGACTATTACTGCTCAGCCGTCTGCAACAGGCGCGCAAGCAAAAATGAGCATATGTAAGGTGAACCGGCCGCCGCACCGCGATGACGAGTCGATCGTAATATGCCCCGCTTACGCTAATGTAGGCGTTGTGTACATTGCGAAACGATGAATTAGTAGTGGTTCGCGAGCGTGAATGGATAATTGCAAAGTGGGGTTTAATGACCCTCGCGCCGATGCCTTCTTTAAGGATAATTCAAATATTCTTAATTTCAACGATTTTACCTTCATAATAAGATTTGCTTCATTAATACTATTACAATATTGCACTTACTATTTTTTGGTATAAAATATTTATTTTCAATCATGATAAGTTCATATTTAATTGCAATGTTAAAATAAATTAATTAATACACCTTTTTGCATGGATAAAGAATTGTCTCTATTATATAAAGAGTTCTTAAAAATCATTGTGTTACCATCATAAAAATTATGAATGTATTTAATATCAGCTATAATTAGTGAATTTTAATTCATTTGTCAATACTACGATGAAAATATATAATGATTGATTCTTGAAATTTTATGACACATTAGTTTATGTAATCTAAAAGTTAATCTACATCTTCAGGTCGCACAGGGTGTGTAAGAGGAACTACTGATTTTCTTTTGACATCTATAGACAAGGCTTTTCTCATGTCTGAAAAAAAAAACACAAGTTGTAAAGACAGTTTTTAAAAGCAAAAAGTAGTTTAAATTGTAATATAATCATACCATAAGCATCTTCATCAGGATCACCACTATAATATTCTAATACAGTTCTGTATACTATATATCCTAGTTGTTCATACATATTTATTGCCACTTTGTTACTAACTCTAACAAACAAATCTACAAAGTAAGCTCTTTTCCTGAAAAGAGTACAACCAATAGTTATTTGAATTTTTAATCTGTAATGCTATAAGATAATATAGTAGCAAAAAGTATACATACTTCTCTGAAACTTCTTCCAAAAAGTTCATGAGCCTTGCAGCAAGACCTAGTCTTCTATAATCTGGAGAAACTGTGAGAGCTGTAACGTGTCCATGCCAGTTCTCTCCGTGTCCTTCTGCTTTACCCATAACTTTAAAATATAAAAAATATAATTTACAACAAACAATAAAATCTAAATCTTTACCACAGTATTTTAAAATTGATCAAAACTTACTGTAACCCATAATTTCACCACTAGGTGATTCTGCTACTTGGAAGAATTCAGGCCAATGAGCCAAATATTGCATGTAAAAAGATAATCCATACTAAATTAACATAGTCAAGGAATGCAGTCATATTTAAGAATTTGATAACAAATATATTATTTTGTAAAGGATACAGTTTCAGTAAGAGGATCTAAATTTCTGAAAAATAATTAAATCAAACATGCATGAGTATATTCAAGTTTTCAATGAAAATAATTGAATAAATTAATACATACACGTTGTTAAACTTAAACAAGTCATCGACTGTAAACGGCCTTAAGGTAGACATAACGACGATTTATAATTTGTTGCAAATAAAACTTGCAAAGGAACTTTAGTTTTGGTATGGTTTAGAGCGTGGTGTCTGGGCACGGCACGTAAAATATATACAAAAGTCTGCCTGCACGCTGCTGGTTGGCTTGGCCGAAAGACGAAAAGCCCCCCCCTTAGACACTTGGCGTAAATAAAGCGTCGCGAGAGCGCTTGCGCGAGTCGTCTAATGGAATTTGTAAATTTGCCCGACAAATAGGTTAGTGTGCGAACAGGCGCGTCGCCCAATCGCAGTACCCGCTGCGTCCGTTCAAATGTAATTGAAAAGAATACGTTGTAATGTTTAGTTGTCTGCATTGACAATGTGAGTGATCAATTTTTTTAAAATTCTACAAAAGAATGACCGACTACTCATTGATTTGCAAGTAAAAGTGCATTCCGTATAAAAAAAAATTACTTGTTTGTTCTGGGATACTCACGGTGGTGCAAAAATTTGTTAAGGGTGTCGCTCTTTATGCTTTCATGCCGGTGTGTGGAGGTGGTTGCAGTTTACTTTAGCAGGCTATATTATTTATTTGTTTGAATTTCTATTTATTTTTACTATTGTTTACGTTGACTTTCCGAATACACGAGTATAGCTCGGAAAGTTTCATTTCCATCTTGGTCATATGTTGGTAAACATCATTTTACTTGACAGTTACTGTGAATTTTGCAAAAATTGCATGGCAAGTGATTAATGAATTGAACTGAGTGAGATTTTGTGTGTATGTGTGTGGGGAATTACAGTGATTTTCTGTGCGACTTGGGAACAATTTTAATGTTTTTATAGCTTCAACAGCTCTAACATTATACTATTATTCTTCAAGGGCTGCTGAAAAATAGATTATAAGGAATGACAGATTATGGCAGACTTAGCTGATTTTGATGCTTGGTTAAAAGAGCTTCACTGTCCTGAATCACACACATCAGATCATGTCAAGAGAAGGTACATTTTTGATGTGATTATTTTAATTTGTTATAATTTCAACTCATAATTGACCATCTTTTTCAACAGTTTACACAAAGGCGTACTAGGCTTAATATGGGATGATTTACCACAAATTATACGACCATTGTCTGAAGTAACTGAAGTTAGAAAAAATATTTTACTTTACAAATTGAAACATGAACCAAAAGATCCTCTCATTCAATGTGTCAGGAACACAGTTAATCTCAAAGCAGAAAGAGCAAGGTTCGATGCTAAAATAAAAAATGCAGAAAAAAGATGGCACAAACAAGAACTTATCTGCAGGCAGAAAGGTAAACAAAGTAGTTTATTAAATAAATTTAATTTATATTAAATAATTATTTTTAAATTACAGCCAACTTATTGGAAAAGAAAAAAGCTGAGAAGAAATCACACCAGTTGAAAAAAAATGTTATCAAAATTAAGAATGAACAAATGTTGGATCAAATTCAAGACTGCGCAAAAATGCAAGAAATATGCCAAAATTTAATGCCTCCTACAGTAACTGAAATACCTCAACAAACGATAATGGATTGTCTTTCACTTGTTAGCAACTATTTTGGAGGGCCTGAAAAGCGCAAAGTAATTTGATAATTTTCTACTGAATATTAAAATTTTCTATTTCTACTATTCCGGTACTTTTTTCAGGTTTGGAATAGGATTGCAGAATCTCTGTGTCCTGTTAAAGTACAAGTATTATGGAATGCTTTGCTACAAGCTAGATCATATTATACAGATTTTCTTATTCATTTGGATCTAGAAGAAAATCAAAGTAGTTCAAGTAAACCAAAATCTAATATAGATGTTGGGATTGCTAAAATATGGAGTGAACATCTTGACAGTGTATCAAAACGTTTTATTTATAATGGCAGAATGAAGAATAATGAAGTTAAAACAATGGAGTATGTTCAAAAAATTGAAGTAAGTAACTAAATAATCTTTCATTGTTATAAATCAACTTACATATAAATAATTATTTTTAATTTATAGGAAGTAATAGAAAAACAACGCCCAGAGTTAATGGATTGGTTACCTTTGGCCTTGGAAGTAAAAAAATTGGAAGTTTTACAAACAGAATTGCAAAAAGAATTAGAAAGCACAGAAGATTTACCCAAGGATAATATGTTAGCAGATGACGTTCTAGCACAATTAATCATGGAAATTAAAACTATGGATAGTAAAATTGTAATTATATCCCAAATTTTGGTAATTTCATTATGAAAATTTATCATAACTACAATATTTATTTTCTTGCAGTACGACTGTGTTCAAGAAATTCAGAATGCTTTTGGTGTTCTCAAAACCGCTGGCACGGTAATTTCAAAAACAAGGGAATCTCTTCACTACGAAATGGAAAAATTCCAATTACTCCAAACAAGGGAGGAAACCAGCAGATGGTCCGACGTAGAAACCGAATTAATGATTTTCCATAACGATGTAGAAATGGAAGCTCTGCGGAAAATTATGTTGAAAGGTGATATTGGTTCTTATAAGCACCTGCGTACGTGCTACAATCAAGCAACGACGAAGATTAAATTTACAAACAGAAGCGACATAATATCAAGTTTTCCTATGTTACACATGCCAATCTATTATCTTGTTGATTTTTATAAAACTTACATGGCAAATAAAACATTGACCAAACGCATGAATGAAGAAATTACGCCGATTCAAAGTGATAGTTGGCAACCATTAGTTGAATCACCAACAGTTACTGTAGATTCAGTGCAAGGACTTTTTGAATTATTGCGTTTAGCAAGTGTAGCGAATGAAAGAACTAAAGAACACAGCGAAGAATTTGAGCGTGTTTCGAAAGCTTGGTAAATATCTTCGAAGAATTTTTCAATCAAAAATCCGAATATCAAATGTTTGAATCGATATAAAACGTGAACATTTTTTGCAGGTCTAACCAGTCTTTACGTGAAGTAGCTTCCAAACTATTTAGTGATAAAACTGTTCACGGAGCCACACTCGACGAGTGGCAGAAACGTTTCGCAGGAATTGTTTATGTTTTACAAAAGTCTAACGTAAACGTGGCGTAATTTAGATGTTTATGTGAATTGTTTTTAACTTAATATTAAGGAAAAATAGATTATAACAATATGTATATAAATAAGCTATAGAGAATGTTTCTTATGAAATTTCATCAATTTTTATATAATAAAAAAAAATTGATTTATACAAATATAAACTCATTTATATTTAAAGAAAAAAAAAATGTTATACATTGAATTTGTTTTCAGTATTAGTTTATATTTTATCGTTTACAGAGATAACACTCGTTGGGTACGTATTATTTTAACAATACTATCAAACGATTTTTACAATGGACTGTAAATCGATATCAAATTTCACTACATACGTTTTCAACTGTCGCTTTAAATTCACTTTGAACTAAGTTGAGTACAGATAACGACTAAGTACGCGATAAAGAAATATACATTACTAATCTACGTTAAAACTAGAGAAACTTTAAATACACACTATAAAGATCCATGCAAAAAAAATAATATAATACTATCGCACCGGAAAATATTAATATTCTAAGTTAATATGCGAAAAAAATCTCTTTCTATAACATGCATTTTTTATGCAAAAATAATTATATATAGTTTTAACTGCTGCCATTTAAATTAAGTTCATTATATGTAATGGCACGAATATCAATTGCATTTTCCAATCTTTTCGTTTTTTTTCTTGTCAGGATCACTTAAATCACAAACTTTATACAAAAACTAGGCAATACAAAACATTAGGCTTTTTCATCAGCAAGAACTTCCAGTCTTTTGATAACTTGGGCCATGTCAAAGTCCTTAGCCAACTTAAGATAATCTACTTTCCGAACATGGTGCACAGCTGTCCAAAGAGGAACCAATTTACAAATTAGTCGTATGTGTTCCTCTAATTCAGCAGGCGTGAGTTTCGTTCGATACGAATCGTCAAGTTTCTTCACAACCACTTCCATCGTTAAGACATTTTTCTTTTCAGCAACAAATATGTTGCGTATAATTTTCGCCATTTCTGGCAATCGCGCATACACTATCGCATCTTTGTCCATGTTCGAGGTTCTGGTCATCCTCTCCAAATCCTTGGCTGCTTGTTTCGCCCTGATTTTTTCCAGTAAAGACGTTGGAATGCCTTTGAGAAGAGCACTGTTCGTTGTTGCCGGAGTTCGGGGAGTTGCCGGAGGTGTGTCGATTATCGATGAGTTGAGATGTGGCGTAGTACTTGGCGTTGCCGAACCTGATGAATAAATTTTTCATTTTTATTAAACTGTCGCATTAGTTTGATAAAGGAAAATGTAGATAAATTTAAGTTACCATTAACAAGTGTCGATTTAGTTGTAGGAGTCTGCGTTCCAGCAGCAACTCGTGCTTTTTGTTCGGCAAGAGCTTCGATCGCTTTTTTCATTCTAGCGTTGTCATTTATAAATTTGTTCGTCTTTTCCAATATTTCTCTGGCTGTAGTTATTTTTTGAGGCTTTGGTGCTTGAGGCAGCTCAGCTTTGGGAATTTCTCTGCAACTTTCCACATCGAATGCCGGATGCCATCGCCTTAAATTATTTTTATCGACCTTCATAGGCGTACCGAGTGTTTGCAAGAATTTTTCATGACATTCTTTCGCTATGTCGTACAAAGCTGCCAAGAATTTACGCTTACGTTTCAAAAGTACAATCGAGCTCATGCGAGCGTTTAGATCAGACTGAAGAATATGTTCTTCGTCCGGGGTGTTACGACCCGATCTTTCATTAGATTCGATAACAGGTGTGATGACAAGCTCATAGGTCTCTTCTCCTCTCAAGCCGCCGAACTTGCGTAATTTCTCTTGTCTTAAAGTGTATGATTCCGGGTATATAGTTATAATCTGCAAATGAATTGATAAAAAAGTTTTTAATGTATTGCAATGTAAAGATAACTACTTTGAAAATTACTGAAATAAATATTAACCTGTGCAAGAAGGTCCAAATTGAAATCTTTGCGCGTCATTTCTTGAACTGATGGTTTTAATTTACTAAATGTGGCAGTTTCTTTCCTATTGTATAACATCGCGACGACGGTATCCAAGCTGCAGAATGTTTCGTTCAGTAGCCTATAATGGAAAGGCAAGATTAGACCAGATTTACCATCATCGATGAGTCCTTGGTATCTGTGGTAAGCAGGAGTTTTCGTGGGACTAGCTTTTACAGGACTTGCTGGTTCCTCTTTGGGCTCGAATAATAGTCGCTTAGCTGGGCTAGCTTTAGGAGAAAGTATTAAATTGTTCTTTGTAGGAGTTGTGAATTTCTGTGGAGATTTCATAGCTTTTTGAGGACTAACTGGCACTTCCAGTTCGAGCTGATTGAATCCTTTGAGCTTCAAGTTATTCTTTTTAGTTTCTACTTTTTTGTTTTTCAATTTATCCTCGAGTTCCTTAACTTTGTCTTCACTAGATTTGAGTTTATTTATCCTATCGCGTAATTCCGATAATCTGGAACTTTTGTTGAGTTTGGTTTTGATTTCATCGATATTCATCTGTACCAATGGTTTGGATTTAGTCGGGGTCTTGCATATGACAGGTTCATCTATTTTCGTCACCTTTTCTTCCTCCTCCTCCTCCTCCTCCAATGCTTTTTTCAAAGCTCGCGTGGTGCGCAAACGTGTCTTCTTTGGGCTCAAATTTCCGAGTTTAGCGAACAGGACATTCTTATTGTCTGATTCTTGGGTCTGCTTCAGAAGTGCCTCGCGAATATCCGTCTGACTTTTGTCTTCGGTGACCGAGCTGCGGCGCGTTCTCGGCGTTCTTGCACGCGGTGTCGAGGACTTTGTCGTTGTCTTTTCGTCGGCCTCGAACTTCAAATTTCTCACGACGGATCCTCTCTTGGATTCCAGTTTATTTTGCTGGAAAAGAAGACACGAGCCAAATTTTATTCATGGTTTCATTTTTCAAGAATAAATAAAAATTACGAGTTCAAGTCGGAGCGTGTCGAGTTGGATGCACGAACGCGAGTGAATCGGAGTCGACGACGGTACTATTAATAATCGAATTCATTCGATGTTATTTAATTTGCCGAGCGAAACGTCACGAGGAAAATTTATTTTACGAGACCAGTTTGGCAATATTAATGCATTGTAATGCAAACAAAATTCAAGAGACAAAGGAGTTGTATGACATTGCGATACGAAGTATGTCAAACTCGATGCATACTCCAGACGTAAAAAATTGAGGCCTTGAAAATTGCAGTTGTATTTTGCAACAATGAACTAAATACCATCTTTTGTTTATTACGAGTTTACACTTCGATTGAGAAATACAAATTATGTCACGATTATGTCGTTCGAAAAATTCTCATCAGCATTTTCATCAGTTATTGAATCGAAATAACAATTGCATAAGGAAATTTAGACAATGAGAGTTTCATTCATAGAACATTTCTCGATCGTCATCACGCTTGGTGACCATTCAATTTCACTTAGATATCATTTTTCTTTGGCTATCAAGATGAGCAACAGTTAAAATGTAGTTACGTCTCATCGAACGAGTGAAAAAAGTTACTTTCGCTGGCCATTATCATTAAGACAACAATACAGACCGCGTTCAAGTATTCGGGTTATCTGTGAATTTCATTAGTTTCGAAAAGCGCCAAGTAAGATTATAGAATTCCATTATAACCCGACGCGCGTCCGATAGAGGCCTGTATCCGTGTGTATAACACGAAATTGGGCATATTCACACGTATATACGGGCTGCGTTATGTGTGTATATTAAGGCGTCTAAAAATATGTGCGAGGGTCCGATGAGCTCCGAACTCACGGCAACGACGGCCGACGACCCATTTTGTGTACACGTAGCACAGCTGGCGCGTAAACAAGCCTCGCAACCGTTCCTTTTAACCACCCTTCCTTTTGTGCGATGCTCGAGGGGGCCCTTTAAATGTCCGTTCGTCCTCGCATCGATGAAATAATAACGTACAAGCGATTAGACTCACCAGACTAGCCATGTTCGTTTGCTTCGTCTCGTCTTCCCTGATGACGGGCAAAACCTTTTGCGGTTGCGTCTCATTGCCGTCGAGGATTAGAACCTTCGACTTATTTCGGAGATCCTCGCTGGCCCGCCGCTTCCTCGTGGCGAAGTACTCGGTGACGACGGACTGTTGCGACATGATGCTGCGCTGCTGCTGCGCTCAATGTGTATACGCGTCCAACACAATACCGGAATACCTCCTCTGACAAAAGGTTTCCAGCGAGCCACTAGGATCGCCCGAAATTAATTTTGCTTTCACGGCACTGCAGAAACAACCGATGCACACCGGGGAAAACGCTCATGAACTTTGGCAAAGTACAAAACAAAGGTTAAAAACCGAGTTAAAAAGAAGCAACGGGAATACGTGTCGCGAATGTGTGTACACTAGACGGCCGACGCGCGATGTCTGAGCCCCGTAAAAACGCGCGCGAGTCCGCCGCATTTTCCCGCGCGAAACAGGTGCAAACAAAGCCGACAACGCCACCTCGGTCGTGTAAACATCGAGTCCGCGTTACGTCCAACGGTCGTGCGACGACTGGTATCGTGACGGCGGGACTTTCGAACTACGCAGTTCGCCAAAAAGATGGCAAGATATTGTTCGTTATCAAAATATCAATAAATAAAAGTACGTTCACGGTACGAGTAATGAACAAATTATTGCGTCTGATATTTTAATACTGCGATTTATTGTCGTCGTCGTATTTTTCGCGCGTCTGACATTTGCACACCGAAAAATACTTCCTCGTTTCTCAAAATAATATATAAACATCCTCGTACGCAAAAAAAGCACAGATGTGTCGAGTGACAAAATTAAGCTTCTGCATATTAAGCCGGAAACGCGACGATCGCGCCTCCGCTTCAACGAGATTATAAATGAGTCATGATACGGCAAAAAATGAAAATAAAAATAGACCCGCTGCGAAGCTCTTTATCGCGAAGAATACCCGCGCTTTTGTTGGCCGTATCACCATCGACGCTATGATGCTTCGTCCGCTCATTGCGAGTTCACGTGATACCGCATTGGATTGCCAGCTCGACATCGAACGATGAATCGTGTAAATATATCGCTCCGATTTCTTAATCATTTAACATTACAGATTTGCATACAAAGATCTATATATTGATCCACAATGTACACGTATTCCACCTTAGCGACTGTTTCTCGGGGCATAACTACCTTGCCGACGCGCACTCCTGCGTGTCCAGCGCAGTTCATTCGCACACATGATATATACATATTGCACAGTTGGCGTGTATATCAGTTGCAGTCAGAAGCAGCAGCAGCGCTGAATTTTATTTCTAAATATAACGATAACGACAATAGGCGCATACGTATGCGTTTATGCATTCTCGGTTTCTCCGCCCTGAATCACCGCGTCGCTGTTAGCTTTTCCTACTTTTCAGTTGACACAAGCGTTTAATACGGGCCGAGTGTCAGCTGGTGTCAGTTATAATATCAAAAGTAGGGTGCTTCTGTCTAAAGTGTTTGTGTATATAGACGTATCGTTATACTCGCTGCTGTGCCTGCGTTGTTTACTCCCCGTTGCTCTCAGAAACACACATTTATGTGTCGTAGTGGAAGAGAGTTAGTATAGGAGAGAGAGAGAGTAAGAGAGGAGCCGAGCTAATACCGTTTTTGCTCCGAAAATATATCATGGGAAATTTTTAGAACTGATACTCGTAGGCCAGTTGTACGCTTATAAAGATATCAGGCATTAATTCAAAAATAATATCTCAATGACGTCGCCCGCTGATTAGTCGAAGAAGCATGAATGGGCTGAAAACCGAGCCAAGTGAATTACTCGTACGAAGCATGTGTTGGAAAAATAGCTTTTCTTAAATGTCAGTGGAATCGTGCGTGCGTGCTAGTGAAGTGTGTTAGATATATTGCACTAGTTTGTTATGTCGTATGCGGTATAGCACGAGCATACTTCACTCATACATATATGCACACAAGCACAACGACACAGCACTCGCATATATAGATATATGCGAACTTGTTCTATCTTAACACTCAATTAGTCAGGCCTTTATTATCATTGTTGGTTGCATCACACAATGTGGCAAGTACTGGAAGACTCAGCGCTGGTAGCCAGCCTCAGTAATATCTCTGATCATCAAGCTGATCAGGTTAACGCTGAGTTAACACCTGACCAACAGAAGCTTTTAATAGACATAAGGAGGAAAAAGTCAGAGCTATTGCTGGAGATACAGCAACTGAAGGATGAATTGGGTGAAGTGGTCGCTGAAATGGAGACCATGGACGGCAATAATTTCATTAGCGAAGAACAAATCAAGCCTTTAAACAGAACAAAACAAACATCCATCGGAAGGAAAAAGTTTAATATGGATCCTAAAAAAGGTATTGAGTATCTCATTGAACATGGTCTACTGATTGCTAATCCAGATGACGTAGCTCAGTTTTTGTATAAAGGAGAAGGTTTAAATAAAACAGCAATTGGTGATTATCTTGGTGAACGTCATGAATTTAATGAACGAGTTTTAAAGTCCTTTGTTGAGCTTCACGACTTTACAGATTTGATATTGGTGCAAGCTTTAAGACAATTTTTGTGGTCTTTTCGTTTGCCTGGTGAAGCACAAAAAATTGACAGAATGATGGAGTGCTTTGCCCAAAGGTACTGTCAGTTGAACACCAATATATTTACCAATACTGATACATGCTACGTTCTAAGCTTTGCCATCATAATGTTAAATACATCGTTGCATAATCCAAGTGTGAAAGATAAGCCCTCTGTTGAACAATTTATCAGTATGAATCGTGGTATCAATAATGGAGGTGACCTTCCACGAGAACTACTTGTTAGTTTATATGAGAGCATAAAAACTGAACCTTTCAAAATTCCTGAAGATGATGGCAATGATTTAATGCACACATTCTTCAATCCTGACAAAGAAGGCTGGCTATGGAAACAAGGTGGACGATACAAGAGTTGGAAGAGACGCTGGTTTATTTTGAATGACAATTGTTTGTATTACTTTGAGTACACAACAGATAAAGAACCTCGTGGTATTATACCACTAGAAAATATCAAAGTTCGTGAAGTTCACGACAGAAACAAACCACACTGCTTTGAGCTTTATGCAGCAGGTTCAGAATTTATTAAAGCTTGCAAAACTGATAGTGAAGGAAAAGTTGTTGAAGGTAAACACACTGTATATAGAATGTCCGCCGCAACAAGTGAAGAAAAAGACGAATGGGTCAAATGCATAAGACAAAGTATATCTCACAATCCATTTTACGACATGTTGGCGGCTCGCAAGAAAAAAGCGCAAAAAACGAATATACACGTCAAAGGTTAACGACAGTACGATCAAAAAATGTAATAAAAAACAGTTAATCACCAAAGCTTTATTAATTACAAAAAAATGTCTCGTGGAACTGTCTCGAAATTTTTGTGATGTAATGATCGAGTTAATGAGAAAAATATTATTTATAAACGAAATAAGTAGCTTCCAAATCAGCCGAAGACTGATAATGCAAATAGAAGATATACAAATACCAAAGCCTCTAAATTATAGTGAAAGACTTATATACAACTGCCTCTATCTGATTTATTAAAAAAAGAAAAAAGAAAAGAAAACGTTATGTATCTAAAAAAATTTTTAACAAAAACGACGAACTCGAATTAGTTAATGTGATGCAACGAAGGCGTCAAAAAAGTTTGACTATTGTTGACAATTTTTATTTTTTATTCACGCCTTGGTTGCATACCTTATTTTTGCAATATAAGTCTGTGAAATTCTATCGAATGCGTTATCGTATCTGTCATTCACTTCGAAGTGTAATTGATGAATTTTACACTGTCAACTGCAAAAATGAAACTAGATGCCTGATTATAAATCTATGAAAGATTTTATAAGGTTTAATAGTCTAATAGACTGAATCAGTCTGCAAACATCAAAAACGTTGATATATTTTATGTAATCTGTACAATTAGTCATAGCCAGGCCAAATGTGCCGGAATATTGTAAATACACGTGCCGTTCGAAAGTTAAAACAGCAAAAAACATTAATTGTATTATAATAGAAAGTACGCGCTTATGTAGTATAAATTATTTTATCTTATAGATATGTAAAAATACATGTGAAATTTAACAAATGTATATAATGTGAATTATATGAATAAATAATGAAGAAATAACGATCAAAAGTTTGAAGTTTGATTTCATACAATTTATTATTCATTAGTATTATGCTTGCTTGATTTAAAACTCACAGACTTTCTATCTGACGCGTCTTATTAGTGCAATATCATCTCACTCTGTCCACAGCTATTGATGCCGTTTCGTTGGTCTTTAGTAATCTACAAGTATAATTGTTGCTTGTCGAACCCCATTACTTTTTTTTCACCTTCCGCGATAGCTTTGTAAAAATACATCATGTTCTACACCGTCGTCGTTAGACGTTGCATTTTTTGTCTTATTTTTTCGTTATTAACTTACGAGGAAAAATCGTGGACCGAAAGAAAAAACAGTGATATAATACATTTGAGAACCTTGAAACAATTATGAACGTATACAATAAGTATTTTGCGCATGTCTCATTGCTTTTACTTTTTTATAATACATATGCTTAAGATTTTTTTATATATATTATGTACTGTACACTGTTGATACTTTTAGCAGTAAATTTTTAGTACTTGCTTATCATACGATATCGTTTATAAAAGCACATGAACGGCTGAAGTTTTTTACGCATACGTGCATAACTTTTTGAAAATTCGACCTTTAAAGGCAAATTCAGTGCAGAAAATTACGTGAAAGCTAGTAAATATCATACCAGAACTTATAAAAAATTGGATTCATAAGTAGAAAACTTAACAATCTGTAAAGAAATCACTAACAATATTATTTGAAAATCTACAGAAATTATGCGCACGAGTGACTTGTGATATTATGCATTTACAATCAATAATAAATCGAGATAGGTACATCATATAATACAATGATTTACTTAAATTCAATTAATCACTGCACTTTGATCCTTAATATTTATACACACACAACTCACAACTCAGAAAAAATTGCTTTTGATGCATATTATACTAGTATATAAAAACAATAAAATCGGTAATAATTTCCGTCGATCTTGTGATTAGTGAAGCTTATCGTGTAAAAATTACGACAAATAGTATAGTAATCCATATTCGAGATTTTTATACACCTACGTTTATGTGATGTTAACACAGAAAAAGATACGCAATTATCACACAATTTTCGAAATATTATTTATAAAAATATGTTAAAAACAATTAACTTCTGTAGTTCTGAATAGTACACAAAGCTAAGTGAATCGTAAATAGATTGTAGAAAAAAATTAAAAGCTCTTCTTTTCACATAATGCAAGATTATCACGGAAAAATTGATGAAAACTTTTATGAAGTTACGTCAAGAATCCATTAAGCTACAAACATCTAAAATCTTTTGTTATGAGCTCATTGATAATAAAATATACATTGAATTAATTATTAGTAGTCATAGCAATCTAGTGAATTATTTGTAAGATGGTCGGTAAAAATTTTTTACTTTTTTTCGCTCATTTTTAATATGTACGATTCCCACCATAATCATCTTTTTTATTTTGCTAGAGTGAAAAAACTAATTAACTCTTGTAATTTTCCATATAAAGAATCACTTTTTTATCGTTTTCGACGCATCGTAAACACATCGATTTTTCTATTTTTGTTTTGATTCGTGTGTACATTGAGGCGCACATACATTTTCATTTACGTAAATGCTCATTTATACACTCGTAACATGTATAACGCATGTATACTTGCAAAGCTCTTGGAGCTTACGAAAAAATTCTATTTACAAAATGTGATATACTGTATACATATAAGTATATATAATTGCTAGCAAGAGCAAGGCACGATCAATTTGAAATGTCGTCATTATAATTCACAGCAAATAACTTATTGATTGATAGAACAACCCTTCAGTTATAATTATAGATGAGAACAAAAATTTACAAGATTAATTCATCCATTGTTCTGTTGAAAGTATAGTTTTCAATGAATCATAAAATCTTTGAATCAATTAGTATTTTTTTTCGTTTTCTTCTTTTCATTTTTTTCAATTAAAACAAACATTTCATGGCAGATATATTAGTAATACGTGCATAGAATTATATTTCGTTTTATAACTATAATATACGATACGAGATTAAAATCAATTCCTGGTTGTGATGATTTTTTTATTCCTGTACAAGACTATTTATAATAAAGCTAATTGACAAAAAGTTGTCTTTTTCCGTACAAACTTTGTTCCAGCGCTTTTTTAACCAATTCAATCTGTCGAGACTTTTATTTAGTGTTATTGAGCAATCACTTTTTTGTAGGAAAATGAATGTCCTGACAATGCGTAACCGCAAGGACAAACTTTTAATCACATATTCATCCGTAAAGATTATTAATTAATAATGTAAAAAAAGCCTCTGCATAACCTTTAGCGCAGTGTTTTGGTAAAAAATAATTGTTAAAAAATCTGCTAAAATATCTTTTCTTCCCTTTAAACTAGGGCTAGTCTGTTTCTGCTGAAAAACGTTCGCTTTCGCTCAACAACATTATGCTACATTTTTAGTGCAATCACACATTTCAATTGGTGTTCGTTACAATAATTTCATAATGATATTTATGCTTTTAAAATTTTATTTTCAAATCTCAAGCTTTATACGGATTTTATTCCAGTACTTTCAATACTGAATCGAAAAACATTCATTCATTAATGTTCCTTCGAACTGTAGGAACTTTAAACTCGAAAAACGCGTAAATAGAAATCAAGAAAAATAAGCTTAAATTAAATAATTTCAATTCAATCACACTAATCGAGACGAAACAGAATTAAACTTAGTTTTACATCGTATCAAGATATATCAGATAATTGTATTTCATTTTAATCTCGGATATTTTTGGCTTATTTAGCAAGTTTGTTTAGTATTCATGTTCATGAAAAAATTTTAATGTATTTAGAATAGGAAACACGAAATTAAAATTTAATCGTTAATTATGGCTTGATTATATCAGCATTTCAAACACTTTACATTAGTACCTACCAAATAATCACTCACAAATCATTTGGATCACAAAGATAATAACTATTCTTTGCACAAAGGTAATAATTTTAAGATTCATTGAATCTTTGTCATCAAAGTCTTTCATCTTGAATTTGGTCTATTCATTGTATTCAAATTACCAAAAATAAGATAACACATATTGAAACATACCATAGTGAATGTAACTAGACGTAATGAAGAATAAGTGAATAACTAGATAACGTAACAGATCTTGTTGAACTTTCGAATCTTCAGTATTTAGTCTTTGAGTACCCTCAAATGTTCCATATTTATAAAAATTGTCAAGAAGGGCTTCTTTTTCAGCCCACCTATCATACAGCCACTTAGATAGCTGCTCAGGCTCTTTAGGTACCTTAAATATTAAAATAATCATTATTTTGCATTCACCAATAATATAAAAATTACTCTGAATTAGAACTTACCATTGATGTAGGATAAATTCTATAAAATAGTACAGTTTGGCAAGGAGGTCGACTGCCAGTAATCATTGTAAATAAATCTATTGGTTTTCCTTGTGGATATGCAATTGTTATATCTAAAATCCATCTTATTTCAGGTTTGACCACTGACATTACTGCAAATAAAATTATTGTCTCATCAGAATATTATTACTTAAAATTTTGTCATTCATTACTAATTCTTACCAGATCTTGTATTTATTTGTTGTTCAGAAGAGTTATTATTTTGAACAGGACCAACAATATCAAATATTGTTTGTAATGCTCCTACTCTTGGTAAAGTTACATTTTCCAAAATAGGAAGATTATTTTTCTTAGCATACTTTTGTGATGTTTCTCTTCTTTTACACAAAAATCCACCTTCTGGAAATAATACCATCCATTTTCTTTGTAATGGTACGTACGATTCCTTCAGATGTTTTTGTAGCTGGCGTAAGCTTTCTTCCCTTTTTTTTCGGCCCTGGAAAAAATTAAATGTAATTATTTAGTTACTTATTGAAACATCACTGTATCTGAACTTACGGATGCAATGAAAAAATCATGATGTAAGAGAGATACTACTCCAAAGTTAGTATATTTAAATATCCTATCCATGATCCACATGAGATTAGGCAGCACATTAGGTTTAGCGTTGAAAGTGGCCATTAAAATAGGAACATCACCAGTACTCTGGTGGTTTGATATGACCAGCGTTCTATCATGAATGATTCTACTAATATCATCACCTTGTTCCACAACTATGAAAAATTTTTTCGGAATTATAACTTTTATTATTAAAAATTCTTAATGAAAAATATTGTAAATCATACCATCATAACCAGCTGACCAACTCCACATAGATACCATTGCTAACAGCCAATGGAAAAAAAGACCCTCTATGCGCCAATACGTTTGTGGGTGATATGCTTTGACAGGCAGCAGAAACATCATCCAAATAACATAAGTGGGTATGCAGTACACATTGTTTATCAGTACAAATGCCACTCTGCAAAGACATTTTAGAAAGTGTAGTATGTTTTTCATTAATCTGAAACATAACAAAAAGAGATCATTGAATTAATAAAAACTGTTATGATTATTATAACATAATAATTTGGTATTGACTAATCCAAAAATAGATAAAAATAAAGAAATAGAGCAAAGAAGACATAACAAACTGTCTGCTGTCATTAATTTTAATATTTAATAAGTGGGATTAGATAAAACAAGAAATTTTCTAAACAAAACGAGATAACATTGAGATTAAGCAATTATGCAAAGTCAAGCTGCTATTATCACTTTCCTCCCCTGTATACTGTCAACATGTATTGTAATGAAATGCATATTTTTCTGAATTATCTACATAATAAATACGATGATTCATAATATAGTTGAAAGGGAATTCTAATTTATCGTACAGTAAGAGCAGAATCCTACACTGATCATTTGTCAAAGATCATCAACCCTGGCAACCCACAACGTTCAATGATATCTATAAATAAACTAAGTTTCCTCTCCTACAACAGTACAATAAAGCAGTCGAAAAATTGTCAATTGCTCATCGACGACCCATAAAAAAAAATTAGCTGACGAAAAAAACTCAATGCCTTACGTGCACAACAAGTACAACGTAAACAAGGTAAAACTCCTCGACTCGGAGAAATACAGGGAGGAATATTACCATCGTCGTCACGCGACCGTATCACGTTATAACTCTGGCACGCTACGAATGTAATACGTAACGATTCTCGTTATCTTCGCTCCTAATTGAGTCACCCGAAATTTCCGACTCGAACGTCGTTCTTACGTCAATTCTCTCGAGTCGAGTCTATGATGATAATTTCGTAGGCGCGACACACTGAGCAAACCATGACACAAAAATGATTTCAAGGAATGAAAGAGCCATCGCGCACGGGGGCGGGCGGAGAAATGTCTCACCTGACTAAGGGCGAATCGTTGGACGTCGACGAGGTCATTGAAGCGGTGAGACCCTGGCGTTTCGACGACAACAAGACATCACCCTCGGCATCTGTATTAGGCCGTTGGCCCATAATTGTTCGATTGCGTCACGATCGAACTATTATCACTGCACTTATCGCCCGAACGATTATTCTCGCGTCTTTTTTTTTCTCCTCTAATGAAAAAAAATTCAAAATAAAATAAAATCGTGTTTTCAGCCTGCGAGCGAATTGCAGCAACAAATCGATGTGTTTTTGCGCTCTTTCTCTCTCTCTCTCTCTCTCTACTATCAAGCCTTAACCTCACTTTGCTCGCCGACCAGCACGAACATCAGCATCGTAATACGGACGTTGCGGATTTATCGCGAATTTCTTCCTCTCTTATGCTCTCTATCTCGGCACGGAGCTTCTTGGCCAGACACTCGGCGGCTCAGCTGCTGCAGCATGCCGTTTTGTTGTCTAACATCTCTCCTACGCCACACACGTACACACGTTCGTCGGGTACACTACAGCAGCCCAGCACAGAGCTTCGTCCGTCGTCCCGCTTAAATGTGCGTGTATACAATACGCGTGTATTTACATAGAATACAACAACACACCAACTGACATCAATGCACGTATAGCGCGCACACAAACACACGGCAGCACGGCACTGAGAGAGAGAGATAGAGATAGATAGAGAAAGAAGAACTGCCAAGACAAATTACGATATGTAAATGGTCGAAGTATAATGCACCACTTTATCGCGACGCATGCCACGATGTATCAAACAGCTCGAATGTTGTAATCTCAATCGAGCCGAGTTGAAATTCTGCGATTCAATGTAACGAAGAAGTAAGTGTGTGTCTCTTTTTCGATCATGCACACTCGTGTGTGCAGTGGCGATCAGACTCGTTGCCAACTTTTTTTATCCTAGCTATCTATGCTGTACATTATGCACACCGCACTGCATAGATACAATAATATAAAGCGCGCACTTTTTCTCTCTCTCTCGTAGCAGCAGCACACGCACAGTCGGTATTATATATACTGTTCCACTACTGTTCCTCGGTATATATTGGCGCGTGCAATGTGTACGCTATATATATCTACAATACACGTCTGCAGCGTACACAGAGTCACGCACACACAGCACACACACACTCTGCTATGTAGCTGCGTGCTGCTCCGAATTAGTTGGCTGTGTCTCGCGCGTACACGACGATATCCTCCATCCGTGCGCTGCGCGCAATATGTAACGTCTCCTCCGTCTATCTATTTCTTCTTTTCTTCTCCGTTTTTTTTTTTTTGCGCCAACTTTTATAAAATTATATAATCCGTCGACGATGACTACGATGATTTCGCGCTATAAGCTATATAGTCGACGAGACGGACTATAAATGTGGAGCTTCGCGGCTGCGGTGGCGGCGGCGGCGGCGGCGTCAGGGGCTTTGACACTGTTACTCGAGCGAATAATCAAACCGAGACTTATATATACTAGGCAGACATCGATTACAGACGGATATGTTTGATATTGTAAAACGACGATGACGACGAGATGTCGTCCGATGTATGATACATAAAGGCAATTTTGGAGCAGAGATAGATAGTTGCTACCCACGCTCCTTTTCGTGTGTATAATTGGTACCTTTATACACGATGACAACTACTGTCGTATTATTATCAAAGTCTATGTTGCTATACACTGTGTCGCCCGCGTACCGACGAGATGGCGAATGTAATGGATATAATGTATCGTTGCGATATCGTTGCCTTACCGCGTTCTACTGCTAAAAATCTGCGACTCGCGCCCGTATATGTGATATACAAAACGAGAGGTATAAAGCGCGACGCGACAACGACGACGATTGGTTATGACTTTTTTTTTGCCTTCTTTCGAGGGTATCGCGCTATATATACACGTATATAGTAGACCTCGGTGCTGCTGTGTACCTACGTTGTATATAGTAGTAGTACACAAGCGGTGTACATGTATTTATGCACGCGCTGCATATATGTATCTATACATAGACACAGTCGCGCAGACACGACGAAACTGCATATAGCAGGCGTTTGCGTGTCGCGCGGGGGCTGCTCGTGGCGGATCTTTATACCTACTCCTGCTCGTACGCTATGGGCTTTTATATACATTATATGCATTATACAGTATATACACCTACACACATGCTTTCGAATGCGTGCGTGTATTTTGAGCCGTTGCCGCGGCAGCGCAATTGTCATAAACGCCTAGCAAATGTCACAATATGTACACAGCGAGTTGGAATATCGAAAAGCCCCCTTTTTTAATGAATTCACACGTGCGAGTAAGATCGTTACAGTTTTTATTATTATTGTGCCTGGCGTTACTATATGTATTAATGTATCGCTGATCGCGACGCGAGATTGGCACGCACAGCTTATTGAGCAATCGCGTACAAATATTATATGAATGACGCAAAAAAAAGTATAAGTAATACTTATTTTTGTATACACAGGCAGGGATGACACGCGTCGCCATGTGTCTCGCTTCTTTAGCTGTCGCTCGCGACATTACAATACCTATATATAGGACGATTAGGTATACATGATAATCGTGTAAAGAAGCTTGCAGCACAATGTGAAAAAAAAACGTGACTAAAAGCTTCACACGCGTGCGTATGCATAATGCAGAGTCGCGACGTTGCCGCATAGAATTATAATATACGCGTAAACGACGGACGCGATCGGTAAAACTTTTGCAGATTTTTGAAATTACGTGCAAAGCTTTTTGTATAGATTATGTGGAGGCGCGGCCGATCGATATATATGCGCGCAATTTTGATGCTCGATCGACGCGCGAAACGATCGTGTATTTTTGAGACGCTCGGACAAGTAAATGCGAATTGATTCTATGCAGGCTAGTCCGATTCTCATGGGTTAAATGACAATGACATCATTGATTTGTAACTGGGGCTCTTGTAAATATACACGTGTGCGATCGAAGTCCCCGATATTAATTCACTATCCGACGAGTCATTGGAATGGATCGAAAGAAAATTGTTTCGAGCAAAAAGTCGATGAGCGAACTTCGTTTTGCGGCCTTTGTTGCGGTGTGCGCAATCGTTTCCGTGAAATCGGCTGCTGTAACGTCCAACTTTTCATTTTTTTACGCAAAATTTTCGGAAAAATCGGAATGTCTTTGCTTTTATACTCTATAACGATTTTTCGCGGAGATACGAAATGAGCTTCAAAAATTGTAAATAAATTGGACACAATGTAAATGTATCTTGTTTTAATAAAGTTACATTGATGTATCATAATGCGATGCTTACATAATCTAAGGTTAATTTAAATCTATCATAAAAAACACGCAATGTATTATCAAATTCTAATAAGAACGATTCTGCATCGGAAGGTTAATTTTCTGGGAAACTGATGTATTATAATTTTGCAATTATTGGTCAGTACCGATTCCCTATAACATGTTTGAATTATAATTTATATTTTTTTTCGAATATTCTATAAACTATATTGAAGATATCAAAATGAATTTATAATTCGATTAAAATTTCAGCGATATAGGTATAAAAGACAATAACTAATATAGAATCTGTTGAATAAATACGTAGCTATGCAAATGAAGGTTTATCGATTCAAATGATCATTGGCGCGGTATTCTTTTTTTTATAAAATCAATAGTTTTAGTTTTCCAGTAAAAAACCAATGAATTTTTGTATCGCTGTGGTATGAATCCGACATTTAGAAATATAGAGTTTAGTTAATATCGTAGCTGGTACATAGAAATTAAATATAAATTTTTCAAATTTTATTTGCTTGCTTGTCGTACGAGGTTTGGCAGATCAGAATATGATAAGCAGCAACCATGATATTTATTGTTACTAATAAGTGTAAAATAAATAGAAGATATTTTTATGAGAAAAATTAATTTTATTATTTAAACTTTTATTAAAAATACACACATTTACATTTTTGCCTGAAGCATTTCTATATTGTTTTTAAGACAACTATAACTTTTTAATTGAGCATCAAATCTTAAATCTGAATCCGATTCTGAAAGAGCGTTAAATTTTACGCCCAATTATGTAGATGCAAAGTCTCATTAAGGCCAAAAACATTGAAAAAACTTTTAAGCGGATCGACATATTTTAAATCTTGGGCGTTTTAATGGGCATATCATTACGTTCGTTGTTGATTTTTTTTATCGTCTTCGTGTCTTTGGCCTGTAGCCGCCAAGCATATTTTATATAAATCCTCGTTCAACAACTCCTCGATGATCATGTCACAGCAGAGAATCGGCAGTCGGTAGTGAATCAGTTGGTAGAAACAATCCAGTGCCCAGGACTCGAAAAATCTTCTTGAAATTATTTCGCACATGTGCCCAACACATACTTCTCTGTACTCTCTTTTATAATCTCTACACACGATTTTGGAGTAGTCCGCATACAAGAGTTGTTTCTCCGCCTCCCTAGGGCGTAATTGAATCAAGTCGTAAATTGACAGGTCTGGAATTATCATAATTTTTTTCGCTTTTTTCGTATAATTATCGTTTTTAGTCCAAAATATCTCAAAATCCCTCGATTTCTTGAACAATTCGTAAGTAGCGAATAATTTCATGATCGAAATGACGTCGCTTTGAAATAGTTCATATCCTCCTCTTTCGAGGCTCTTGATGATTCTCATAATGCCAAACGCTAGTCTCAATTTAAATACCATCCAATTTTCTTTAAATCTTCGTTCCAATCTCACGCCAAAGTAGTCTTCAGTGGGGAAGACAAAGGTAGAAAGATCAGCACCACGTTCCAAAAGTATATCGACTTTATTCGACGAAATATTCGCCACGGCCCATTGCAACGGTGTCCGGCCCAATTTGTCCTTCACGTTGACCTCCACCTTCTGCTTCATTTTGTCGTTTATCTGGAAGAATAGCTTCACCACGGCCTCATCGTAATTGTTCATGCTTAAAACGTGCAGAGGAGTAAATCCATGTTCATTGGTAGAATTAGGGTCGGCGCCATTTATCAGCAATAATTTGATCGCCTCCTCGTCGCTGTTGCAATAGGCCAATTGTAGCGGTGTTGCGCCGTGACTGTTAAAAACGTCGATTCGCACTGTCTTCTCGATGTCGGCACAGATCTCGAAGAATAGCTGTAACAAGCCCTGTTTCCGGACTCTGCGGCACAAGATGTGCAAAGAAGTGTCACCAGATTTGTTGGTCCAATTAGGATCGGCCCCATTTTTCAGCAGCAATTCGATAAGGTCTAAGTTTCCATGATATATAGCCGTATACAGCAGTGTATTACCGTTTTTGTCTTGGGCGTTTATCTGCAACTTATTGCAAATCTCGAAGAATAGCTCCGCCGTGCCAGCGTCGTCGTCATCTTTCTGACAAATAATATGCAGTGGTGTCAGTCCGATATCGTTAAAACAGTTCGGATCTGCGCCATTTCTCAACAGCAATTCGACCACTTTCTTGTGCTCGTATTGTACAGCCAAGTGTAACGATGAATTACCAGTTTCCGGTACAAGGTGATTCGGATCCTGGCCGAGCTCGAGGAATTTCTCAACGACGTATTCACAGCCAAACTCGCAGGCGATGTGAAAATGCGACAGGCCGTCCTCGTCTACGTAATTCACGTCGTATTCATCATACACATGGAAAAGCATATCAAAGATTTCTTCGTTACTCTTAATGTATCTAGCTGCGTGATGCACTGGTGTGGTACGACGCCTCAATGGCTTGCCGCTTTCATCGAATTTGGGTTCGTCTCTGTAGCCGCTTCGGGCCACAAACTGGATGAATCGTTCTCCCTCGTGGCGATCCTCATCGTCGGTGTCTCTTATTGAATCCTGGAGAAGCCATTCGATTTCGTGTGCTCGAAAAAGGTTTCGGAGATCGGGAAGTTCGTCCATCCAATCGCTGATTAGAGGGTCGAGTTGACAGCGAAATTTATCTCGCTCGTCGTCGTCCTCCAAATTAACATTTTCGACTAAACTTCTTAATTTTTCTAATTTAACGGAAGAAGACATCGTTCTGCGTACTCACTCACATAAAAAAAGTCGCTCACAATATAAAATATTTACTTTTTTTACACAAATATTCACGTTCACTGAGTATTATTTTGAGACAGTAAAAAAACATGTGGCCGAAGCAATAGAAGACACGAGTATAGCTCCAGATACTTAATTGAACTGAAACACATGGGATATTAGTCATTAGCATAGCTTTCTCGAGACAAAATTTGATCACATGTATGCACTTTCTAATTGTAAGCGACGCCGACAGTACGTGTCGTTTGACCGTCCAAATCATGTCGCAATGACTTACATTTGAATTTATATTTGATAGTTAAAGAATCAATGTACAATTTAACAAGCCAAGACAATTTTAAATCGATTTGTACGTCGAGAAATAGAGTCTGTATGACTTATGATCGGTGGGGGATTATGGAGCACTCCGTGGTGTGGGGTGACAGCGGATAGGGGCGGCAAATTTTAGAATGAATAGTAATTTTTTTTACAATTTATGATATATTGTATAATGATCTATTTACTCGGTATTACAAAAAGCTTTTTTGCTGTATATTTAGTTTTAAAAGGTCAAAAAAAATTCTCGAAAAGATCGTCGCCATTAGAATTTTAAATTGGTTCAAATATTGTTAGTATGAACAGATGAATATGTAACTTCAGGTGATGCCTTGGCCACAACTTTTACCGACCGAGCATTGAAAATGTAAATTGAAATAACTTTTTTACTAGACCGATTTTCGAAAAACGGCTCTGTGGAAAGCCCTCCGTATTGTAGCTGTAAATAACTGCACCAAATTTCAGCCAATTTCATCGGGTAGTTTTTCCGGAAAACGGGATCGAAAATTTTGATCACTGTTTGCAGGATAAAAAATTTTGATCCTGTTTTCCGGGAAAACTATCCGATGAAATTGGCTGAAATTTTTCGCAGTTGTTCACAGCAACAATATGGAGGGCTCCACAGAGCCGTTTTTCGAAAATCAGCCTGGAAAAAAAGTTAAGAAAATATACATTTTCTATGCTCGGTCGGTAAAAATTGTGGCCAAAGCATCACCTTAAGATTACGTTTTTTATTCATTGTTAAAAATATATGCAAATGTATCCGTATGTCACTTCAGATGATAATCTAGTTTTTATGAATAATTTCTTGCATATAAGAATTTCTCAAACTCATTGCAGTCATGTGCTTGGAATAGTTCCTCAGAAAATAACGTATCTCATCAGTGAAATAATAATAAGCGTTGATTTTTATTTCACAATTGCATATGTATAATTCATAACTAGACCGTCCTGATGCTAAAAACCTACACTATTGCGCTCGCTATCTGAGCTTGCTATCTGAATCGTCGTACGATTTATAATAAGAGCAATAAAACTTGGGCCTTGGGGCGACAGAGTGATCTTCGGAGAGTATCGCTCTTCTGCGCAGAAGCGAGTAGTGATCACCCGGCCCGACTCCCGCTACTGTTTCAATTGTACTCGATAACCGTATTCAATCGTAAGTGCACGTGTAACGACGCCTCAACGCGAACGAAAAAATAACGATCCTGTAATTTTCGTGAAAATAAAAATTTAGTGAATAAAAAATATCTTAAATTGTAAGCGATCGTGTTTGTGTGTGAGTGCATAAAATTATGTTCGAGTTCAACGAAAAATCTGGTGAAAGTTTCCATGACCAAGGCAGAATTAGAAGCGACTATGTTTTCAAACACGTGGCTCCAGTTAACCGAGAAAAATTAGAAAAATTGAATCAACTACAAAAAAATGTCAACTGGGAAATAGAAAAAGAGCGACGTGAATTTCTGCATCAACTTAATCCCTTAATCAGTGATTGGAGTGACCAACTACCTAATCTACGAGACATTTTTCGTCCCCAAGAAATCGAACGTCTTATCTACGATTCCATAAATATTTACTTATATGGACACCCGTACAATGATGCAGAAGTACGATTCGTCAATTTTGTCGCTCGCACTGGCTACAAAGATGAGCCTGAAATTGATGAATACGGCAAGCCTCTATTGCATCGCACCACACCAATCCACTACACGGCTAGATGGCTAAACCCTTGTCTGGTTACTGTAATCAACGAACTTTTTAAAGTGTACAACAGATACGATGTGAATTGCATCGACAATCGTGGCGTCACTCATTTTCATGTAGCCTGCATGTTTGGTTGTGACCACGTCGTCGAGAAATTCCTCGAGGTCGGTCAAGATCCTAATGTCCTCGCACAACAAACGGGTAATTCGTCATTACAGTTGGCTTTGACCTATTATTGTGAGACGACGGTACGACTACTGCTGAGATATGGGGGCAACCCTAATTTGACTAACAAGAGGGGATCAACAGCTCTGCACACTATTTGCATGCAAACATTTGATGATAACTTCGTTGAGATGTTATTCGAGCTCAGCAACGAAAAATATCAGCCAGTGCAGGTCAATGCCCTGGACATATTTGGTAACACGCCATTGCACTTGGCTCTACGCCATAATAACAGGGAAAAAGCTGAATCATTGTTAAGAAGAGGTGCCCATCCCAATTGGGCCAATATAGGGGGGTTTACTCCTCTGCATATTATTTGCAAAAATATTTACGACGATGACTTAGCGAAATTTTTCTTCGCGATCAACAACGATATGCAGCAGACGGTGCACATCGACGCCCGCGACAAGTGGGGACAAACACCACTTCAATGGGCCGTAGCGAATCTTTTGCCAAATAATGTCGATTTTCTGTTGAATAATGGCGCTGATCTGTCTAACTTCATTTTCCCTACTGAAAGTTACTTCGGCAAGGGATTTAAACCGTGTGTTCGTCTTATCCAATTTAAATTTAGAATAGCGTCTGGTGCTCTGGCCGTTGTCGATCATCTTGAGAAAAAAGGATACCAACTAGATCGAAGCGACGCTCTAATCATCATGAAATTGTTCGCCGAGCATGGATTGTTCGAGAAGTCGATGAAACTTGAAAAATATGGTCATGAGGACGACGAGGAATTCACCGGTATAGCCAAAAAGATAATGATAAATTCGGACTTGTCGGTTTACGACTTGATTCAATTACGACCCGAAGAGGCGGCAAAACTACTGACATTTTCGGACTTCTTCAAGTTCGCGCAATCGCAAAGTTTATGTCTTCTCCCGGAAAAGCATAGAGATAAATGTATATTGCACCTGTGCGAGATAATTTCAAGAAAATTTTTCCGGTCTTGGGCACTAGATTGTTTCTACGAGCTGATACACTTTCGATTGCCGATTCTATGCTGTCGCATGATCATCGAGGAGTTGATGAATGAGGATTTATATAATATATGCTTGGCGAATACACTACCCTTTGATTAATTCTGCCCACTGAAATATAAAATGCTGCACGTACATTGTATCAACATGTTTCAATTTATGCTCCAGTAACAGAATTAATCAAATCGTTGTGTGTAGGCCAAACCTAGTGTTATATGCATTTTTGCAATACTTTTTAATATCTAACGTTATAAAATGTTAAAGATTTTCTATGTTATTAAAATAAACGAATTTAAAAGCAAATTGAGTTTATTCATTTTCTTTTATTTTAATTTTTTTGTGTTCTAAGTTTCAAGTAAAAACTTGAACTTGAGGAAAAACTTTTTTTCTTGCAAAAATACGAAATGCACTCCAAAAAATGACAAATAAATTAAACACAATGTGTATCATAGGTCGTGAGGAACACAAGTTATATTAAATTGTACTGATGTATCATAATGTGATGACTCACATAATCTAAGGCTACACGCAATGTATTTTATCATATTCTAATGAGAACAATTCTATATCAAACGGTACATTTTCTAGGAAACTCATGTATTCAGAAGGCACTAATATTCGAAATTTGTAAATTGTAATAATTGAGTAGCGCCATTCTTCAATTACATTTTTGAATTATCATTTATATTTTTTCGAATATTCAAAACTATATTAAAGATATAAAAGTGAACTTATAATTCGATTGAAATTTCAACGATATATAAAAGACAATAACTAATATATAGAAGCTGTTGAATAAATACGTAGCTATGCAAATGAAGGTTTATTGATTCGAATGATGCAGCGGTGACTTATACACTTTAATTTATATTAGACGAGTATAAAATGGAAGTAAAATTTTACGAAGGAAAACAAAGATTATTAATCCATTTGCGTATAATCTTAAAATTTTTCCATTAAAAAGTTTTTCCAAACCAAAATATTAATAGCAAATTACATGTGTAAATTATGGGTAGTTTTTTCATTACTTCAGAATTACTTACAGACGTAAACGAGGATTGATTTCTACGAGGAAAAAAATATTTTTTCGAAGTAAAATGTACGCTATGGATTGATGATCAGCATTTAGGTTGAATTTTTCAGATAATGATCATGACGCAAGAACTCAAGGAATCGACGACCAATGTTTTTCTTTAATCATAGCGATTTGATGTTAGAGAAACTTAAAAATAGATTTTTACTAAAAACCGCATAAATAAGCGATGTACTCGGAATAATTTACACGATTTATATCACATAGATAGATTCTAAATTCATTGAATTCTCTCTCTGAATTAATAATGATGATTGCAAGAGAATGATGCTGAAAAGTTTCATTGAGCTCGAGTAATAGGCCATGTTATGTGGGGGCTGGATAATTAGATCGATTCTATACTTGCCGAGGAAATACGATTTATTGAATATCGATCATAAGTCCCGAAAGAAATTTAATTCTAGTACTTTTTGAAAAGTTGCAGATGCGCATCGTTTCATTATTTTGTACTTTGCGCACTAACGTGGCGCTATGAACGGTAAAAAATGTCTAATCAAAATACCAAAAAACCGCATAACCGTAATTCTAAAAACGTGGTCTCGAACGTTATAAATACAAATTTCGATAATTTCTTTTACCTGTGTTTTATTATTAGTGCCGTCGACGACATATCATGGCAGGTTTGACAATTTTTCACACAAATTTTGTAGAAATGATTGATATTTTTTTGATTACTTTAAACTTGTATTAATTTCACTTTTTTTGTTTAATTTTTACTATAACTCAATTATTTCAAAACGTTTCAAGGCACTAAAAGTTAAACGTTTTCGTGAGAACTCCGTACGTGTGAGAGACATAAATGCACAGTGTACACTATTTTGGTCTGCTACGAGCTTAGATTGCAGACGGCAAACCGCAACATTTGCGAGAAGCCGATTGTACACAATACACATCTAAATGACAGGACACTGTCAGTTGGGTGGGTGTGCGAGTCAAACTCACGTACTTTCACGCCCCGAGGTTAAGTTCGAAGTTCTCGGTATTTCGCATGAGTACATTTAAATGTTAGAATCCATGGATTGTATGATTATTTTATTGTTTTTTTATATAAATTGACTTATCGTAAAATTTTATTGAAATACTTTTAAACTTTTTTCCTTTTTTGAATAAACAATACACGTTTTATAACGATTTGAAATGTGTCAAATTTCATGTTTTAATTGAAATCTTTCAGGTACAAATGATGCTTCATCGCAGCCTACCTTATATGATATACTTGGTTGCCCACAAGACTCATCAACAGAAAAGTTGAAGGAAGCTTATCATTCTTTGATCTTAAAGCATCACCCAGATAAAAATTCAGATACAGACACTTCAACATTCCACAACATTCAACGAGCGTGGGATATTCTCAGCAATCCTGAGCAGCGTAAAGAATATGATATAAAAATAGCACAGGCTGATTTTGATTCTGAAAGTGTTCTTATTTTTGCTAAGATAAACTCAACGGAACTAGAACCTACTGAAGATAGCGAAATACTTTCATATCCTTGTCGTTGTGGAAGTAATTACCAGGTACATATAGATGATTTGCTAGAGAAAAATTGTGTATTACATATTCCTTGCGAAGACTGTACTTTTGTTATAATTGTTGATACGTAAAACTTTGTTTGCTTTACTAAAAGTTTATTTTGTTATAAATTTGGTTTATAAATATTCATCAAAATGTCTGCTATGCTGACAGCAGATTGGTTCCCATTGGGAAAAGATGTCTACTTTAGGAAATTCGAAATTTATTCATTAAATTTTTTTAATGAGTGTAGTTCAGAAAATCTACTGGTGGCTGCACCATATGGTGGTTCTATTGCAGTCACAAAAAATCCTAAAAAATTAGTTAAAATTAAGGGTTCTGCTAAAACTATAATATCTCTGTATTCGTCATCTGGAAATTTAACAGCAAAAATACACTGGACCAGTGGTCAGTTAATAGCAATGGGTTGGTCTCATCAAGAAGATTTATTATGTATTCAAGAAGATGGTATGGTTTTAATGTATGATATGTTTGGTACATATCAACATACATTTAGTATGGGCGATGAGGCTAAAGAAACAAAAGTAGCTGAAGCTAAATTTTTCCCAAGTTTGGACAGTACTGGAGTAGCTATTTTGACATCTGCGCATAGAATATTTTTAGTAAATAATGTTTCAGAACCAAAAGTCAGAAAAATTTCAGATTTACCAAAATTTGGTGGAACAATGGACAGTTGGTGCATTGTCAGACAAGAACGGGACAGTGTAGTGATAATGGCAAATCAAGAAGGTATTCATCAACTACATCATTCTTATTCACCAATATCTACACCTTATCATAAACTGTTCAACAATAAAGTGAACACAGTAACAGCTATGTCTGTTTCTGGTAATAGTCGTCACATAGCTTTGTATGCAAATACAGGATTCCTTTATCTTGGATCTGCAGATCTAAAAGAAAAATACCATGAATTTAATACAAACATAAAAGATACGGTAACAGAAATTGCATGGTGTGGTTCAGAAGCTGTTGTATGTTGCTGGGACAAAACCATGATGATAATTGGTTGTTCCAAAGATGGGGATACAATAGCATACTCTTATGATGGGTTGATACGTTTGATCACAGAAATTGATTGTGTTCGGGTGTTAACTGCTACATCCCATGAGTTGATACAGAAGGTTCCAAAAGTTGTTCAAAAAATATTTAGAATAAACTCCACTGATCCTGCTTCATATCTTTTGGAAGCTTCAAAACAATTTGAAAAAGAAAGTCACAAAGCTGATAGCTATATTGACTTGATAAAAGACAAATTGGAAGTTGCAGTTACAGATTGTATAAATGCAGCTAGCCACGAATTTGATTTTCATACACAAAAACTACTGATGAAAGCAGCTCAATACGGTAAAGGGTTCAGTAAAAATTTTAACTCAGATCAGTTTGTTGACATGTGCAGAACACTGAGAGTTCTCAATGCAGTACGTCACCCAAAAATTGGAATACCCTTAACATACATTCAACTAAACAAGCTCACTTATCAAGTAATGCTTGATCGATTAGTGGCTAGAAGGCACTATTATCTAGCTATACAGATAGCTAAACACTTGAAATTATCAGAAATCGATGGCGAAAGTAGAATTCTAGCTCACTGGGCATGCTACAAAGTCAAACAAACTCAATTGGACAAAGAGCAAATTGCGGAAGAAATAGCTGATAAACTGGGTTACACTCCAGGAGTATCTTACAGTGAAATTGCAGTTAGAGCAGCCGATTATGGTCGCAAACAATTAGCGATTAAATTGATCGATTACGAACCCAATGCTCATCTTCAAGTTCCTCTGCTCCTTCGACTGGGCGAAGAGAGAACTGCTCTGAAGAAGGCGGTTGAGAGCGGCAATACCGATTTGGTTTACACGGTCATTCTTCATTTGCGAGAGCACAAGCCTCTGTCCGATTTTCAGATGTCGATTATGCACTGCCCATTGGCAATGACATTGTACATCAAGTACTGCAGAAACCACAATCGAGAGACCCTTCGAGATATTTACAATCAATACGACGACTATTATTCCCAAGCTCTGTGGTTCGTGCGCGAGAGCTATCAGGACTCAACCTCGAGGGACGCGATGCTAAAATCGGCTTACGACAATTTCAAACTGGCCAAGTGCGACACCAATGCCAGCTTGACGGACGAGCAGATCAAATTGCTGAGATATCAGCGCTCGCTCGAGGAGACGCTGCACGAGTCGGTCGTGGGCAAGTCGTTGCACGACACCATCAAGATGCTGCTCATGAACAACGAGATCAAGCTGGCGGACAAGCTGAAATCCGAGTACAAGGTGCACGATCGCAGGTACTGGTGGCTGAGAATACAGTGCTTGGCCGATCAGAATTCCTGGATGGAATTGGAGAGATTTTCCAAGGTCAAGAAGTCACCGATCGGCTACGAGCCCTTCATCGACCAGTGCTTGAAGTACAAAAAGGACATGGAGGCCATGAAATACCTGCCAAGAGTGAGGGACGATTTGAAAGTAAAATACTTCGTGAAGTTGAACATGTTCTTGGAGGCTGCTCAAGTTGCAGTGGAACAAAAAGACCCAAATGCCATGGACTTTGTGATGGCTAATTGTAAAAATGCGGATAAATCTTTGCAAGACAGAATCAGTGCCATGATGATTAGCCTCAGAAACAATACGAGATAAATTGTAAATAAATGTTAATTCATCACGAACGTATCGAACGAATCGAGAATTATTCTTTTTGTATAAAGTTTTAAGCATCTTATAAATTTTCTGTACTGTATATAATGAATAAATAAATATTCTTTGATGAAACAAAATTATTGTGTAATATCATAGAGGAATGAGTGAAATAAAAGAAATGAGATTTTGTAAAATGCAGTAACATTTTTTGTTTTCTTATAAAAAAATGATACAACAAATAATTCATTCTCACATTATTACAATCTATCAATCGGTATGTACAAATCATAAAACACAAACTGTTAATTATCTGGGCTCAGTAATAACAGACATTCAAATCACACATCGTTCTTGCAGTTTGCACTATTTAATGCTAAAATTAAAAACAACATAAGTTTGATATAAAGCTCATTGGTACAGTAACGGCGAATCGAATCGATTCCCCGCAGAGAAGAAAAGTTCTTACGTACTTTCACATTACAGTTGCATCAATTGTATACAACGTTCATATATTGCACTAAAATTATTACCAGCTGTTCACATTACTGAGCTATGGCAAAACCAGATAATTACAAATTCATTTTTTATATTTATATCGTGTCGTGTTTTTGAATCGACATTCGTGAATGTTGTTTATTGCAGCATGCATTGACGCTGATTGCTCATTGTTGGTTGAAAAAGAGCTGTTTATCGAAACAAATTTTTTCAATTTTGAACTAATTACTTTACCAATTAATATACCTTATAAAGAAATGAACTTTGTTTTTTCCCTTTTCACAATTTACCTCTTAATTCGATGAACTTGTGAAAAAGATTGATTTTCGCTTATTTACTAAAGATACAGAATTTTCATCATGTTCGAGTAATTATCGATTATAATTAAATAATTAGTTTTTTAAATAATTAATTTAATTACAAGTAGAAAAATTATACATGACTACAATTATGTACAGAGAGTAATCAAGTTTTTTTAACCTTCCAACCGTCTAGCTCTTCTTAAATTTTAAATGTATCTTTTGAATGAATTTGAAGGAAAAAAACAAATGTCATATTTCCTAATAAAATTAAATTTAACAATTTTCTTGAATTTTGCTTTCAAATTTTTCATGATGGATAATTATATGATCTATGTATATGCTTTCGTAAAAAAATAAATTGTCTACGTTCATACAATAGGATAATTATTCATCATGAAAACGGATTGAAACCCTAACTTATCGTAACTTTTTCGTTAACGATAAAGTACTCAAGAAACTTTTTTTAGAAAATATACAAATCAACTTTATTGGTCATAAATAATTGACACATGGCGAGGGCATGTGCGCTGCAGAACAAAAACGTAACAACTTTTACGATAAAAATCACAATTAATCCAATTCATTTCCTAATTTGTTTTTCAGACTCAATGCTCTCGAGAATCATACAATATCTTGACAACTATAGTTAATTATTATTTTTTTAAATTCAAACAGGTATAAGCGTTAAAGCAGTGATTAATTGCTTTGGAAAAATATCAATCTAATTTGTCAATTCAAATAGCTTTATAAACCTGCTCGAATTTTGAAAAAATAAAATTTTCTCGGCACATCATATGACAGATATTGTCGTATTCTACCTAAAGTCAGTGAATTTATTAATGCTAACTTTTCATTCAATTCTAAACTAGTTAATTAAAAATTTACTCTATTTCATTTGCATCGTTCGTTATTCACTTTCCGACAAGTAAATTAAAAATTGTTAATTACTTCATTCACATCAGCTCAATCTCTAGTAACTCATTTGAGACTGCTCGACGTTCGAAATATGATTTGTAATTCATCAACAGCATTTTTAATCATTCCAAGTATTTGTTAATGAGTTACATTAAAATAAATTCAATGAATTTCTAACTAAAATTTTATTATTACAGTCTATGATTTTCAAATCAATTTGAAAATTTCAAAGTGCGTTCAGAAACCTTTCCTATAAAGCCACGGCTCAGCAAATATACTTTGAATGAAAGTACCATGCTTAAGTTAAAAAAGTATGAAACTATTGTATTATCACTTTTAAATTCATAAAATATCCTATAATAAACAAGTGTATAATTATAGAACACATAATTTACACTATACCATTTAATTGATTTCAGTTCTGAACATACACTTTGAACATAAGTTCTCTAAAAACAATAAACTTACAAATTAAGCGCAGATGTTAATAATTTGTTGCTAATAGGGAAATGAAGCACCTTACATCATTTTGAATAATCATCAGAACATTTAACAAGTAACATAAAATCAATCGAAAATCACATTTTTCACGGTGAAAAAATTATCTAAGCTGTATTTACTAATTTTCACTAAGCGACACGTGGAAAAAAAGAATTAAAAAAGGTAGGCAGAATCCAAACAACCAAGTATAAAAATAGTTATATTGGACAAACTTAAAAAAGTTTTTCATCCTCCTGGGACTATTTGAATTCCATTTCTATGTACAAATTCTAAAAAAAATTAATAAAGGATCGAGGACTATACATACACACTATGATTCAAAATGACGAAAGCTGCAGCAAATCGTATGCTGTTACTGAGTATCACACTTTACTGAAAAAATTCCTTGCACATTAAGCAGTCTTATTCACAGTTACACGCATTTGAACATGCGATGACAAACAATATACAATTATTAGAATCAGTTATTCTAGCTAATGTTTAAATTATGTACAGGCTTAAGTTTTTGCACGCGCGCGCGCAAACGCGCATGTTTTCGTATGTATAATTATTTATAAGTTTAATGCTTTGTTTTTCGCTTCAAGACAATTCGTTGCGGTGGAAAATAAATAATAACGATAATAGTTATCATAATTACAGTAGTTAGGACTGCAGCGGCTGAAGTTGTAGTACTGACACAAGAACTGTTTCACTTGTCGACGTCGAAGTCGAGCACAAGTAATTTCGTCTCTTCGGTACCATTGCGACTTCCAACTGCACAGACAAGCTTCGTGTCACTTGCGCGAATCCGCCAAACTACACCACCACTACCTCCACTCTCCAAAGCAACGAGATTACGAATGAAGTCCCCTATTAATACGAAACATCGTTGATTAGATATTAAACTGATTTTGTCAATAACACCGTTAAAATGGGGTACTTACCCGTGTTTACATCCCATAGCTTAACGGTTCCGTCGTCCGATGACGTTATTACAAAATGGTTATTGAATTGCAGGCAGGTTACAGCGGACTGATGTTTGTGGGGACCCGAAAGAGTCTGTAGGCAGTGGCCAGTAACTATATCCCAGACCTTCACGGTCGAATCAGCATTGCCCGAAACAAGAATATTGTCGCGCAGCTCCATTCCAGACGTCAAGCTTTGGTGACCCATCAGAGTATGTCGACAATGTCCCGTCTCGACGTCCCAAACTCGTATACTTGTATCTAACGAGCCCGACACGACGTGTATACCATCAAACTGTAAAACAAAAAGAGACTCGAGCGTACTGCGATTTCTGTCAAAGACGAATCTCGCCAATTTCGATCGACTGATTTACCTGCAGGGAATAAACCCTATTCGTGTGCCCTTGCAGCGTGTGCAAGCACTCCTCTCGCTCGGGATTCCAGACCTTGACCATGTAGTCGTAGGCGCCGCTGACGACCAGCTTGCCGTCGTACTGGACGCAGCGCACGGCCGCCAAGTGGCCCACGAGCACGTGCAAGCACTCGCCCGTGTCGATGCGCCAGACGCGCAGGGTCGCGTCCCGGCTGCCGCTCACCACCTTGTTGTCGTGCAGATGCATGCAGCGCACGGTCGACGTGTGCCCGAACAAGGTGTGTATGCAGTCGCCGGTCTCGGCGTTCCAGACTTTCAGGGTGCGGTCCGTGCTGCCCGATATCACAGTTGCGCCGGACATCTGCGACGACCAGACACCACCGGTGTGACCGCACAGCGTACGCAGACACTGCGGGAGAAAAAACGAGAGACGGAGATGAATTCTCTCAACGGAACAGTCGGAAGAGCGGAGAGTAAAAAAAAAAAAGTAATTGTGAAATCGTCGCTGATAGACACGCGCGATAGAGTCGGTTAGACGATTGGTTTTTTTGTACTCACCTTTCCGGTTAAGGCTGACCAGACTTTGAGAGTGTTGTCGTCGCTGCCGCTGACGATCCGATTGCCGGAGAACTGTAGGCACGTGATCACGTGATCGTCGTGACCTTTGAGCACTTTTGGCGGCCTTATCGGCTTGGTTCTCCAGTTCATTTTGATGTTGTGCTGGCGCATGTAGGCCTGCTTCCAGGGCGAGGCGACATTGAGCGCGGTCGTAGGGTTGCTGTTCGCCGGACTACTGTACTTCACTTTGCGCTTGGGCTGCTCTTTGAGCTCCGTTATGCCCTCCCTGCGGCACTTGGCTTTCCACAGCAGATTGTCGTCGGCGAGAAACTGCCAGCTGCGACAGGTCTGGGCGGCTCGCAGCAGGTCCTTCGGCTCGAGAAAGGAGAGGACGCAGAGGGCCAGCTCGCGCGGCAGTAGCGATATAAAGTCCCGCTGGAACTGCGGCTCGATCACCTGCATCATGTGCCGTACCTGGGTCGGTTCGCAACACTCTATGAGCTGGTCTATGGCTAGCAGGCGCTCGACATTCGTCCATTTCTGCAACGACGAGAGAACCGAGAAAAAGGCAAATTAATTTTTATTATGAACAACGCTTAACCAATAAACTAATGAGTAAACCAAGACAAAGTCGCAGTACAAATATTATACAGCTGGCTTCAATGAAGGCGATGAGAGTATAGTGAGCCGCGTATGACTTAAATTAACGTGATAACATATCTACTTATAAATTTAGCGTCTTTTTGTTGAGCTTGCTCACGCAGACTGCTGATTTCCAAATAGCTGCACTTGATATAATTTAGCAAAGAAAGATTTTAGTTTACTCAAGAATACTGAAGGCAAAATTTTTTTCTAACAAAATCGGAAAAAAAATTACGGCTTTTCGATGACAACAACTTTTATCTGAACAATAACGAAAATCATTCCATTCATTTTTTTAAGATATAACTTATCTTTTAACAATAATGAGTGAAACATGATCATAATTAAGATATTAATATTTCCAATGAGTTTGTTAAAGCATTTTCTCTTTTAAAGAGTGTTGCAGATAAAAAGTTTGTGAATATGAAGTAACATGAATTTTCAATTTCACATTGATTGTCAATGATAATTAGAATTAAATAAATTAAAAGTTTTGAATAATGATTTTTGAACAAAATACTCACTTGAAATTGATAAATCCAATCATTCAATTCTGGTGGAGGATTGTCCTTGGTCGGAATGACTGGTCGACCAGGCTTGACTCTTTCCTCTACCTTTTTAAGGGTTCTTTAAAAAACATAATATTAATTTTACATACGAGGCTTTTGAAATAATTACTAAAATTTGATAATAAAACTCACATTTCAAATTTATCATTAGGAGCTTGTTTTTTACTAGGTAAATTTAACTCTGTCTCACTTTTACGTTTTCTAGCAGGCAGTACTTCATTCAAGGGCACACAAATAGTAGGACTACTTGGTGTTATAGGTGCATCAGCCGGCAAATCCAACTGATCTTCTAGACGGATCTCTTTTTCTACACTACCTAATCCAGATAAGTCATCGCACTGAAATGAGGTAAACGTTTTATAAATATTAAACTTTCACATAATTTGGAAATATAGATTTATTACTCACACTGCAAGATTCATCAAGATTTTCTTCCTCTTTTTCCTCGTATGCTGAATCTTCACAATCTTTGTCATCCTCTGGCTGAGGTGAGATTGTTGGTTCTTGATTGCTGGGTCCTTGCTCACTTCCAATTTCTGCATTAATAATACCAGATTGGCTATCACTATTAGGAGTTACTTCCTCTTCTTCTTTGGGCGTTATTATAGATTCAGACATTACTGACTCGAAGCTGCAAAAAAATAATCATCTTGTTAAAACTCAAAAATACAATTTTTTTTATCCTTAATTAATTGCATGAAAATATCCTCGATCGAAATATTTTTAAATGGGAGTGAAATAAAAATCTAAAAAAACTAATTTATTGCTTTAAAAAAAAAAAGACTAATCTCGCCGAAATTCTCGTTTCAACTAAAAACATTTTCTATATCAGAAAGTTGAGTATTTCGACGTTTGTGCATTTCAATACTTGCGCTCGCACTTTGGAACATACACGCGCCACAATAAGAGATTAGATCACGCACACGGGGCGATTCTTTTCCAAATAGAGCAAACGAATGCAAGCCAGCTCCGCTGCTGCTTCTTTCTTTTTTTCTTCGTCTTCTCTGTCTCGCTCCGAAATCGTAAGGAGAGAAAGGAATGAAAACGAGCGCGTTCCGAGTAAACAATATTGTGTCAACGTAATATTTTTTCGATAATATTATTCTTCCAATACGTATAGCACGTTACATGCGTGTAACCTTAGCAACAAAAGCCACGAGCAAATCGGTGGTATAACTTATTACACCACACAGGCATACACCGACGACGACACACCACGCATCAGCGATACACATTACACACGCGTACTGCAGCATGTTGGCAATTTAAACACATTCTTAAATTTATCATATATATCTGTGAATTGACCAAACACGATCGAATCCAAAACAAGATGACGTATGCAAAACAAAAACAAAACAAAAAGTCACCTTACAAGGCATCCGAGCATATCATCACACGATCATCATCGTCGACACGTCGAACGCATCATTGAATGAGCTACATACGCGCCGCGCGACGACGCGAGATGCACAGTGCACACACACGCGCTCGCACACACATCTAAATATGCGCAGACACGATCTAATGGAAACCTGTCCCTTTAATTCGCCGAATCACGTTGTCCTCGCTACTAGCTCGTTTCTACGCTCGCAAATCGAGTTGGGTGCAATTTTTTTAATGAGCTCACTCATTAATGAATCTCGCGCCGTTTACATCTATTGAATGTTTTTCGTTCGATGGCTTTAGACATGGGACGCGCGAGGCAGGTGGATTTACTCGAGCAAAGAAAAAACCCTTTTCAAGGTCGCGGTTAGGACGATCCGCACCCTCTTTCTCAAAACGAGAAGAGAGAGAGAGAATGTGTGTGTGAGAAAGAGAGAGAGAGAGAAAGAAAGTACATGCAATATAATGTACCACGTGATCAAGCAAAATGGCGATCTACCGCAGAAAAACAATTCGAATTCCTTTTTGGAGTTCCACGGCTATTCGAGATCCTTGAATAAGTTTGCAAATCGATTGGAATGACTACGCGAGAGGAGACGGTCGAGGCAAGCATAATTTTATTCCTCGGCCAAAAACTTCAAGTTCAAAGATGTTTTATTTATCAATAAAGCATACATTCGTACGCGGCGACGTCAGCAAAACAATTAGTAAATTGTTGCATAAAAGAAAAATCGTATACATCGAGTTCACGGTGAAGTGAAAAATGATGTTACAACAAAACCAGCTCGCGAAACCGCAGCAGCATCGTAAAAGTCAAAATATCCCATGACGTAAGGCTCCGAAAAACAAAGTTTCGGTCTCTCGTTCTCTCCTCTTTCATTCTCTCTCTCTCTCTCTCTTGAAGCGTATGTTCTTTTTCTCTTATCGCAATCGCGTATACGAAGGATGCACGCTATTAGGTGCGCAGCGAAAATTTAAAGCTCACCTCGAGCGAAGAGCAAGTGCGTGTGCGTGAGCGTGAGTATATGTGTACCTGCAATATGATATGAGCACACGACGCCAAGTACACACATTTCTATGTTTGTTTACTTATTATATATATCGAGTGCTTTGCCCCGTGCGGGGGGCAATGGACAGCTGATCGCTTTGACTCGTCGCGCGAGGCAGCTAATTACGATTTTTAACGAGATCTGAGGCAGCAACCAGAGAGGAATAATTAAAACGTTCCAATCGTAAAGCGAGGTGGATTTTATCAAACGTCGGAAATTCAATCGAGATTTCGCACAAATCCTTGTCGAGTTTCTTACGCAAAAATCCTTCAAAATCGAATTCCAGTCTCGACTATCCTATCTATGGCTCTTCGTTCTCTGGCCCGAATCATGTGATGGCCATAAATCGAAAAAAATACTTGTTATCCGCTCGTATACGCATCATAGCAATTACACATCAGCCCATACAATTCGTATACCTTTAAATCTAACCTGAAAATTTTAAGCTCGTCTCTCGCAGGACTCTCGGTATCTCTCGGTGAGCGTTGAGTTACACGCGCACACATACACCGATATAGTAGTCCTGCACTTGAAACGCGAACCGTGCGACATGCGTTTTTTCTTTTTTTTTTATATAAGTGGATACCCTACCCCGTGCAGGTGACGTCCGCGCTCGTCTCGATCGAAATTTTTATGAGAAAGTATAATGATGCCACTTTTTTTTTCTCACGCACATGCAAGTAGCAGCAGCAGCAGCAGCAGTCGGGCCTGCCTCGGTGTTCGCTGTGCTTATGAGTTGCGGGGCTGCGTTTCAAAAGTCGAAAATGCACCTCACTCTCCCGCAGAAGCAGCAGCAGCAGTAGCAGCACTCAGGCAGCAGCACACACGCTCACACATATATAATACACTTTCGTTGCTCCACTACTTATGCTCCGATCATGAAGCGTATATCATAGCCCGCACGAAGTATGAACACGTACGTAATAATACACACCTTCGACTCAATGCACCGCAGAGGACATGGGCAAGGCCTGTCCCTATTAATGTAATATCCGAGAGCAACGAAGGGCTAGGCCGAGATATCGCCGAGAGAGATCTACCTCTCTGCTGCCGTACACCTGTGCAGTTCGATAATCGACGCACTCTTTTATCTCGTCCTCTCTCGTATTATACGGAGGCGATCTGCAGCACTGCGTGGACTAGCTATGTATGTACACGACTATATTTACATATATTTTTCGCGTATATTATGTTAATCACACTCGGATGTTTGATCACAGTCACACTGACTTGTACTACAACCACGGGCCACCACAGGCGCACTCAGCCAACCAGCAGCAGCAGTAAGCTCGCTTCGCTAATTCGCTATCGCATATATATATCGCACACACACATAAACGCGAGTTTCGTCGTCGTCGTCGTCGCGTGCACGATGCTGACCTCTGCACGGGAACGAGAAAAACTCGTTCGAGGCGCGCGAGATTCGAATTCTCGCCGATGCATGAGAGACCTCGTGTTCGACTGCTCAACGCGGCGGTGCGCGCATTGCGTCGTGGGGGATAAAAATCTCGTTGCTTATAACCAGTGTTTTCCTACTTGATGCGGCGTGTGTTTCTTGATCGTGGGTAATTCGTCTTTTAATTTTGGAGATTGAACTGTCTCGACCACTCAGAGTTATATTTCGAGTGTGATTTTGACACTGGTGGGCGGAGCTTACAAAACTTTCATTATAGTTGGCACTTGCAGATAGTGCTAACCTCACATTGTCACGTGTGCGTGTGTTTTTATTATTGTTATTCGTGTTTTTTAATTTTTTAGACGATTGATCGATCGACTGGAAATGGCAAAAGTCATTAGGAAGAGGAAAATCACGTCTCGAGAAGAGCTGGAAAAGCTTGATAAAAATGTGAGTACAGTTGTAGACTAATTTATTTGTATTGTGACATACAATAACACACCGCACTATCATTACAGGAGTTGATCGACAGACTTTTGTCGCTGGAAGCTCACAACCAGCAACTCAAAAATGTTATTCTCAAGAGTGAAAAAGGAAAAGACAGTCCAGTAAGCAAAGAAATCCCACCAGGACAAAGAAAGTTTGATTTCACAAAGTATGTAAAACAATCCTATTGAGAGTATTTTGATGTGTCAGTGATTGTTAATCATGACATTTTTTCAGATGCCATAAACGACACATTTTTATGAAACTATATTACTTAGGATGGGATTACCAAGGGTTTGCCACTCAAGAAGATTCCCCAATGACCATTGAACATCATTTGTTTTCTGCATTGACAAGAGCCTGCCTCATAGCAGATAGAGAAAGTTCTAATTATCACCGATGTGGTCGAACTGACAAAGGTGTAAGCGCATTCTCACAAGTGATATCAATAGATATAAGAAGCAAACTTGAACCATCAGAACAAGACAAATTGGATCAGGAAATAAAATATTGTAAACTTCTTAACAAAATTTTACCCAAAAATATTCGTATAATATCCTGGTCACCTGCAGATCCTGAAATATCTGCAAGATTTGATTGTAAATGTAGAAGCTACAAGTATTTCTTCCCCAGAGGAAATCTAGATATAGATGCAATGAACCAAGCTGCAAAATATATTATTGGTAGTCATGACTTTAGAAATTTATGTAAAATGGATGTGGCCAATGGTGTTACTAGTTTTATTAGAAATGTCAAAGATGCTTCTGTAACTTGTATAGATAGCGGAGAAAAAAAAGTATCAGGTAAAATTAATTTCTTTTTATTATATTACATTGAAATTCTGTATGCAACTACTAAATTTTTTCTTTATTTACACAGGTTATGATATGTGTGAATTATCTATTAAAAGCAATGCTTTTCTCTGGCATCAAATCAGATGCATAATGGGAATTTTACTTTTAATAGGAGAAAGGAATGAAAAACCAGAAGTAATTAAAGAACTACTGGATGTGGAAAAATGTCAAAGAAAACCTCAATATTGTTTAGGACATTATATACCATTAAATTTATTCTCTGTTGAATATGATAATACAAATTGGTATATTGACACAGAGGAATTTGAAAAAGTAATAAAAGATCTTCAAGAAGAGTGGGGTGAGGCAGAAATAAAGTGAGTAAAATCAATTCAATAAAACATGAAATTCCAATAAAAAAGCAAAGTAAACTTTATTATATGTAATTTAGGGCAACAATGATGAAATCTATGCTGAAAGATTTAACATCATCACTTGGTACAGACGAAGAAACTGTTTGTCAACAAAGTGGTTGGTTATTACAAGGAGTAAAGTCAAAGATTTATCGTCCACTAATGGAACGTGATACTTGCGGTATGTTTTCACTCTTTCCACAAATTTTTTAACAAAATTATTTTGCCTTATAAATAAATTAACTATTATTATGTTTCAATTTCATGTTGTGCTGCAGAGAGTTTAGAAGAAAGGATCGATCATTACACAAAAAAACAGAGATTAGAAAAAACGAGTTAACATTGTAGCATCTGCTGTTCTCTTATTTTAAAATTGTACATATGCATATATTGTATGTAATTACGAAAAATGAGAGTACTTGTGACTACAAGAAGAATTATAGTGAAACAGAATTATGTTTTTTTAGTTTTAACTGTAAATATACAAAGTGTCATAGGATGCTTATTAGAAAATTAATTTCTATACTAAAAATGTATTTGTTATTGCGACATTATGTTATAATGTACATAATATTTCCTTGTAAATAGTTACGGAAACCCCGTTTTCAATACATGTCGTAGCTCATTTTTGTTACTTTTCGAAAGAAGCGCTGGCTACGCTTTTCAATTGATGTAAAAATATAAAATTACAAAGAATCAATATCAACTCTTTCAGTTATTATTATTGCGAAAAAACTTAATTATTTTTAAATATAAGGTATGCTCTGTAAAAAAATCTTAGAAAAGAAAAAAAATTTTCACCACAGATAAAAATTCAGATTTCGAAAAATCATGGACCTAGTTGAACCGAAGCAATTTACTGCATTCCGGCGTGAAAGTTGTTTCGCGCGATAAAGGGAAGATTAAGAAAACCGCAAGAAATACGTATATTAAGTGCAACGAAATTGCCAAGTCACTGTTCATTGTGAGTCAATCTGCCTCGGTATTAATAATCAACTTAAATATTTGTTATTCTCATCAACGTTTGTTCGGCCTGTTAATGTTGTATATCTTTTGTGTCTATAATTTCATTATCGATGCTCAATACCGTTATCATTTTTTTACGCCAAATATCTCATCTAATTGTCTTTATTTAAACAAAAAAAATTCGAACTCAACTCTGTACGATTATTGATTATGCATCGTGAAAAGAATTTTGCGTATTATCGTTTTGAGGGATGCAAAAACGATGACGCACGCAATGACTAATTAGAAGTAAGTTGGCGAGAAATTTTCGATTACTCGATAAAAAACCGAGGCTCCTTTTTATTGTCAATTTTCGACGTACTCGAATGTAAACCTGGTAGTTTGCTATGAAGAAAATCAAAACAATATTGAAATTACTAAATGTAATATTTGATACTTTGTCGGTCATTTTCCATTCGAATCCATGTCATATAATATAGGCAAGTGTTGATTCTGCATATAATGTAGTAATCTCTAGTGCAGATCGCCACAAAAAGCTCCACAAAGATGATACCTTCGATTTTTGGAAATTTACAGAAATGGCATTGAAAAAAAAACCTACGTATAAAAAAACGAGAGAAACGACTTCTCACCTGGCGTGTGCAGTATATCATAAAGGCAATGTCACGCATCTTGTCCATTCCGCTAAACGATATATTCTGCATTTTTGCTTACTCTCGATGACATTCTACTTTGTGTACGCCCAGTGTCAAAGTCCAAAAAAAATTCAATAATGATACACGACTCGCAAGCTCCGCAAATCGATCTATCGCTCTCGAAATCGTAAAACAAAATGATTCACGCTCGGCTTTTTTCAAAACAATTGCCTCGTGGATGGTGTCAAGAGAAAAAAAACAGCAACAAAGCCTCTCTCTCTCTCTCTCTCCAAAACACGATCGCAGCTTTGACAGTTTGACTCTGCGATATAACATAACGATCGACATCATCATCATCATCATCGCATCGCTGTTGTCTTTTAGGTACTCTCATTCCTCGTGCTAACCGAGAGGGTATACATCTTCGAGCGCGTCATAATCGTCGAGGAGTCGATATACGTACACATGATAAATTATGTACTCTCACACACGCACACAATTGTAAAAGACAACAACAGCAGCAGTGCGACTCGGGATGCGATCGCATATTATAGTCGAGAGGCAAGCGGAGCGATGATCGTCGTCGTCGTCGTCGTCGTCATGCCCGCTACTACTTGAGAAGAAACTCGACGACGACAGTCGGCCGGCAGAGACACACGCGACCACTTCGTGCCTCGTGCCTCACTCTCTCTCTCTCTCTCTCTCTCTTTTTCACACTCACTCGCGCACAAGCTCTCGTGCTGCTCCGGTTTGCTCCTATCTATTATATCTCCTTTATCTCTTCGGAACATTTTTTTTCTCCTCTGGATTGTAATTGTGATTGCTTTTTTTGCCTTTCCTATATGGACACATTTTATTGTACACGAGAAAAAAGTGAATTGCCATGTATCGATGACTCGTCGCGTGGTATAGAGAAGGCCCGCCGTATCGAGAGAGCTTTCGACAACGAGGAAAGGAAGACTTCGACGATTACATCGGGGGTGAGTCGAGAGGATAATATTTTATTATTTTTTCACGCGCTTACTTCGAAAATGAACGAGGGTTCGATGGATCCGCAATACATGAAAAAAATGAACGCCAAGTGTGTGTTTATTCGCCGTGGAAACTTCAATGCGCGGGCAGGTAATGCGCCTCCGATCGAGGAGTATCGCATATAATCATCCGTATTCCAGTTTGGTCGGTCTGCGAGCACTCGGTATAGTAGTAACAACAACAAGAATTATACCGATGCATATTTCGCAAATGTGTTATTCGGAATTCTCTCTTTTTTACAAATATATTATTTTTAGATCGATCGGCTTCTTTTTGACTATATATGTAGCGCACCGCGAGTCGAGCGTTATTATACAACTTTATAAACTACGTGTGAGAGAGTCTCCGGGAGATAAAATCGGATAGAAATTGAAATTGTAGCGCAGAGATCTGAAAAATCGATAGCGGCGAGCGAATTTCATTGAAAAAAAGAAAGAAAGAAAAATAAAATGTGTAACCGATCGTCATCGACAATTAGACAGATCGACTAAAAATCCCTCCCCGCGATGATAACATCGTCGTCGCTTTTTAGTTCGAACGATAATAACGAGGCACACGCACAGATCGATCGGCCATGCGACAGTAGTGTCTATTTCAACATATTACAATAATCTCGGTCTTGAATTCCCATGAGGTTTCATTAAAAAAATTATCGGCAATAATCTCTCTCGGCGATTCGATATCGATAAAACCCGACATATGCCTCTGTGCGTACCCATTTGCTGTGTGTATGCGTGTGTGTGTACATCATTTCGGAATTACTCTTGGCGCGTCGACTTTTTAAATTAAATATTCATCAATAGTGCAATATTCTAGCGAATGACGACGATCAAACGCGTATAGCAGCAACATCATCGGCAGCAGCAGCGAGCGAGGCTGCGATAAAGCAATATATTTTCTTCTTCCGAGCTCTCTGCATCTGACGCAAATCTCGTTCATTTGTATATTGCCATCATCGCATCGCTTTCTTCTCCCTTTGCGTATTGCATCTCGCTCGCGCGCGCGCCTATTGTTGTATACGGTTTTAATATAACGATGATACTCGCCATCAATCAATTCACATCAATTGTGTGTACGGAGAGAGATGCTGCACGTTTTACGATCCGCATCGTATTAATTATATTGTGCACGCGTACGTATATATAATGCAAAGATCCGAAGCGGCGTGCTCACTGAAAATCAAATGGAATTTCACTCGCGCGTCGAAGGTTACGCTTCGTTGTTAATATCGAGTTTTTCACCTCATTTTTCTTCTTCTTTTCTGATCTTTGTGAATTAATGAAACAATTCGCCTGCGTAATAGAGACGTTTTTCGCGAACGAGCTTGAAGAATAAAAATTAGAATGTGATATCTGTCGTACGACGTCGAGAGCGTACTGAATTGTAACATGCTTACGAAAGCTAGAAATAGGAGGAAAGTAAATTAAAAGTTCCCCGATGAAATATAATACATGCACGTTTGTAAAAACGCGTTTGTTTCATCACACATCTTCGCGCGAATTTTCACCTATAATTTTCCGTTCGACCTGCGAGAGCTCTATTATAAATCGAGAGCAGGTCCTCGGCGCGATTATTATTAAATATGTATAACGCAAGTGCGTCTGCGTTAGGTAACGAAGAAACTCGTGTGCTGCTGCCATTGATTCGCGCGCGCGCGCGTAAACCGAATCCTTCGCGCGCGCCGGTTTTGTGTTTGTGTGTGTGTGTGTGCACCGTGAGTAAGCAAGAAAAGTCGTGTCGCGTGGATGATCGAGCAGAATTTCGATAAGTGCGCGCGGACAGCGCATTTTACCGATACCTCGAATGTGGAATAAAAAAAGAAGAGACACGAGATTAGCCGTGTCCGAACGCGTGCGCGAATCATGAATATACATCAATAATAAATGCATTTTGCAAGGAAAAAAGGATGCGTGAATTGGAAAAGCGATTTAATTGAAACTATCGATCATCGTGGCTAAAAGGAAAATGTGACAAAACATAAGCTGAGTGCGCTCGGCATAAATTCAATATAATTATGGATTTTATGTACATTGTGTATCGGCCGCGCGTTGCACGCTATCTCGAGCGTGTCAAAAAAAAGCAATACACGCACACACATGTTATTTTCATTGTCCATATACACACTCATACACACGCACGTTACATTTATCGCGTATAATTCTTGCGCTCGATGCGCGATCGGATAATATTTCGTAAATTCAATCATTAGCGCGCGCGCGAGCAAAATTCATAAACGCGATCAAAACATTGCGTCAAGTAATCAATTTCGCGCATTTTAACGCGCGTTTCGATAAGTGTATTATATGTATGACAAGCGTTGCAATGCATACACGCATACATCGCATACACGCACGTGCACACACACACACAAGAGCGAGAAAAGCGAGTGCGCGATCGGCGAGCTCGTGCTCCGGATAAATAGATTTTATCGTTTCGCATAGGAATGGCCTTGCGTGCAGCGCTGCATTTTCATGTATATTTTCTTTTTTTTTATTAATTTTTTTTTGCAGCATGCGAGAGAGAAATAGAGATACGCGCGCGAGATGTGCTGCAGCTGATATGCGAGCGCGCGCGACAAAGCACATGGAATCTATACATGTGTGTCGCGCAGCTTCAAAATGATCGGCGAGTCCGCGTTAAGCGATGACGAACAAACATTTACGACTTTATACAGTATAATTATGCATCGTTTTTTTGCACGTTTTCGTGTGCGCGTTGCCGATAATGATGCATTACACATTATAGAAATTATCATTTGCGAATGGCAATTCGAGCTAAAAAAATCACGGAGCTTTCGGCATTATCGTTAATCTGATCGGGGACATTAATAAGCCACTGTGTTGATAGGCGATTATCTGTGTTGCTCCGACTCTCTTTTGTCTCTTTTTTTTTCTTTCTCCTTCTTTGACAAAATAAATGTGCTATACGCGCCTCTTTTATCGCGAACACGGCTCTAGGTGATGAGCGCGCGCTGCCACTTTCTTTTCGATTTATCGATGTTGTACGGCATGGATAAAATTTTGTGTATTATTCAAATTCGCTCAATAATTTCATTTAACAAAGATCTTCGAGATTTTAGGTATTTGCGGAAGTAAGACTTTTCATACCCTCTTTTGACATCAACGGAAAATACCATTAAAGTGTATATCACAATGGCAACTATTGTTGTTCGAACAAAGCAATGTGTGCAAGCTTTTTTTTTTCTTAAAATTTGTTATAAAAATCGGTTAGTAGTAAAAGCTGAGAAATGAATCATACTCTATCATAATTGAGCATTAGATATACGTTTTTCAACGTTTATACGTTCGAGCTGTGTTTATGAATATTCATGCCGATATCAAAAAAGCATCGGCGATGATGCATCGCTGCAGTATACAAAATTCATGTCACAATTCCGATGAAGGATGAAAAATTCACGATTCAATTGACGCAATAGAATTGTTGATCTCGCATGTGCTTTTTTTTCTTAAACTATAATTGTCGCAACTGAATTGCTGCGCTGATCATCTAGCTCGATACTGTGCGACCACATATATATTTCTCTCTTTCTTTGTCGAATGTTTTGCTTTAGAAGCGAAATTTTTCCCCACCCTAAAATGTCGACGACGACGATGATACAACGTAACCTTGCGCGCGTTCTCCAGAAGTACTCAATAATCGAGCCCGCAATACGATAAAATGAAAATCTTGATTTCAATCAACATAATATATCCGCGATAAGTGCGATAAGTGCCGATAGATATAATTGTTGAAAAAAAAAAACGATTTCTCTTTTGTTCGGTGTCACAACCTGCGGTTCGAAACGGAGAGAAAAAAGGAAAAAGAGGATATTCTGGAAATCAAATAGTAATTTTTTCGAAAAATCGACACGAAACTATAATACCACTTGCATCTTCGTACACGAAATCTTGATGTGTCATGAACGCGTTTCCATTTAACTCGTCCTCACTCTCACTCTCGCGCGCAAGTTCCACTTGTGGCACTTCTCGAGTCGTGCAGCACACACACACACACACACACACACACACACACACTCACATGCATATACAGTGAAATCTCTCTATAGTGGACACCCATAAAACCTGGAAAACTGTCCGCTATTCGGAAGAATACGAAGCGGGGAAATATGAAAAAAGAAGAACATTTTTGACTATATTTTTTTTTCATCCCCGACGGGAAAAAAATTGTTCGAGAAAGAGTAAACGTAGATATTAAAACTATCAAATTAAATTGTAAAATGTAATAAAATGTCAAAAAATGCAGCAATACGCAATTTTCTCGCATGTTATTGTTAAAAATTCGAACAATTAGAGGAGAAACTGTCCGTTAATACCTGAAAATAAGTGTCCACGTCCGCTATTGAGAATGTCCGCTATTTGGAATAGGAGTTACATAAAGAATTCATAGGAATATTTCATCGTCCTAAAATTGTCCACTATTGGGAAGTGTCCGCTATTCAGAGTGTCCACTATAGAGAGATTTCACTGTAATTGTGAGCCGTGTGCGATAATCGTGAACTCGCGAGCGGCTTTGATGACTGTAATAATATGCGCTGGCATCAATCATGATACACATTTATAATGCTTTGTGTCGTACAGAGCAGCAATGACCATACATAGAGTCGAGAGAGCTTTTTTGTTTTCTGCCGATTCATTTACCGATTTCATTAACTTCGTTAACGATTCGACACGATCGCGGGTCATCATTGCAATAATTTCTAATTTACAGCTAGTTATAATCGAGTCGATTAATTTTCATTATAAACCATGATTCCCGTATCTTTTTTAGTACATTAACCGATTTTTTACAAAACTTCCGCAATGACGTATACCCACGCTCTCGCGTAAGATTAGATTTGCTCCGTAGAGCGCACGAGAAAAAAAAAGTTGGAGGAAGCTTACAGTATGCATCGAGCTGTGCTATCAGGCATCGCTTTTCTAGGAAAAAAAAGAAGAAGAAAAGAAAAATCGAAATCTTCGCGCATAACGAAACACTAAGTGCGCAAAGTATGAGAAACGGAGAAAAAAAATAGAAGAAGAGCTCGAGTGCGGCGAAACATCTAACAGCCCAGCTCGCAGCTCCGCAGGCAGCAGCGGCACACGCTCGTTTGTGTATCATCGCGAAAGTATCGCGGCAGAAAATCATCTCTCGAAGCTCGATCGCGGCTCGCGCAGCGCAGCGGCTAATTTATTACAAAAACAAAAACAGTATACGCACGTAGAGAGGCGATCCGTGTATGTGTGTATGTGTACGATCGGAGAGTAGGAGGAAAAAAAAAGAAGAACGCAAGAAGAAAAGAAAGTATATAAGTAGGCTATAAGCGTTGGAGATAAAGCTCGAGCTGCTGCTGCTGCAGCTGCCACACACACACACACACACAGCATAGTTGTTATCGGTTGCAATGCGAAAATTGGCACGTTCCACACCGAGTGCAGCGCATCATCATCATCGTCGTTGTCAGTCGTACAAAAGGCATCCGCAGCACACACGCATGTATAAACACAACGACACTACACAAAGTTGAATGCGCTTCTTCGTGTGCCTTATTACTATATATATACAGCGAGTTATTTTTTCTCACTCGGGTTATAATCGCATTGTCAATTTACTTTAACACGATGTTTACAGAGCGCAATCGGTATTATTATTGACGCGTACCGGTATTGGATGCTGCGCGCAAGCTCGAATCGTGCGCTTGATTTTTTAACAATATCGCAATCGGACTGATTTTTCGCGTGCGTATAAACGGTACAATTGGTAAATAAAAAGAAACACGAGAAGAGAGAAAGGAAGAAAGAAAGCAAGAAAGAAATTAATTACGAGGCATTAGTTATGCAAACGACGCAATAATGTATGTGTTGATTTATTTTGACATTTAGCGTGCGCGCAAGCTCCTTCTCTCTCTCTCTCTCTACTTATTTGCATGACGGTATATATCTTTTGTTTGATAAGGCCAATTGCGAAGTTCGATCGCTTTGGTGACTCGAAAATTCTGTTATACATCGCAACAAAGAGCAGCTCTGGGGGCACGATGCGAGAGATTTGCACATAGTATAATAGACAACGTCATGGACTAAGGTTCTTTTTTCTTCAATTTTTTTCCATCGATTATCGAACTCATCTTTTCTTTCGGAAAATGCGATCGCTATTGTGCATGTGATATTATTTATCTTGAATTAACTTCGAATAAGCGCGCGCGCTCGCATACACAACGGAGATAAGATCGAGAAAGAAGAGAGAGATTATAATTGGTATATTATGAAAGAAATAAAAAGAAAGAAAGATATTGGCAGCTCGAAACGAAAACGCGGAAGAAGCTCGTTATAACGGGCGAAGAGCATTTATAAAGGACGTCGTGAAAATAGAAATGGGCAACGAAAAAAAAAGTTTGATGCAAAGTGTATGTATAAGTGTGTAATGTGTAGGCATCGTACTCATCTCAATTGTTTCTTCCCCTTCCGGCTCTGTTTGTGCGCTGGTATAAACTGCTCGAGGAGTGCATGTATAAAGTGACAGTTCAGCGTGCGGTACATGGCATAATTGTATCATAACTCGATAAATGTGAGTCACATGTGTGGACGTGTGTATTTGCGTGTTCATGTGAATCGGACTTTGACACCGTGGGATAGTGCTATTATAATGTGTACTTTAAATTGCTGTTCACGAAAATGCGCATTACACTCGATAAATTCGTACACTTGTTTTTCGCGGGATCGATCGCTTAGCTCGGCGCCTGTTATGACAATTGCTGCGGTGCGTCGATATCGAATCGGTGTACCGCAGCACGCAAATCCGAGGCGCTTGATCGCGTTATACTATTTTTTTCATAATTACTTATTAACTATATGCGTGCCAGAGTATATATTATAATGATATTTTTGATACGCACAATCACTGCGTGCGAGTGCGGAAGTGGCCAAAAAACAAGGAAAACACGAGTTACCCGCTTTTTGCCAATAAAAATTTTTTGCTATTCGATTTCTAATCAATTTTTTGTCGCTGTACATCGGATAAAACAATCGAGGCTCGTCCGTGAACGTTAATGTTTTTTTTCTCACTCTGGCTCGATTTAATTAGACGACGAAACAAGTAATAAACAATCTATGCAGAGATCGGCAGCATCGACGATATCTCGTGCGTGGTACCGATCTCGAGTAAACAATTAAAAGCGCACGAGATATGCATAATAATATATATGTCACCGCGTACCGACTCTCATTTATTTTCTCGGACGGTCAAGGTCCACACACATTAGCTTCGGATCATAATTTTTCTTGCTTTACTCAACAGGTACTGTCTTTATAGCATACGATAAAGATAGAGAAGAGTCCGCAGTCGCGCGAGTAATCGAGTCTCTGAAAAAAGACGAATAACGCAATAAAGCAATCATGGAAGTGCTGATACACGAGGCGAGCGGCGCCGCCAAGCTCGTTCGCACCAACGACCTCGACGAATCCTGCGAGCAGCAACAACCTCTCGTCGTCGATCGCCACGACAACAGTGCGACCATCGTCCCTATCTATCAGAGCCAACCCTCCACCAGCAACGGCAGCGGCAGCAACAGTGGCAGCGGCAGCCGAAGCATCAGCAGTCGCAGCAGCCAGGGTGGCCAGGGCGAGGAGAGCACGGGCGGCGACACGGGCAGCCAGAGCACCGGCCCCCTGTCCAACACGAAAAACGGCGAGAACATGGACATCTGCTTCGAGCGCATCACCTACAACGTCTCGCTGGGCTGGCGCGGCGGCACCAAGACGATTCTGCGCGGTCTGCACGGCCGACTGCCCGCGCGCCAACTCATCGCCCTGATGGGACCCTCGGGTGCTGGCAAGTCGTCGCTCCTCGACGTGCTCTCGGGCTATCGCATCACTGGCGTCGAGGGCAGCGTCTACGTCAACGGCCGGCCGCGAAATCTCGAGGCCTTCAGGCGTTCCTCGGCCTACATCACGCAGGACGATCGACTGCAGCCGCTGCTCACCGTGCACGAGAACATGCGCGTCTCGGCCGATCTCAAGCTCGGCACGGACACGCCCAAGAGCGAGAAGAACACCATAGTGAGTATATATTTTGGAGCAAATCAAATGACATTTGATTATCTTCTCGCGCAAATGTACGAGTTAAAATAGTTACGACCATTGGATTACGAACATTATTCACCGAATTGACCCTTTTTACTCTTGTATAATATTTTCAGTCCAAACGTAAAGGCCGATCGCAGATGGTAATTAAGCTCAAATTGCTGAATTATTTTTTCTATTGCACATATGTAGCGCACCCGTGTGTTTAACATTATAAATGGTATATATGTAAAAAATTTCGTTGATGAGCGTAGATGTGAATAATGATAATGTGCCACGACGTACACTGCACGTATGTTTCTATGAAAAATGTTGATTCTGACCATTTTTACACTGTTAGAAAAAAATTGAAATCGAATGCTGATTTAATGTAAAAACAGGCATTAAAACTAAAGTAACCGATTTTAAATTTTATTTGAACTTTTTTTCCTGAATTTTTTTTTGAAAACGAATATATTAGTACTGATTTATTTTCTGCGCTAATTTAGATAGACTCAATCATAATTTGAGCCAGCCTCTACCGCTAGATGGGCGAGTACCCTTGAGTGTAAATCTGCAGTGGCAAAGTCAAAATAATTGTATAAGTCAAAACACGTTTTTGCCGATTTGTGGACTAATTGATAGTATTTTTTTTAATTTTGTCTTCTAACCACATTTATTTCAATGGTTTAATGTGGCGTTTAAGGGCTAACAGGGGGCTTAATCATTTTTCATTTTTCAATTACAGTATTAGGCTGTAAAAGTAAAAAACATGTTTTTTTTCAATAACACCAATGATAACCTTTTTTAATAGCCTATTTGAAAGTATTTTGTCAAGTTAGATACTTAGAAACAATTGAGTGCAATAATAATGAGGGTATTGGTCCTCAACGTAAGCTATATGCATATCTAAGCTACCTGTCGTAGAACTCCAAGAACAAGCATTCAGCTAAAGGAGCCTATGTAGTTTCATTTTGTTCGATAGCCAATTGGCCATGGTCGCAACCAAAAGCTAGCCATAAGATGAACTGCAGCTACTCCTGTGTATAATTTTCTAGAATTTAGTATTCATTTGTTTATTATTTTCCATAAATTAATTTTACTTTGCTATATGTACAAGTAGCTACAGTTCATCTTATGGCTAGCTTTTGGTTGCGACCATGGCCAATTGGCTATCGAACAAAATGAAACCGCATGGTCTACCATAGATTAATGCTTGCTCTTGGATTTCTACGACGGGTAGCTTAGACGTGTTTAAAGCTGTTGTTGAGTATTAACAGCCCCACTATTAATGTACTTGACTGTTTCTAAGTATCTAACTGGACAAAATACTTTCAAATAGGCATTTTGAAAAGGGTTATCATTTGTGTTATTGAAAAAAAACATTTTTTTTCACTTTTATAGTCTAGTACTGTAATTGAAAAATGATAAATAATTAAGCCCTTAATTCACCTACGCGAAGGCAAACAAACTTTCCGTTCACATTCATTTCAATGCGAATATTTTAAACACCGTATCTTTCCTTTTGCCTGTAGATCATGGAAATCCTGACGACTCTCGGACTGTACGAGCACTTGAACACGCAGGCGGGCCGTCTGAGCGGCGGTCAGCGCAAGAGGCTGTCCATCGCCCTCGAGCTCGTCAACAATCCGACGGTTCTCTTCCTCGACGAGCCGACAACGTAAGTCAATTGACGCGTCGCGACGTTCACTTAACGATCAAATTTTCTTTCATCCTCGTATAACATGCATGTAAATTTGACGAACTCTCTCGCGAAGATCGCGACGAAGCGACAAAAAATTCTAATGGCGATTCGTTCTGTTTTTTTTTTCTCTCTCTCTGTACATCGTTTTTTTGCACGAGCGCAGCGGTCTAGACAGCTCGTCGTGCACGCAAGTCTGCAACCTTCTAAAATTATTGGCGCGCCAAGGCAGAACGATCATATGCACGATTCACCAGCCGAGCGCCTCGCTCTTCCAGCTCTTCGATCTGGTCTACGTGCTGGCCGCCGGCGAGTGCCTCTATCAGGGCTCGACGGCCAATCTCGTGCCCTACCTGGCCAATCTCAAGATGCCCTGCCCGGTGTATCACAATCCCGCGGATTACAGTGAGTCGACGACGATGACGACGACGACATTTTTTTTCAAATGTAAATTAACGTTTCGTCGCTTTTTTTTCATGCAAAAAATAGTAATCGAGCTGGCTTGCGGCGAGTACGGCCACGAGAGCGTCAGGACACTGGTGGAGGGAGCTCAGAACGGAGTTAGTCTCAAATGGTTCGACAATCCCGATGAGCTTCTGGACAACGAGTCTCTCAGAAGTAAGATGAGCGATTTTTTTTTAAATTCTTATCCAATTTTCCAATTAAAATTAAAAAAAAAATCGTGTCGAGCAGAAAAGTATCCCCTGAAAAGCAACAAAGAGCAAAAGCAAGGAGCCCAGGCGACGAGTCAGAGTCACCAACTGAAAGTATTAATGCAGCGAGGCTGGATCAAAGTCAAGAGAGATACCGTAAGTTTATGACACAACTTCTCCGTGCAAAATCATCTATCCGAAGCTAGAATCTAAATCTAATTTATTGTTTTTCTTTTTTTTTTTTTCGTTACCACCGCACAGACTCTGACGTATCTTCGAATGTTGGTCAACATATTGACGGGCATGATGCTGGGCTCGCTGTTCATCGGGGCTGGCAACGACGCCACTCGCATCCATCAGAATTACAATCTGTTGTTCGGTTGCCTCATTCATCATATGATGTCCACGCAGATGCTGACTGTGCTGACGTGTGAGTTTATCTCGTTGTTTGGCTCTTTTTTGCATAGAAAAAAATGTATAAAAGCGAGAAAACAAAAATGTCAATCGCTCGGTACATACGTATACGCGCTCGATTTCTAAATTTAAACCGTATATGGAGCTAACGGCGATGAGATGCAATTTAATCGGTTCAAGGATAAAAGTGGCGCTTAATTGCGGAAAACAAAAGAGAGAATACATCGAGATACGCGGCAGAGATGTAATTGAAAAACAATCGAAGCTTTGTCGCGTTTCCTCATCCCGCGTTATCATTCGACTATGTATATTACGCGTCATCTCTACGAGAACGGATAAAATGAAAAGTTAGGAAAGCCGATTTTAATTTTTTTCTTTTTTGGACGTCACAGTCCCGCAGGAGATGAACATACTAAAGAAGGAGCACTTCAATCGCTGGTACAGCCTTAAGGCCTACTACACGTCGATCACGCTGCTCGACATACCCGTGAGCGTCGTCAGCTGCTTCTTCTTCTCGGTCGTCATCTACTTCATGTCGGATCAGCCGCACGAGAACAACTGGCGATTCCCCATGTTCTTCGTCACGAGTCTGTTCGTCGTGTTCGTCGCCCAGAGCTTCGGCCTCATGATCGGCGCCTGCTGCGACGTCGTCAACGGCACCTTCCTGGCGCCGACCCTGTCCGTGCCCATGATGATGTTCGCCGGCTTCGGCGTCATGATATCCGATCTACCGGCCTATCTGCACTGGGGCAGCTATATCAGTTATCTGAGATACGGCCTCGAAGGGTAAGAGAGTCGAAAAAACGTCGCGTGATGCTGCTGTATTTTGCCGCGACCAAAATTATAATTTTGACGCGATTTTTTTAGCTACGTCAACGCCATATACGGATTGAATCGACCTGCCTTGAATTGCGTCGACGTAGACCCAGAAGGCCCAGGTATCGATTTTTGCTTCTACAAGGAACCGAAAAAGTTCGTGAACGACGTCGTGGGAATGTCGGAAAATCAGTTCTGGAACGACATGATCTGCTTGACCATCATTCTCATCGCCTTGAGGTTAATCGCCTTTGTCCTGCTCCGTTGGAAGCTCATGTCGACCAGATAGGAAAAATCCTTCAATTGTTGTTGTTGAATTTTGTTTATAATTTTTATTGCTACAACGTAAGCGACAAAAATGTGAGTTTGTTTTTTATTTATTTTTTTTTTTGTGTTTTTTTTTCGTATAAGTGTTTGTTGCCTCCAAGCACTGTCAACGGGAGACGCGATTTTGAAAGGAGTTCCTATAATTTTTATAGCAGTTCATTGCGCTTATTGTACTTGGGAGTACTTACGTACATAATGTGTATCATATTGTTACGAGGAATTTGCAAACGACTGTGATTATCCCCGATCGTTATCGAACGTGAGAAATATAAACATTACTGCCCGAACAGTCCAATTGTGATTTCCCATCGCAACCTAGTCACGATGTCCATCGGACTATTATTATCATATACTCGGTTTTTGATATTTTAAAAAATTTGCGAAGCTTTCGAAATTTTTATAGGCCAAATTTTAGTAAGTATTTCTTTTCAAGATTTTCTTTCCCCAGTGCTGCAAACATGTTGTACATGATTATTATCGTAAGAAAGTTTTGTTTTAAGCAATCACTCATTTTTACACAATTTTTCAATGTTATTATAATACTTTAAAGAGTGCAAAGACAATGCAATATAGTCAAGTATCGTTCAAGAGAAGATTAATGCTTTCCAAATGTACATTCCTATAAGATTTTAAATGTAAGAAATATTTAAAATTTTTATTTAAATGTCTCGTATGCGTAATTTTAATTGATTAATGGGTCATCGATTCAATCGGCTTATAAATGTGATGATTTTGATTTTCAAAGTTACGGAATATTACTGAGGAATATTCGATATTTGACACATTTTTTAGATTTATTCATTTAAACTTTAATTTGTTTTAATTTCCGCGATGTTTTTATTAATTTTGAATGAAATTACGAAGTAAGGAAATTATTTTATTAATAAACGGGTTACAGGAAAAATTAATTTTATATAATAAGAACAAATAATGCATGTATAAATATAATAATTATTATAAAATTTATAGGACATAGCCACGTAAGTTGTAAGATTTTGTATAAAATTATTCATAGTTTCATGCGCTCTTATAATTCAATTGTGCGGAAAAATATGCGGGCCAAGCGCAAAAAAATCCTCATGGCTTTTTTTTCAGTGCAATCGAGTTGACGCTCTCGTTGTATGCGCAGAGAGCTTAATTAAATGAATTGTTGTTTAATCTCAATTTATTATCTTTTGAGTATTTGTTTTGTCTCGATGGACTGTAATAAATACGCATTTATTATATTTGTATGTATAAAAATGGCATACATGTATAAGGATAGAATTGAAGATAAAACCAACATTTTATATAAAACATAAATAATGTATATTTTTGTATGATAATAAAATATTTCTCTCATAATACATGGTCTTTTTCATTTTTATGACAATTTTCACGTATCAATATGAGTTTGTAATAATTGTATGAAACATGACATTCAAAGTTCCGATAAGACTTTCAAAAAGATTAACAGTATTTTTGCATAGGATTTCACAAATAACGTTTCAGTTAACTCGCGCGAAACTCTTAGTTAAAGATTGAATCGAAAGTTTTAACGAAACTTTCAAAAAGCTATCGGGAATCATATATTGCCGATAGGTGGCGTACATGAATTTATAGAAACTCGCAAGAGGCTAACGTTATATTTTTGTATAAAACTAGAAAGTGTGAGCGGGTCTTGAGAAATTTCCCATTTCTAGGAATTGTGCCCAAAAGCATTTTTGACCACTGCTTGAGCCCTTGAAAATTTTCGATTTAATAATAATTGTTTTCTGCTTAATTTTTCTCCTGGAAACGGCTTCATGATATTACTAGGCAATGGATAGACTCCATCACCAAAAAAAAATATGGAACTTGAATCTTTTGGTTCGCCTCGTTTGATTGATGATTCATAGAGGGTATATCGAAAAAGTTTTGGTCCAAAGTTTGTTTAAGCTCAGAATTTTTGTATACGCCACCGTCACTTTGTGAACTGTATGTCCCAACGTCAATAAACATGTATGTATAGTTTGCGTCTACGACCGTTTGGTATACTATATAGTGATATTTCTTGTAATTATAGTGAATGTGAATTAGCAGGTTTTTGGATTCGCACATGTCTACCATCGATTGCACCCAAGCAATGCGGCATATTGAATGAATTTTCGTTAACTCTCAAGTAATTATCTGCTGAGTATTTATTTTGTCTCGATCGACTGTAAATACCCGAAATCCCCTACTTTTTATTTACTCGAGGATGCAATTGAAGATGAAACTAACATTTTATATAAAACGTAAATAACATATATTTTTTCATGGTGATAAAATATTTCTCTCATATTACATGATCTTTTTCTTTTTGCGATAACAATACGTACGTATCGATACGAGCATTTGATTCTATAAAGTAAATTGTCTTTTCTACAAAAAAATTGTATACAAAAAACGACGACCCACCTTTATCATGCTTTTGTTATAAAAATTACTGTATATAAAAACGATTTTATAAAAATAAACGATAATGTTACAAAGATATATTAAAATATAAATCTTACGCATTAATTAATAATATCACATTCAATCATGATTAATTTTTGTACACGCTTAATGAGTATAAAATAACGAGTATGTTTTCGATAACAAGCTTAATGCCAACTTGCGAAAAAATGTTTGATTAAAAAATCACATTCTTGACACACTCGTACATTGTTTTCGAAATTTTCTATTATAGATTTCGCGGTCGATAGAGACGAGAAGCAAAAACGAATCGATCCATCGTCGCGAAACGCGTTATCTCGATCGCAGGCAGAGCTTCCACCTGAGAACTACGAAGATCAGCGCGTGCAACACGACTATCCAGACGAGCAGCGCCACGACCGTCATGGAATAGGGCACGGACGGCATGCCGACCTCCTCGAGTATGCGCTCGGAGGTGCGCAAGTAGCAAAAGTCGGCCTTGACGCAGTCGAGCTTGCCGCGGTCCAGATAGATCGCCTGGAGAATGCCCTCATACACGTAGCGGAAGTAGCTGACGGTCGAGCAGAATCGCAGGTAGACCGGCACCTCGTTGAGCTTGAGGAAGAATCCGGCGAAGAGAAACATCGGTATGTTGAAGGCGGGCACCAGAAACATTCCGGCCTGTAAAATCGTCAACAACGGAGTCATAAACACGTGTAATTATTATTAAAAAGCTAATCTACCGATCTAATCCGCTAACGCGCTAGCATCATTTTAGATCTACTTGTATTATCGCATCGATCAAAGAAAGAATCTCGAAACGATTCGAGATCTTTAACTATCGCGTATAAGGATACACAGCCCGCTTTTGTGCGAGGTAAAAAAAAATTATTATTAAATAAATTTTTCGCCGAGTGCTGCAATGTGCGCGAGCTTGCGCGCACGTGTTACGTACATGCGTGTCGAAGGCAGCGCCAGTGAGTATGCCGAACGACTGCGCGAGCACCGTGAACAGCGTGCATATCAGCCAGACTTGAAAGAAGCGAAAAACTTCCATTGGCTGACCCGTCATGTAATAAGCTATCGCCAGAAAGCCGCTCGGACAGATGATCTGCGGTGGTGGAAAATTAATTTAATGTAAAACTTTGTCGTTACGTATTAAAGCTTGCTTTTCTGTAAGACGTTCATGAATCGTGTACCTGCAACGGTAAATCGGAGAGTACTTTGGTGATGTAATACGAGCCCAGAGAGTACCAGTGATTCGTGTTTTCTCGGATGAAAACCGTCGCCTCGGTCGGAACTGTGGGTAGAAAGAAAATTATGAATCATACAGCCACAAAAAAGTCTTGAGCAGTTATATTATGCTTACACATCTGCACGACGGGCATGGAATTGGCGAAGAACAAGAAAATGGCAAAGAAGAAGACACAGGCGACGTTGCTCTGCACGTAGCTGGCGTCCTGGCCGAAATTGTAAAATACTATTCCAATGAGCACGCCGACGATCAAGTGCGCCGCCAGCCTCAGGGTCGTCAGCGTCTAAAGCATAAACGAGTCGATATAAAAATGCCAACTTCGAGCTTGCGATAGAAGAACAAGAAAGCTCACGTTATCCCGAATGATGCAGATGGAGGCTCGATAGAGCAACACTTTGACCTGCTCCCATTGCGAGACGGCGTAGCGACTGAATCGCGGACTGTTGTTGGACGAGTCGACGTCGTCGGAGCAGCTCGTCAGCGAGTATTGGCATGAGTACTCGTCGCTGCCGGACGAGTCCTTGCTGCACAGAGCCTCGTACTCGTCGCCGCCGGATCTTTGGCCCGTCACCACTTCCAATACTGCAATAAAGAAAAAATCAACGATAATCAATCAAATACCAATTAAACTAGGATATATAAAATACGCGATATGTGGGTCATACCGAACTCGGCGAGATTGTAAAAAGTCGGACAGGCGAAGCCGGCCCGGGCGAAGTGGTCGAGCACGCGATCCCTGGGCCCGCAGTACCTGGCGCGGCCTCGGCTCATCACCAGCAGATCGTCGAACAGACAGGTCATCTGGCTGCTCGGTTGATGCACGGCGCACACGACGGTACAGCCGCCCGTCCGAGCGATCGACCACAGCAGACTCGTTACCTATTTACATACATACAACATGTATATGTTGATTAATGAGAAAAACGCGAGGCACGTCACGTGCGCGCGTTCGACTAATGAAGCAAAAAAAGAAGAAGAAAAAGATGAATTAATAATTAATCGATATACCTTGTTGGAGGAAGTGCTGTCGAGACCGCTGGTGGGCTCGTCGAGCAGCAACACCGACGGGCTCGTGATTATCTCCAGGGCGATGGACAGTCGTTTGCGCTCGCCCCCGCTCAGACGACAGCTCAGCGTCTCCATGCAGTCCTGCAGTCCCAGGCGCTTGGCCACGTCGTCGATCTGTCGATGTATCATATAGGATTTATTAATAGAGTCGCGATAATTGCACGAACGAGATGAGCAATTCCGCGCGCGCGCGAGCAGTAGTCATAAACAAGGTCAAACGCGAATGTGCAATTGAGCGCGCAGCGTCGTTATTGCGTTTATTCTTATTATTGCGATACTCACGATGTAATCTCTGGCTTCTCGGTCGCCGCAGGCCAGCTTCAGCCTGGCCGCCACGTAGATGGTCTCGCGGCACGTGAGCAGCGGCATGAGGGCAAAGTCCTGCGGCACGTAGCACACCTTCAGCCGGCGAAACAGCTCGGGCTGCTCCTCGTAGCTGCTACCGTTCAGGCGCATGCAGCCCCCCACGCCGTTCCTCGGGCCCTGCTTTGCCAGCAAATTAAGCAGGGACGTCTTGCCGGCGCCCGAGGGCCCGAGGATGGCCGTCAGACGGCCCGAGCGAAACTCGCCGCTCACGTTCTTCAGTATTTCCTTCCATTTTCCTGTTGTGTGCGAGTGGCGCGCACGGCCGAGATTATGTTATTGTAATTTATGCTAATTTTACGAGAGCTTGTCATAAATGCATGCATTAACACGTGTTGTGTTTCGGCTCCGAGGCCGGCTCACCTTTTTTAATCGGCACCGAGTACGAGACGTTCTGAAACTGAATGTCCACCTGTGGCGACGAGCCGACGCCGGAGCCAGCCGTGCCGCCGCTGCTGCCGTTCGAATCGACGATCACGACGTGACTCGTCCGGCCCTTGTCGTTCGGCTGCAGCGGTATGGTAGCCGAAAGATCTTCCGCGTCCTTCGAGCTCATCTTCGCTGTCCGACTCGACTGCTAGCCTCGTTATCTGAGAAAAAATGAAGGAAAATGAAGTGGCGATTTTCCAATGAAGAAAAATATACGCGTTTCAATGACTTTGTATGCAATGTGTATACAGCGGCTTTTCTTTATCGATACTCGCGGAGATTTATCAATCTTTGTCCCTGATATATATAATATGAATTCACGCAGACAATGAATAAATTTTCAATCGTGATCGATAACGATATATATTATTCGCGCGAGAGATTATGTAATTTTCAAATTATATTGTCGCGAGCATGCGGGTGTCACGCATGAGCTTTCGAAGGCGGCAAATATTTTTGTTGATCGATATACGTAGAGGCAATGAAATTTATACGTACGCGGCAGCCGTTATGATTGTCGCATTGAAATTATACCAATGAAAAAAGTAATGAGATTCATTGCGCACGAGACAGCTCCTTGATGATAATTTGTTGCGAGAAATATGGTTGCCTTTTTTTGTCGGTGAAAAGATTTTGAAAAAAACATATCACACTCTACGACGTGTCGTTGGACTGTGCACATTTTTATACACACGCGTTATGTGCAATAGCAACGAAGGCTAACAACTTCTAATGGTATAAATTATAATTTGCTTCGATCACCGTCATTCTTCGCGCGCGCCTACTCTTAGATGAATGATTCTCTATGTTTTTCCTCTCTCTCTCTCGCACTGTCTTTTCATCCTTAAGTGCACGTCTCGCACGTGCGACAATTGCGAAAAATCGCGTACAAAAAAAAAAAACATTGCAAGTATACGCGAAGAAAGAGAACGAGAAATGTGCATATAAATAGCCGCACTAGCGAGAATAACAATTTTTTTTTCTCTCTCTCTCTCTCGTTTATGAATTATTATTAACGAAGCGTTAATATTATTATTAGTCTCTCTGATAAAGCACAGACGCGCGCGTGTCTGCGTCGTAGCGTATATTATATATATTACAATATTATAATATTGTTATCGGAGTTGTTATTCGCCGATACCGCATCGCGTGCTCGTCGTCGCGCATTACATGTTATACATGTATATGAAAAAAGTCACAGCAGCAGTAATCTCGTCTTTGATAAAATTTCAACGCAAAAATTACTGATTTACTTGTAACGCGTATAATAACGTGTGTGTGTGAGTGTGTGTACTTACACGCAGGCCGTTCACCGTTGCGCACAAAAGGAGTCTGCAGTGCTGCTGCACCGGTGCGCGTATAACTGGCTTAAGCCCTGGCACACATATCTTGCCCACTTGCGATCCGTACTTTCACTCGGCAAAAATTCGTCGTCGATCGAAAGTGTGTACGAAAAAAAAGACGTTCTCGCGCCTTACCGATCGTTGGGCCATTCGCGCTCGTGTGGCCGGCGATCGAATCGATTGCAAATTAAAGATTCGCGACACGCTCACACTATGCGATTTATTTATTCACAAAATAGAATGCGATTATCACAGCTTTTTGCGACATGCACGCAAGATTCGCGATTACTCTCGAGTCCGCGGTATACACGACTCGCTGCCTGTATGGTATCGCGCGCGAACAGAGGAGTTGAATCGGCGGCGGTGGCGTTGGCTCGTACGTCGCCGTACGTTAACACACATCGAGCTGCACAAGTCCAAGCGACCGCACGAGTGGTGGGGCTCCGCGTCGATGTGTCGTACGCATACATAGTCGCAGTTTTACACGTTATATATTATAAATATTGAATACCAGCTATTGCACGCGACTCACGCGTATACACGCGCATTCGAACGTGTTTGTACGTAGACAAACGGGTCTTGCGAGGATGCAGCCGGCGCGGGGTGAACGCCCGGATTCGGCTGGCTGCAGATGATATGTGCAGGAGAGGATGGAGTGCGAGATGAACAGAAAAAAGAGCGCGATTGCTGATTTATCAATACGAACTTGATTCGCGGGAAAATTTTCGGAGCCACGAAACGAAATCGAGTTATTTTTGAATTCCGATCAAGCTTTAATATTCTCCAAAAATAATACCATTTAATGATTGCCATTTTTACTGACTCTAGTGTATTTATCTAAAAGGGCCAGTTAATTATTTGCCTGAATATTTGGTGTTCTTTATATTTATATGATTTCAAATTACCACTTGCGGAATTATGTGCTATATAGTCCTCGACATCTCGTGGTGGAAAGCGGATTTAATTGTCAATTTAATTTCATGAATATTCGATACAGTTTACTTGGAAAAAAATTCAGTTCCTGCACATAAAATTTCCGTCATATTTTTGGAATTTTAAATAAAATAAAATTATTTTCTTGGTTGCTTCCACATAAAAAATTATAATTAAAATTTCGTGAATTTTCAATTGAAAAAATATATTAATTCTGAAACATTAGTTATAGTAAAAACTCATTTAAGAGTACCTTGATTAGAAATGATTCGGTATATTTAATTTTTATCACTGATTTAACATCATCCTGATAGAAATTTTTGCATTTATGGCTGGTGGCCAAAGAAAAGATTTCTTGGTAATATCAGGTCATTATAAGTAGAAGAAGTAATTCTACTGACCAGAATTGTTTCTCTTTTCAATAATGTTTTCACATAATAGTTTTTACAATATAACATAGAAATTTACAATGGGACTCTTATCATATATTCAGACTTCAATTTGACTATACAATTTTTTTTACTTTGCCACTTGCAGATTTACAAATAATGATACTCGCCATCTAGTGTTCGAGGCTCAAAGTAAAATTATCGGATTCAAAATAGCTCAAAACTGGTCTAGACTTATTGCTCTAATAAAATTGTCCATTTCATTATTTGTAATAAGAAAATTAGAATAGAAAATTCGCTATATACAAACAAATTATTGGCCGTACATTCTAAAACATTTCAAATTGTCTTTTTTTGGTCGTCAGACCATTATTATAACGTTAAACATTGCTATCAGGATTAATACTGCATTAAATTCATGTTTTTGTAGCTGTATGAAGATAATGTTCTCTCATTAAAATATATTCAAAATTCAATGTTATTGCCAAACTGCACGAATTGTAGCTTTGATGCAATTTGATATAGTACATTTATTTTTTGCTCGACTATTTTAAACAATTTTAATGTATTTTAAATATGATTATTTATGAAGAGGCTCAGTGGATGTAAGTTTTTTACCATGTAAAAATAAAATTTATGTATCAAAATATCTAGACCACGATAAGAAAGAAATGTACCTTTGCTCGTCCAACACTTGGTCCATTTCATTTGTTACTAAAAAATTTGCTACCAGTTAAAGTTAAACGATTTCACTTAATCAATTAGACGTGATTTTGCTGCTACAACACTACACGCGGTGACACTCATTCATATTTATTTTAAGAGTAGATATAGCTGCACACGTGGTGCGTGGGTGTATCGCATTTTAATTTCATTGCGTTTAGATTTGAAACGTTACATCAATCAATCCTGCTAGAAAGTAAATATAATTTACGAATCTATGAGCAATAATTCAACGCTAATTTAAAAAATGATAACAATCGGAGAAATCCCATGATGACTGGCTTCCTTACCATAGTGCGGGATCGCGATCACCGACGGCGGCTCAATTTTTTTCCGTAAAAACTAAAAATAAAAAGTTCGCACCGCGCAACGTCGCCGCATCGGCTCGTGGCCGCGCTCGTGCAGAGTTCGTGACGCGCACATAATAGAGACTCCATCCACGATCCGCTAAACCTAACCTACCGCTCGTTCAGCACTACTCTGCCTTCGTGTGCGTGTGTGCGATCTCGAGACGTTGTTCGTTAACGACAATTACGAAAATAAATAGAAAAACTTTTGCGTACAATTTGTTTAACTAAAGGTAAAATCGTTCAACATGACGATGACAATGGGCAACGACAGCAGACGCGGGACACGTCAAGCTTACAAGGACAAGACCAAGCCCAACGATATTCGCATGAGCAACATCGCTGCGGCCAAAGGTTCATTTTTTCACCTTTCATTTATGATGAATATAAAGCTGCTAACATTAACAATTGTGCACGATTTCCATTTCGATAAGCTATCGCGACTATGCAATGCCGGCCTGCTAAGCGTAAATAATGTCAAAAACTATGAATATTAGGGATCACGATGATTGACAATGCCGAGCCTTATATGGTCATCGTGCCAATTTCTCCAGCACATTTATAGATTTATGCAATTTTTTCGGGAAGTTCTTGCGATTGGTTTGATTAGTTTTGAATCTCAAAATGTTGGCACGTCACCCAACTCGGATAATATTTTCCAAATCGCATAATTTCATGCATTCTAAATTTGGAATTGTAAATGATAGCCTACATGGTTATATTTTTTCTGGAATATATATTGAGAAAATAGCAAATGATTCGATCAATTTGCCAATAACGAACTATTTTATTTGTCTAAAATTGCTTTTGCTTTTAAATGCATAAAAATATTATTGACTTTTAGTTTGTTGTTTGCTGAACCAATTTTAAAATTGCAATAACTAATTTTGATTTGTTCTTTCAGCTGTTTCTTATGCTATCAGAACTAGCTTGGGACCCAGGGGAATGGACAAAATGGTAATTTGGTTTTTCAATTCATTATATATTACTTTGAAAAACTTGTAGAAAAAATTTATGGCAACTATTATTTTTAGATCCAAGCTGGTAATGGGGAAGTCACAATTACAAATGATGGAGCCACAATTTTGAAAGAGATGAATGTTATTCATCCAGCAGCAAAAATGGTACGAGTGATGTTTTTCAAATGCATATTAAAGTTGTCACAATTAAATCATAAATTTTTTTGTATTCATTAGTTGGTAGAATTATCAAGGGCACAAGATATTGAAGCTGGTGACGGAACTACCAGTGTTGTCGTTATTGCTGGCGCCTTATTAGAAGCTGCTGAGCGTCTGCTTCAGAAAGATATCCATCCAACTTTGATCAGTGAATCTTTCCAAAAATCATCTGCCAAAGCTGTAGAGATCCTTATTTCAATGGCCAAGTTTGTTGATATGACAAATAGAAATGTACTAGTCATGACCGCTGCCACGTCTTTGAACTCCAAGGTTGTATCTCAACATTCAAGTCTTTTAGCTCCAATTGCCGTGGATGCTGTACTGAAAGTAACAGAACCTGGCAAGGAACAAGCTGTCGATTTACAGGTACTAAAATTATTTTTAAAACATAAACACAAAAAAAAAAAAAAATTAATTGATAACATAACAAAATGTTTAGGACATCAAAGTAATCAAAAAACTTGGAGGTACTGTTGAAGACACTGAACTTATTGATGGATTAGTATTCACTCATAAGTCGTGCAACATTAATGGGCCAAAACGTATTGAGAAGGCAAAGATTGGTTTGATTCAGTTCTGCATCTCTCCACCAAAAACAGATGTAAGAGCCATAACTATTTACATTTTTATATAAAGACTACAGTTTAATAATAATTCACATGAAATTTTATTTGTAGATGGACCACAATGTAATTGTTTCTGATTATACAGCTATGGACCGTGTACTGAAAGAAGAAAGAGCCTACATTCTCAACATTGTTAAACAAATTAAGAAAGCTGGATGCAATGTTCTCCTTGTTCAAAAATCTATTCTTCGAGATGCTGTCAGTGATTTGGCCATTCATTTCTTAGATAAAATCAAATGTATGGTCATCAAAGACATTGAAAGAGAAGACATTCCTTTCATTTGCAAATCTCTTGGTATCAGACCTATTGCTTCCCTCGACCACTTTACTCCTGAAAATCTTGTCAATGCTGAGCTTTGCGAGGAAATTCAGACTGGTAACTCCAAATTTGTTAAAGTAAGTAATCAAATTAAAACAATGTTTATTCACAATCAATGCAACAAAAACCTTATTTTCTTTAGATTACTGGTGCTCAAAACCCAGGAAAAACCGTTACCATTGTGGTTCGTGGTAGCAACAAACTCGTTTTGGAAGAAGCTGAAAGATCTTTGCACGATGCTCTCTGTGTCATCCGTTGTTTGGTTAAACAAAACGCTATTCTGGCTGGCGGTGGTGCTCCAGAAATTCAAATTTCTATGCAATTGGGAAATCACTCAAGAACACTCACTGGTGTTGATGCTTACTGCATGAAGGCTTATGCTAATGCACTTGAGGTTCGTTAATTTTGTTCTTCACTTAAATCTTTTGGTATCGTTGCATGTAAAATTTAAGTTATTTTACCCTGGGTTTAGTTAGAACTAAAATATCAAGTTTATTCGCACGTGTTATAATTTGGAACCCATCCAATATCAATTAAATACATCTAACTATAATATCTTAGCTTTGGCATTTTTTAAGATACTTCAGTAGTTAACATAATTTTTATTCGCTTCTAGGTTATCCCAATGACACTTGCTGAAAATGCTGGTTTGAACCCAATCTCAACGGTCACCGAGCTGCGCAAACGTCACGCCAATGGCGAAACCGGCACGGGCATCAACGTTCGCAAGGGTACGATAACGCGTATGTACGAGGAAGACGTCGTTCAACCTTTGCTCGTTTCGAGTTCCGCCATTACTCTGGCTACCGAGACAGTGAGGAGTATCCTCAAAATCGATGACATTATCAATACATTCAACTAAGAAGCTAGATCGAAGCACTTGTTTTTTATTGAACAAGCACACTTTTTCTCATTTAAGATGCATTTAACACCCATAATCTATGCCCACACATCTTCAACGCTTACTTACATGCATTTTTCAAAGAAAGAAAGTTTATATACAGTATATAAAAAAAAGTTCTGAGAGCTTAGGACGTTGTATGAAATGTTGTATTTTACTCACCTTTTTGAAGGAGAGACTTCGGTTAAATAAAGAAGTACAAGTTTTTATATCACAAAATTGTGTACTCATTTTATTCGTAAAAAAAATATGTCCAATCATAATTATAAAAACATTATGCTTTCAAAACTCACGTTTTTTTTTTAATTGATTGACGTGCTTTTCGCACATAATATTATTTATTGCACAAGCAGCGCGATCATCTTTACAAATGCACAAAATAATATGTTCACTTACTGCTATAATCTGAATTATTTTTTCGTACGTTTCACGTATGAATTAATAAGCTCTGTTTTTATAAATATTAAGAAAAATTAAGTATGCCAGTCTTGAATCAAATTTAAAATTTGAATTCTATTCTGGTTTGCGCTCCACGGAGCTTAATAAATCACATTAAAATAACTAATTAAATTCAAAGACAACTATTAGTAACAAGTGATTTAAATGACGCAGTATTCATCTCAAGTTCAATAAAAACATAATAAATAGAGATCTATGTATAAATATTTTTTGCATCTGTTAAGTTTAAACATTTTACTACCACCGCATGCTCATATCCCTTATTTATGTACGTGATTTACATACTCTATATGACAAACAGTTTAAATAACTGTTATCTTGTATTACGGAATGAATATCGGTGGAATTCTTATATCAGATCATGTAAAAAACTGTATAAAAATTAACAATATAATTTTAATATACTTAGTCCGGAGTACTTCATGTAAGCATTAGCTTTTTGCAAATCAAATTATTCACACGAAATTGTCTTAAGTGGTCGTGTGTGGATGTTATTAAGTATCTTTAGTTACATTATAAACATTTAACGTCATTTTTCATTAGTATATCCTTCAAGTCAATGGAATCTGATAGATTACCAGCGTGGGCTAATTTGAACAAACTGCCACTGTTGATAAGCATTTATGAAATCGCATGGCATTAGCGATAATATATGCGTTTGTGGATGCAGGGCCATACACTTCTTTAGTACTCTATGAAGTAAAGTCTTTGATTTCTACGAAAAAAAAATAATTCTCCGGTTAAAGTCTTTTCCAAATCAAGGTATTGAATTTTATGTTTGTAAAAATAATACGTACTTCATCATATTGCCATGGTCCGTCTACTGTTCCTACTCTGCAGAATGTCAGTTTAATGCCTTGTCTATCAACTTCTATACATCTCTCACCAACGCCAAGTTGTCCTTTAGCATTGAGCCTAATTAGCTGCAATTATTTTTACATTATTAATATCAATTTAAATCAAAAATCAAATTTATTATTGCTATAACTACCTGATTGTTGCCATATCCATGACAATGAGATGTGGCCATAAGATTAGGGGGTGCGTGACCCATTGTGTCAAGACATTGGGATGTAGCTACATTTCGTAACTAAAAGATTATATTTTTATAATTTCTGGTTGAATGAAAATTAAATCAAATCAGTCTATTCATACCTCTCCCCAATGAATATTTGGAGGTAACTCTGGGAATTTATCTAAAACATCATAAGCTACATTTTCCATAAACCATGCAAAACTCTTGCAACGTTTCCTCCTTTTGAAGTCAAGTTGTTCACTAATGTCCCCATGATCCAATAGTCTTGCAAGTGGTTCTCGTGTATAGAAAAATTCTTTGTACTTATCATCAAACCAAGTTTCAATGACGCGTTTATAATTCTGAGAAAAAAATTGACCAATCATGAATATATTTAATTATGATTATAGTTATAATTTTAGATTATATAATATTATATCAAATTATAAGTATGATTATAGTTAAAATGAAAAAGAATTTTTTAGTAGTTCTTACAATAGTAATGAGAGGTCCTTTTTTTTTTTGAGAAAGTTTTCCAAAGTTGTAAGGCATGAAGCCTCTGTACACATGTCCAACATGAGAACAAGGTACCCACAATATCTGTCCTCCACATTGCCAGATTTTAAACGAGAGTTCAAAATTTTCACCTCCCCAAACTAAGAGACCCTCATCATATCCTCCAAGTGACAAAAAGTATTCACGATTGATTGCGAACAGACCACCAGCATGAGTAGGAGATCTATATAATTTGACATATAATGCATAAAGTTACTACTTAGTCAATAATACACTTTTCTACGAGTCAAACAAAAAATTTTCAAACCTGTATGGCATGCTCTTGTGTTTTCTGTACTTCAATTCTCGGGCAGGCAATTCATTTTCTTTGTATAACATACCCCATTCAAAAATACCTCGATGCAATCTACCCTCCTGGTAGACTTGTCTATATTCAAAAGTTTTATGGTCTATACCATCAATTACAGGAACTGTCATAACATTACTGCGAAAGAGTATCGTTATTAGTACTTTATTCTTTAGATAATTAATAATTTTCATATGGTCCTTCTACTTTACCTATTTTCAGCTATTGGAGAAAGTAATGGAGGAAGCCAGTTTACATTCACTTCGCAATGTGCATCTAAAAATACAATTACTTCACCTGTAGCCTCTCTAGCACCACGAGATCTGGTTCTAATTAAACCTTCTCTTTCAGTATTTCTTATTAGTCTAACTTTACCGTCCCATCTTTCTATGTAATTTTCTAGTTCTCCTTTTAAATTTTCTATAAGAAATTTATAAGTTACAATTTAAAACTTTGAATAGTGATATATTGTTTTTAACAAATGAATAATTACTAAATACCTTTATCAGAGAAATCATCTACAAGCAGAACTTCTTCGAGGTATTGTGGGGGTGTTCTGTTTATAACACTATGAACTGTTCTCATAAGAACTGACCAACCCTCATTATGAAACACTATAATGACACTTGTCTTGGGTAAGTTTTCAGTGTACTTCCAATGTTTGCATCTGAAGTAAAATCATTATTTATATAATAATTATAAATACAAAAATAATAGTATTGTGTTGAAAAATACTAACTCATCAGGGCGCGTATCAGGTATTGTACGGTCCAGTGATATTTCATCAGAACAGACCATGTTCATACCGTAAGCTTGCTCAGACTCTTGGACATCATTTTGTTGATCGTCTCTAAGTACATGAGGTTTGCCTCCTTCACCTGGTCCAGTTTTTTCTTCAACTTTAGGTTCAAAATTTCCCATACCACTAACAAATTCTGGAGGTTCAACCTAATGAATTCATTTTATTATTTTAAACATCATGCTATAATTGGATGTTTCCCAAAACTGCAAATATTTACGAACCTTTTGCATTTTGAAACTATCTGCGAAGTACTTATTCAGGTGCTTCATGTTGACTTTACCTTTGGGTATGGTATACAAAAAGTAAATAATTAAAGACAAAGCTGCCAAGCCCATCAGCAGTTGAACCATACGGTTCCTTCTGAGCTGAACAATCCTCATCTTGATCCGAAATGCTAGAGCTCTAACATCTGCGAGACATAATCAATGACAGAACAGGTTGTATCACCAAGTGGTCGAATTAAAACTTAAAACCGTGTATGCAGCGAACATCACCGACTGTATACTTACGCAGATACAAATGATCTTCCCTTCTGCTAAAAGTGTTCCCGCTAGCAGATCATCGTTTCATCGAGAGACGAGATTCACCGTCGTCGAATCGCCTTGACACTGCACAGGTGATCGTACGCGCGGCCCGGCTCTAGTCTGCCACTATTATAACCGCAATGTCAATATGCCATGCAGCAAGATATCGCGGCGTGTCCAATCCACCTTGTACAGCTTGTACATCAGGTAACGCACGCGCTCGAGAAAGAGAGAGACGGCGAAAAATAGTCAACGTGGATGATCTTCTGCAGCCCCCGCCATTGAGCTTGTGTTATAAAAAATATAATGTATGTATAGGCGAGCGTCGCGACGTGATTTTATAGGTACGCGAGCCTACATATACGAAATAATCTCTTATTTTTTTTCCTTCGCGAAGGTGTTATTGCGTGCCGCTAAGCACGATAAGCACGCAGCAAGGCGGCAGCTCCGAAATGTATATATAGCTGTGCTCTTTATAAACAGCACAGCGCCGCATCGTGAAGTTAGAGGGCAATGCCTGTATATATATGACATTGTATAACATATGTACGGGTATGCACTGTTGCATTGTGTAGAAATAGAGAGAGGATGATCTACAGGTGATTGTTGGTGGCTGTGTATACAGAGTTGGCGGTGAGTCTGTCGCGTGCGCTCGTATACATATGTAGGTTTATTCAACCGAGTATGCCTATTATACTTATGCCTATTATACCTAATACACTAGTATAGAAACAGAACCATTCATATTAAAAATGAGTCAAGTACACATTAGCCGCTAGGAATAAGTCTAAATAATTCATTCAAAGGGGCCTATTAACAGTCTGGAAGTGAATCAACTGCGGTATATTTCATTTTACATACCTAGACCCAACTTTTTTTTTAAAAATAGATGAAGTTAGAAGGATTGTTCTAAGCAAAAATTTGTACAATATTAATCCGTAAGGTGGTCTGTACCCAACACAGTACCGGATTATAGACTATAGGCCAACTAGGCACGGCTTAGGGGTCCCCACAAAACAGTGGCCTCCACAACTGTGAAAAAAATATTGGTTAACTACAGAAAAAAAAATGGAAAAATAAAAAAAATTATTGAAAAAAATAAATCATTCATTTTTACAGTCATCGTGTTTGGTGCGAACACAAATATGAATTAAAAATGACATTTTCAACACTTCGTGCAGAAAGTACTACTTTCGCGATGGCGATCTTAAAATCGACTTTCTATTGTAATGAAAATTAGTGTACGAAACTGGGGGGGGTTTTCAATTTTGCACTCGTGTCAATGCAACCCTCGCTACACTCGGGCTGCAAACTTGACACTCGTGCGGATCGACAACCTCCCGCCCCCGTTGCGTAATCTACTATTCTATCTCGTGTAGATATGTTTACATTCAAGAATGAGAAGTTGAAGGCAGAGCGAGTCGGCTCAATAACTTTCATAGCACTGTGTGGCATAAGTTCAAATTCATAGCCCGCTTTTCTGTGGCATAAGTCGCACATTCTGGCACCGCTGTGTTCGCATCGCACTCGTAATATACGCGCTCACCTTACTTCGCGCTACCAGAAAGTGCGACTCATAGACTTGGAAAAGGGGGCATAAATGTGAACTTAGCACAGTGCTATAAAATGTTGTACGATACTCGTGCCACTATGGGGAAACTTTTCAGCCTAGCTGTTAGAACCCTCGCTGCGCTCGGGCCCTAAATTGCGCCGTGCCAAAAAGTGTTACTTATGGCACTTGTATCGTAAAGTACTAATCTTTCGATAATATTGTTATGCCCATTATACTTCATAAAGCATACGATGTGCAAGCGATACGCGTAGCTTAGCGTCGGGCTCGCAACGGCGCTGTTGTCGCATGCAGGCCGCAGTAGCGCGAGGCATGAGCGCGGCCAGCATACGAGACCAGACAGATTGGAGCAGCAAGCCTGAGCGCACGCTGGCTTCTCGACACACCAAGATTGAATAAACTGTTAACTCTTTATTTTTATTTAATTCAACCCACTGTGTACGTTATTTTCAAGCTCTCCTATCCTGACGATTATAACAATATTATGAATGATTTTGCGGAAAGAAAAGCAAGAAAGGTTCTTATTAGAGTGTAATTTATAATTTAATTTTATACGGAAAACTATAGTTATCAACCAAAAAAACAATATAACATATATCGCGAGTGCTTATGAAAAACATTTGTATCAGAAAACACCACAAAGAAAAACATATGACTATGAAACGCCATAAAGAAAAACACTCTTTATCGATACGACGCGAAGAAAAACACGTCTCATCGTAACGCCGTGAAGAAAAATATCTCTCTCAGAAGCTGAGGATTCGACTATTAAATACCGTGTGGTACGGCACTGGAAGAGTTGACGTGAAATTCCTCTAATATACATATAAAACTATTAGCATACTTGGATGCATTGTAAATTCGAACTTGAATCTGAACAATAATCCAGTATGGTTTTTTCAGTGATAATTTTTTTTCTTCTATTTTTTCTAAAAATATTTGACGTTTCTTGACGAAGATTTGGCAATTTTTGTTCGAATAATCAATTAATACTTTGTAAAAAAAATGTGATTGATTGATTTGATTATGAATAAAGAAAATGTAAGGTATACGCTCCTATTTTCGATCAGATAGACCCTAATTTCGATCAGATTTAAATCAATTTTTTATATACAGGGTGATCGGAAAGTACCTTCCACCGCTTCACAGTCATGTAGCTGGGAAAATTTCGAGTCGAAAGTTTCTTTGAAGTTTTTTTCTATTTTCAATAATAACCGAGATAATCGACGTAGTAAAACGCTAAAATTTATGAATGAAAAGTCCTGCGAGGATTCTCGCTCGGCAGTTGTTTTGACGAATGACAACAAAAGTATCGATGCGCTCCAAAATGTAAACAAACAAAGCGAGCGTGTGTGCCTTGCTTCTGACACATCGAGCGGGGTTAGAATGGCGACATGTCGAATGCATGAACTTGAATTCTATCTCGGCAAATAAAAAAACTAAAGGTTTGATGAAGTATGAGCGACATGACAAAAACTACCGATGAAGCTCACCTTGTGAACAACCTCGAATCCGGACATTCATCGATAAGCTAACATAATTAGTTACTAGTGAAAAATGAAATATTTTTTTCAAAAAATATTGAAAATTACAGCTTCGAGAGCGAGCTACCCTCTTTCCGACGCAACGAAGCTGAAGACTCGACACTTTGGCATAAATTTGAAAAAAATACGATTCCCAAAATCTTAAACTCGAGAACGGTGTGTCTCGCCAAAAAACTTGTATTTTTTTCGGCCTTTTTTCCTGATTTGTTCATCGAGTACGAAAAATCGATTTTCTAAGTAGGAGTATGAGTTGGCATGACGAACCCAGACACTGGCTTGAACCACAGATCCATGCGACGACACGGATAGAAAAACGGAGTGTTTTTTTCGAAAAATATCAAAAATTTAAGCTGTGAGTGCGAGCTGCGCGTTTTCTTCCGACACCGTTATTGAGCTCGAACACTTGTAGGACTTTGAAATTTTGGCAATCGTATTTTTTTTAAATTTGTGCTAAAAGTGTCAAGTCTCCAGCTTCGTTGCGTCGGAAGAAAACGCGCAGCTCGCACTCACAGCTTAAATTTTTGATATTTTTCGAAAAAAACACTCCGATTTTCTATCCGTGTCGTCGCATGGATCTGTGGTTCAAGCCAGTGTCTGGGTTCGTNTATGTTCACTTTATTAACGTATCGCGGCTCGCTATCGCTTATTTTTGCTCGCCCGCGTTGACTTTTAGTCGGTCAAAGTTAATCTCTGGAGCGGCGACCAGCAAGTCGCCGGCACACATGCGGAGCAGATCCCAGCGCGGTGGGGGAAGACAAGCCAGGGCTGATGCCGGCAGAAGGCCTAGGCAGGCCACAGGCACACTCTACTGTACACATACACAAACACAAGTGGAGCACGCAAGACCGCCGAGCCCGAGCCGAGATGTCGCGTAACGCGTCTACACGCTGGTGAGGCGCGCGCACGCGCGCGCGCACACACACACACAAGCACGAGAGCCTGTCGTCACGACACTGCACTCTACTCTCACTTTTTCATTATTCGGGAGAATAACTTCCATTCATGAGTAAAGTGTGCAGCTTGTGGTCCATGTCACCAACGCACATTACGTGCAGGTCTTTCGCTTGTTCGAGAATGTCGAATATTTATCAAATTTCCGAGTAGCTGCCCTCTATTTTGACTTTTTCATATTTGAGGAGAATTAAATCCATCCTTGAGTCAAGTGTGCAGCTTGTGGTCCATGTCATTTCATACCAATGCACATGACGTGCTACTGTACAGCTTGTTCGAGAATGTCGAATAATTTTCAAATTTCCGAGTAGCTGCTATTGCTTCACTAGATGTTGGATAGTCGGAAGGGTGCATTATTAATTGAATGCGTATTAGCAGAGTTAGTTGTTAAATTATGTTCACTTTATTAATTTATCGCGGCTCGCTATCGCTTATTTTTGTTCGCCCGCGTTGACTTTTAGTCGGTCAAAGTTAATCTCTGAAGCGGCGACCAGCAAGTCGCCGGCACACATGCGGAGCAGATCCCAGCGCGGTGGGGGAAGACATGCCAGGGCTGATGCCGGGAGAAGGCCTAGGCAGGCCACGGGCACACTCTACTGTACACATTTACAAACACAAGTGGAGCACGCAAGACCGCCGAGCCCGAGCCGAGATGTCGCGTAACGCGTCTACACACTGGTGAGGCGCGCGCACGCGCGCGCGCACACACACACACACAAGCACGAGAGCCTGTCGTCACGACACTGCACTCTACTTTCACTTTTTCATTATTCGGGAGAATAAGTTCCATTCATGAGTAAAGTGTGCAGCTTGTGGTCCATGTCACCAACGCACATTACGTGCAGGTCTTTCGCTTGTTCGAGAATGTCGAATATTTATCAAATTTCCGAGTAGCTGCCCTCTATTTTGACTTTTTCATATTTGAGGAGAATTAAATCCATCCTTGAGTCAAGTGTGCAGCTTGTGGTCCATGTCATATCATACCAATGCACATGACGTGCCACTGTACAGCTTGTTCGAGAATGTCGAATATTTTTCAAATTTCCGAGTAGCTGCTANATCGAAATTAGGGTCTATCTGATCGAAAATAGGAGCGTATACCTTACTTGGTTTACTAACTGAGTGAGAGACTTTTTTTCTAGGCGTTTCAATGGTCAGAAAAGGGCAAGATCTCCGCGAGACAGATAAAAGCCACGTATTTTTTTCTGTAATATAGTCCTAACAAAACCCATTGAGTGGCGTTATTTTCACAGTATTTCAATTCAACATTTTTTCTTTGAGACGTTCAAAAAAGACGTGTTTTTCTTCATGGCATATCGATAAAGAGTGTTTTCTTTACGGCGTATTGATAAAGAGTGTTGATCTT